TTAATCACAGAGTCGGTTGTAAAAGCACTATATTTCTGGTCGAAGTATAATATTTAAAATTCTGCAACAGTACACCTTCGTTCTCGATTAAAAGAAAAATAGACGGTATCGATTTCCTATCGAGAGGGAGACTCCTGTGTGGGACTGACAAATTAGTGACGGTTCAAAAGCCCATTAAAATCTACTCGAATGGTTAATCGGCCGTATTGCTAAACAGGTGAAAGCCGGGGTGCGTTTCGAACGGATGCCTGCGTGGCAGTTTCCGTTTTTTCTTAAGCGGAACAACGTCTTCTCAGAAATTTCGCGGCGTATTCAAACGAGCTGCAATGCCGGAAATGAAAAATGACGCGTTTCAAAATCGATCATCGACATCGAGCGCGTTTTTATCAGCTGTTTGCACGTCATTAAGTCCGAGCGGAGGAAAAAAATTTATCGGGGGCGGAAAGATAAATTCTTAGATTCGGGGGGGTTGGTAAAACTGCAGAATAATGACAGGGAACGTTGAACTTTACTGCCGTCACTTCCTTCAACCCATTTCTAAGGTTCGATGGCAATATTTAAAGTAAAACATGTAACAATTAAGTGGTTGAATAAGCGAGGAAAAATTAAAAGCAAGAACATATTAAATAACAAATAATAATACTTGAGCATTTAAAAATCTAAAATGACATATTTAATTAAATAGCATGATGACTATTTTAATTATAGTAATCTGAATAAGATAAGATAAGGTAAAATATTTAATGACAGCAGTTACAAACTGAAAGCCGGTTTTTGTGTTTTCAAGAGTTTCGACTCTGTTCATATCAGACGTGCTGTTCGTATTTTAATAAAAATTTTAAAAAACGCCACACATTTCGTCATGCAACAACCGACGCGTGCATAATGCCGTTTTAATTTAAATAAATAATTTGCTATTACAATTGCAATTAAAAATGGCTCCACGCCATTGTCGGCCGGCATCTAACGTTTCTGGGATATACAGAGTGTCCACCTGTAGACAGACGGCATTTTAATTGCTTATAAATCGAGAACGATAAATGATATCGATGTGCGGATTTGGCATAACTTTACGAATTTTTAATGTTTTTTTACAGTGTTGCCAAAATTCAAAATTTACCTGAAATAGAAGGAAAAATTATGGGTTTGCAAATTCTGAGTTCGCAAAAATTTGGATGAATGTACTTTTTAATTTTAAATGAACGAATGTTAACTCTCCTTTTCGAATATGTATAAATTTTCCTACATTAAACGAAAAGTTTAATATTCATATCAATCAAAACTAACCAAACAATTGAAAACCACGCTTTTGAAAAGTGTGGTAAACGGCATTTGAGTCACGAGTTTATTTGGCACAAGCGGAGCGAGTGTTGAATGAACAAATGAGATAAAGAGTTTACCTACGACCGTCAGGAAAAAATCACAATTTAACAAATTAAAAATAATAACAGATTATCAGATTACTAAATTTCGTACCGTTGAAACAAAATATTTACTAGTTACCATTAAACCTATTGTTGTCTGTTTTTAACTGTGTACGTTAGACAGAGAGAGATGTATTATTGGATATGTCATATAAACAATGGAATAAACACAATTTTAAAACGTTATGTTGTTTATTCAACTTTTACAACTGATCATTAATTAGTTTATTGGAAGAAAAATCATCCAAGGATAGAGCTTTAAAGAGGATTAAATTTTTGAGATCTTATAAGCGAGAAAAAGCACGTTCTAACCTTCAATTTTGTTTTGTTTGTACTGATGAGACATGGATATTTGAAAATAGTACAATTGGTCTTGGCACGATATTAATATAAGAATTGTAAAAATATCTGTGAGAAACTGAAATTATAAACCAACCAACCGAGTCCACTAAATTTTAGTCGTAGCTGATAGCACGTAGTATTTAAATTGTCGGATATATTGCATAACATTTTTCTGTGCATTAGTATTTGGGTATACTTTTGCAAAAACAACACTAATACATGACCGTCAGCATTGGCAAACTTCAAAATTCAAACCGTGCTTTAAAATTTTCGAAAACATCCGATTGCTCCCGAACCCGTGCGGTAAAATTCCGGAAATGTCCGAAGTGGCCCGGATCCGTGGAAAACGAAGCTGACATGGTAAAATGGCACTTTCCGCACGCTAGATCGGTGTATAAATAGCTATTTTACAGAAGGGAGTAGAAAAAGTTATTTTATGTTCGAAACATTACTATATCTTCGTAGAAAGAACATTAGTAAGCTGATAAATAAGCGTAACTGACGAATTTGAAGAGATTAAAATTCTCGAGCTTTGAACGAATTTGAGGAGAAGCTTCTAAAATGTATGGGCCATGTTTTTTCCAGCCGCAACAGGGAACGGAAAGATTCACATTGATATGTTGAAAACATTTTTCTACCCTCAACTTCAATTTTTTCTATTTTAAGCAAGGCTTCTAGAAACAGATGGATAGGGCGAGCAGGTCACTTGATTGAACCCTTGCACCCTATTTTTCTGAACTAATATAATATAATATAAGCGTTTCCAACCACATTACACCGAAAATGCTATAAAACGATTTCAGCAACTTATGTCTGCGTCTATATATGTGTTACGAGCAAAATGGCGGTCATATACAGAACCTAAAATATAAGTTATAAATTCGATATTTCTTCAATTGTTTGTTGTTAAAATTGTTAGCATTAGTGTTACCGACGTTATTGTTATTATTGTTGGTTCTTATTGAATAGTATTCTTTAATAGTTTTGGTTAGTTTTGGTTAGTTTAATAGTTGCCATTTAAAAAATCGAATAAAGAATTTTTATAGACATGGCAATAGTGCAAGGACATGGGCAATTACCATAAAATGTTCATCAATCATCGACTTACATAAGGAATTTTTCTTAAAAGGGGTCACTTACTGACTGCCCAAAAAAGGAGACTTAACAAGCTGTCATGTAAAATTAAAATGTACAGGATGTTTTTTCTTTGAAACTTCTTTTTTTTTCCTCCTATTTCAGGTAAATTATAAACTTTGGCAACACTGTCAAAAAATTGAAAAAGTTGTGTGAAAATCGCACATCGATTTTTTGTTCTCGACTTTTAAGCAGTTAAAATGTGTCAGTTTATATATGGACCCTCTGCATTTTGGCAGACATCGCATGTTTTCGTATCGAGAAAACTCATATCACGATTTTTTCCGAGAAATATTTGAATTTGCAGACAAAGTACAAAGTGTTTTCCGCTCCCAATGTGGACGGCATTTTTTTTTATTAATATCGCCCCCCTTAAAGGAATATTTTTCATCTCTTTGGCATTTTCGGGTATGTAGGCGTTTTTGGCATTTTTCTTTGCATCAACTTTGCCCATAGTTTCCATAAAATCAATTCAACCAGTCGTAGAGCCTTGCTTAATAGTGAACTCCAAAAATTCAATAAAAGCGCGCGATTTAAAGACCCTAAAACTGTTAGAAAAATGTTTATTATTTTTTATTTGCGGTCGATCGAACGGTGTTTAATGTATTCGCATTGCATGCTAGACACTCAAAACTGTTAAAGGTTTCTATTTTTAGAATAACCAATAATTTTTATTATCAAATTTGGGAGAAAATTTGCGATGAATAAGAAATTAAATATTTAATATTATGTATAAGGTATTTTGTAAAAATGATCAAAATAGTCTTAGATGATGCCTTTGTACGATTGGTACCCAAAATGTTGAATACATTATTTTATTAAGGAATAATTTAAACAAAAAAAAAGTTTTATTGGTCGATTATAATGCAGTTAAATGCATTCATTAAATTGATACAGTAATGTATTAATTTTGAAAGAATATAAAACAATTTAATTTAATAAAAAAACGGCCTACAGATAAAGTAATAAAAAACATTAAAACATATTTAGCGTACTAAAATAATATAAATATAGGTTATATAAATATACGTTTCAATTATTCATCTAAAAAAACGTTTTAATGATCGATTACAATGGGATGTCATTACATTCATTAAATTGTGTATATAAATAAAAATATAGAATTATTAATTTAAAAAAAAACGGACCCACAGATAAAACACTAGAAAAATCATATTTGGCCGTCTAAAATAAATCAAATTAATAATTGTACATTTCAAATATCTATCGCAAAAAAAACGTTTTAATGATCGATTAAAATGGAATTAAATGTCATTACATTGATTAAAATGAAACAATAATATATTAATCTCAAAATGAAAAATATAAAATACTTAAATTAAGAAAAAATAAATAAATATACATATATATATATAGATGAAACAGTTCAAAAAACATATTTGAAGTTTTAAAATAAAATAAATTAATAATTATAAGTTTCAATTCTCTATCGGAATTAAAAACGTTTTAATGATAGATTATAATGGAATTAACTGTTATTACATTCATTAAATTGATAGAGTAATGTATTAATATTAGACGAAAAAATATAAAATCATTAAATAGAAAAAAAACTGCCCACAGATAAAACAGTAGAAAAATCATATTTAGCGCACTAAAATAAAATAAATTAATAATTATACGTTTCAATTTTCTATCTAAAAAAAAACATTTTAATGATCGATTATAATGGAATTATATGAATAAAAAATATGAAAATATTTAATTAAAAAAAAACGGGCCCGCAGATAAGACTGTAGAAAAAACATATGTGGCGTACTAAAATAAAATAAATTAATAATTATACTTTTTGAATTTTCTATGGCAAAAAAAAGTCTTTTAATAATCAATTGTAGTGGAATTAAATGTCATTGCATTCATTACATTAAAACAGCAATGTATTAATCTTAGACGAAAAAGTATGAAATTATTAAATTAAAAAAAATTAAACGGACCCACAAATAAAACAGTAGAAAAATAATTTAATAATTATGCGTTCCATTTTTCAACGGCATATTTATTTTCGATTTTTTTTCACTGACATGTCCAAATCAAATTTTCAAACCGAAGAACGAGTCGGAAAATCCCCAAAACACTCACCTTCGATCGAAATGGTGTTGCAGCAGCACAGTGGAATAATATCTCAACCTGTTGATGGGGCGCACGGAATGGTAACTTTCGCGACGGCAACAACCCTTATATATTATCTAAAACACGTCAACTTTATCCCCGTCCGCGAGACGCGCAGACTCCGCCCCAAAAACGGGACGATTCGCCGCGACATTTTGAAAGTTTCGTAATACAGCGTTATGTGGAAAATCTGGCACGCTCTATATTTTATCGCCCTGTCGGCAGCCATTTGTTTATCGAAAAATTGAAATTAATGATGCCCGCCAACATTTATAATTCGATCTGGGGGATTATTTTAATTTTACTTTATTACTATTTATTTTACAGTTTTACATTATGCGGCAGCTTTTATACATTTTGTACCGTAGGAAACGGATAACGGTTTATTTAACACTTAAAATTTTCCGACTTGCGAAAGAAATACATAATATTTTTATACCGTGTTGTTAAAAATTATAGAAACATGTATGTGGAGGGTGACCCGTTTAAGAGGGGCTTATACCTTATCTCGAAACCTACGGGGGTTACAAAAAAAAAATAAACACAAAGGTTGTTTCTATTAATATAACCTTTTTTTTATTTTCTTAATCGTCGTTTTAAATAGCTTTTCGATAGTCATTTCAAAGACAAATTCAACGATATATATATATGAGGATAGGTCTGTGATGCACCGTTTCGAACTAATTAGCGGTCATCTTCAGAATTCAGGTTGTGTTTAAACCTTCATTGTTGGGTTGCTTATTAACTTTCAAAACTTTTCTATTATTTTTAAGAAAATAATGCTTTTCTTTGGGTAATGAACAAATTTAAAATATTTTTTTAAAATACGCTGTGTCGCCACGTTTCGGAAAATGATATTTTTCTCAATTTTCTTAAATGAGACACCCTGTATATTATTGGATTTTCGAACAGCCCATTTAATAGCAACTTCAATTATAGAATATAGTTCGGGTATCTGACTTACCGTTTTGGATTAATTGGCAATTATTTTCCAATAATACATAAATTCTTTTACATTCATAATTAAAGAATCTTGTGAATAAAGTCCCTAAATGGAAAAAACTTTTAAGAAATATTTATATTCTTAATAATATAGACCTCCTGGCCAATGTCTTTAAAAAATATATAGAAACCTGTCTGTTGAAAGACACAAATACAATTTTGACCTTTTTGACATAATCATCGCAGTAGCTTTGTACACAATAGTAGTTCTCTTTTGTTGTAATATTACTGATTTTTTGACAGGTATCAGTGTATTATAATATTTGAAGCGTATTTTATTATGTTGCATTTTTGTTGAGTCTATTTTGCACAATGTATACGAAGGAGGAAAAAGTTTACCTGGTAGAATGGTACATCGAAAATAACAAAAGTCCGGCTCTTGCTCTCAGACAATATAGACCCAAATTTCCCCATAGGCGATTGCCAGGGAAAAAATATTTGCCAAAATATAATATGCCAGCATATTTTAGATAACGGTCTGCGGTGTCATTAAATAGAAAAAATACGCATTATTGGAGTTCAGAAAATAAAAAATGTGTTTTTGAAGTAAACAAGCAGGGGCGAAAATCCGTAAAAGGATGGTGCGCAATCTGGGGATCTAGAATTTTAGGACCCGTATTTCACCAACAAAATTTAACATACGTACGATATTTAAACTTATTATGGAACGAAATTTGACCACTTATGCATATAATAATATTCCCCCAAGAGAGCATCCAAATTTAATTTGGCAACAAGATGGCGCTCTTTGCCATCGAAGTGCGACAATCATTCGATTTTTAAAAGAAAATTTCAGAGAGTGGATTGGACAAAACGGAAACACCTCCTGGCCAGCGAGGAATCCAGATTTGACCCCGAAGGACTTTTTTTGTGAGGCGCATTGAAATAAATGATTTACAAACATTAACCGTCAACAGTTTTGGACGTGCAGCAACGAGTTCGCGCGGCAATATACTATCAGAATGAAACGAATTACGTCTCAAATGGCATACCCATTTAGAAATAACATATACTACTTGTATCCTTCAAAACGGGGGACATATTCAGAAACTAATTTAATTAATTTTACTTGTAAATAATATGCATTAATAGTTAGTGTTAATTTAATTAAATGATTAATTTGTGAAAATTGGCAACATTGTTCAAAGTTTAATATTCTGTTTTTAATACGATTTCTTAACAATGCTCTAAAACAGTTGTGAACAAGTTGATAAGGCGATAATTCCCAGTTTCATATCTTAATAATTTATATGTTATACCCAGTTTTTAATTTTATCTGCCAATTAAGCCAAAACTGCCAGTCATAGACTCGTACTATGCTATGTAATTGAAATTGCTATTGACGTGGCTATTCAAAAATCCAATAATATACAGGGTGTCCCGTTTAAGAAAATTGAGAAAATTAACATTTTGCGAAAATATTTTAAATTTAATCATTGCTTAAAGAAAAGCATTTTATTCGTAAAAAAAAACAGATGGGAAAAAGTTTAAAAAGGTAATAAGCAACCCAACAATGGTGGTTTAAATATAAGTTCGAAACGGTGCATCACAGATCCATACTCATATATAGCGTTGAATTTATTTTTGAAAGGACTATCCAAAAATGCAGTAAAATGTAGGGTGTTCTATTTAAAAAAATGTAACTTTGTTTTACCACACTGTATATAAAAACATTAGGATTAGGAAAAAAAAGTTCATTTTAATAGAAACAACTTTTGGATTTAATTTTTTTTTGTAATCCCCGTAGGTTTCGAGATAATGTATAGGCCTGTACATTATAAGCCAAGGTCCTAAATGAAAGAGGTGCTAGACAGAAGTGTCAGTTTTAATGTCAATAAGTAGGGATGATGTAATACATTTCCATTCATGAAATGTTTCTATATTTTTTTCCGGTAATTTATAAGAAACTCATTTTGTACTAGAAACTTGGAAATTTATTTTAAAACAAGAAAAAAAAACATTTTTGAATCCCGCATAGCCTCTTGTAGGATGCCGTTTGTTATTAATTTGTAATAAAAACGCCCCGGAATTCGAATATGCAGAAGCGCGTATTTTTAGAGCTCAAGTGGTAAGCTCAAGAGGAACACGAGAATTGGCAAACACATTATTGCGATTGTATGGTCAAATAGAATTTTCCAATTTTCCCTTTCCCCGTTCAACGGTTCTTTGATTAATTATATTGCCCCAGTAATTAGTGGATAATTTTGCGCGGCCATTATCTCGTCTGAATTGCAACCCCTCCGAGCCTATCGTTTTATTTTCGGAGCGCATTGCACTGAACTAAACACATCTCTTCGGCAAATCGAAAAGACGAGTCCAGTCCTTTTTAAAATTCAATCAAAATCCTCTTTTTCTAGAATTAAAGAGGCTGCAGCGAAAGAGAAAAATAAAATGTACTATGTTTGACAATTTCCAAAAAAAAACGTAGAAAAATCTAATTTAATTTTTTAATTTTGATAATTCTTGTTAAATTCTTCTATATGAACCATAGATACGTCATTGCTTCAAAGTGGAAAGTCATGTTTATGGTAACTCCCCAAATTTAATATTCCGGTTTTTAATTTGCGAAGCATGTAATCAACATCATCACTCCGTCGTGCGCAAAAAATAATGCGGGGTCGATGAGAATGAATACCCATACCTCGGCATTTTCATTTCCATGATACCAAGGCCTCCCGTAGGTAGATTTTAAACAAAGTAGAGGAGAGTGCATCCCTGGTGTAAATATTTTGTCACCTTAAACTCTGTAGATAATTCATTTCTCACTTTTATCATTTACGTATGATCTTTGAAGAATGCTTGTACAGCTTGGTGATACCCCATTATCTGTGATAATTGTCAACAACTTGTTTTGGTTAGTTGGTTAGGAACTGTGACATAAGACAAGGTGTGGTGGGGTGTGTACGATCTTCCTGGTCTAAATCCCTTTTCTCCTTCAGATTCGATTATTTCTTCTGATCTTTGAATAAGTGCCGATCCAGATAGGATTCCAAGTTTTATCGTGAGAGACTCTTTCTACGCACTGTGTGCTGTTTTATGCCACATTTTTAACCTGGTACTTGGTGTTTATCCAGAACCTTGGAAAATGTCCAAAGTTTATCCTATTCTCAAAAAAAGTTATTCTTCCGCAGTAGAAAATTACACCTTAACATCAACAAGTGTGATGTGGTTTCTTAACGCCACACAAAAACTCCTATAGTCTTTAAGTACATTGTAGATAATACTATCCTGACTAGACTTGCCATTGTGAAGGATCTGGGGATTTTATTTGACCAGACGTTCCCTTTTGTACCACGAATTATCAAAATGGTTTCCAGTGCAAATGCAACGCAAATTTTAGAATTCGTAATAAGAAATTGCAGACATTTTTGTAGCTTGTCTACCATTAAACTACTATTTCACAATCACGTAAGGTCCAAGCTTCACTGAGAGTGTGCGGAAGAGGTTACCGAAATATCTAATGTTCAGGAAGGAGGGTTCCTATCCTGAGAGAATAGTTCATCATGATCTTCTACTGGGAAGAGCCTACGCAGAGACTTGCAATGTGTGTCATTTCTGTCAAGTTACGGAAACGAATGTCCTTTTGTTCTGGAACAATTTCGTTTTTCCACATCCAATATACATTTTTTTTAAATATGTGTGTTAAGCTAAACAAATTATAATCACACTGATATTATGATGGTCTTCAGGCGATACTTAGGCAACTTCAAGTAGCGTCAGCTTATCCGTATTGAAAAGCCGTATCCTTTTCTAGTTTTCGTTATAAAGTCGGTAGGGACTTTAAGGTTAGTCTTTACGTTGTCTGTAATTAATATGGCATATGATTTATATTCAGTATAATTGATAATGGGATCATGTTACCTATTGAGAATAAAGTATATTTCTTATTATTATGTAATTAATGTAATGTAAATGTAAATTAATGTAATGTAAAAAAATATCGTAATTCGTAATTGTTATTATAATCTGATTCGTTGCACCTCTCAGAAATTATTTTCTCTCACCTTACATAGTTGCCATAGCATCCACACATATGTAGACAACATTCGTCCCACTCGTCCCTTACCTAAAGGCACAAGGGCAATTTTACGAATGACTTGTGCGGTGTCTATTAGTTGGACATCTGGGATCAACATTTTTACTCGTCCTAAATGTTCAGGTGGTAGATGAATAAATAATCGAATATTGTAGTTGTTAAGGTTTTATAAAAGGACCATTACATTCAATATCACAATATTCATCAGTCTTAATATTATCTTAACGCTTAAGAATACTGCACTTTTTCTACACATCTAATATACATACATTAGTTTTAGTCAATATTTATGTAATTGTTGGCAAATAAATAAATATTAAGCAATTTCGGAAAAAGATGGGTTTTTTTAATTAAAAACTAGAAGAGACAAAGTGGCGTAGCGTCGACATTAGCTGCATAATTAGCTGCTCTTTTCTATACGTCAAAAGGTTACAAACAATTTGTTAGCAAAAAAAATTGATCATTTAAAAAAAAACTAGTTAAAGGGTTGCCAAAATATAACAAATTGTTTAAAACTACTGGCTTGCCAAATTTCAATTGTACCGTCAAAGTAACAAAACTAACCGCACATAATCTGCGAACTATTGGTGCCCCCCCCCCCCCCCCCAGGTCAATGCAACGTTGCGAATAACAGCGACGCGAGTATTAACGAGCCGTCGAATCCGCTCGATGTCGCCGCGGAGTTAATTTCGTTGCAGTCCTTCAAAAAGACGTACTTCTGAAACTTAGCTATCAACAGGTTCCTGCTGCAGTCGGGCGGCGCGGGGGGCGGTCCCGCCGCGTCCTCCGGAGGCAAATAGTTTCCGCATTTCGGAAATGCCGGGGGCACCGGAAGCATCTCGTCGTTTTCGCCGACTTTCAGCACCAAAGCCATGCCGATCTCCGCGTGGAACTCGATATGGCAATGGAAGATCCAATATCCTGGAAAAACAAACGCAAAACGTTAGCAAAATCGAGTTGTCGCACGGGTAGGTCGAATAGGTAATGTAAATGTAAATGGCGGATATATTAAGCAAAACTTTGAGATTGTTATGATACTCTTTTAAAATATTGTAAAAAAAATTGTACAGAGTGTCCCACCGAAAAGTTCGTTGATCAGTTATAAGAGCAATATAAGTAGCAAACATTTAAAAATTTGGAATACTGGTGATGGCAATTCGGCTAAAAATATTTTCAAGATATCGCCACATTTTATTAAAAGTGTGTCCCCATTTTCCCCAAATTTTACTTTATTAACTTATGCTGTAGGAAAAGGTCTGTTGAACAGATTTTTTTATCAATGTCGATTATTAATATGCATGGAATTTTCTGGAGAATTCAAAAAAGTATTAATATAATGGGTATTCCATTTAAAATAGCAAAGTTGACGCGCATAGACATTAGTATAGTTGACGCATTACCATTTTGGATTGACGTCACGCTGGTTCCGAATAACGTATGTCTTATATTATTTATATTTTAGCAATGATCCCCAACCTAAAATACTAAAATATTTATGATAATGATGTTGTGTTGTGTATTGTTGTGTTTTGTTGCATTTGAAGCGCGTTAAATTACATTGTCAATTTACAGAAGGATTCAATTTTTAGCTTAGATTTTCAAAACTGGTCTCTGTGATTGCTGATTATATATTTGAGAGAAAGGCAATACGCCAACTAAAAAGAAAACTTCATATGAACATATGTCCCTTAACAAATTATATTTCTTTAATATCTGTAATACCACTTTAGATATTTTAATGAAATTTGGCACACACGTCCTAGGTATCAAGAGGCATTATTTAGTGTACTACATTTTGTAAATATACCAGTGGCGGGCGTAAGGAATTTCACCTGCCCATGTTGGCAGACATTGATGCTACGCCACTGATTTATATTAAAATAAAAATTATTTTTACAATCTCCAATCATTTATAAAGAAATTTAATTACTTAACGTTTTTCTATCCGATGTACAGGTTTCGCTTAAAAAAATAAAAATCTCTTCTCTGCATGGTCAAAACAATATCATTAATATGACAGCAGTCGGAAAAATTAGCTTTTATTTTTAGGTGGAAACCGTGCAACGGACTTGTTTAATTTTACGGTTTTAATTAAATAACATAACATCCTAACAAGAAGATAAATAATAAACGATTCCTATTACAAAAAAACAATCTAGTATTAATAATTTTTAACAAACTTGTCTATTACTAAATTAATAGCGAAAAAAAGGAGAACATAGAAACTGGATAAGTTGTTGAAAGTGTCCTCCACCCTTCAGCTCTTTTCCCCATATTGACGAGCACTCTTTGAAGTATACCTACAGCTCTTCTACAGTGTTAACTGGGGTCCAAACTATTTAAATCTAGGGTGCCATGGTTGATGTCCGCTGCGACCCACCCATTGGTTCTCAAATGTGAGATTTAAATATGTATAACTGCTACTTCCTAACCACATTCCATTCCTAATTAAGTATGGTACTCCTTCTAGCAATATTCGAGCCCAAACATTTATCGAAAACTGTTCTTGATGGTTAAATTCTACAACTGTATGACGATTAGAAGAGGTTTTTATTTTTTTAAAGCGAAAACAGTGCATCCAAATGAAAAAAATCAAAAAATAAAATTTCTTTAGAAACGATTGCAAATTCTAAGAATAATTTTTATTTTAAGAGAAATCAGTGGCGTACCATCATTGTCTGCCACTATAGACAGGTGAAATTCCGCACGCCCGCCACTGGTGTCTTTAAAAAAAATGTTGAACACTAAATAATGCCCCTTAATATATAGTACACGTCAACCAAATTTCATTAAAATACCTAAAGTGGTATTACAGATATTAAAAAAATATATTTTATTTTCGAAAATTGTACCAGCTTGTATCTTAAAAGTTAAGACATTCAGGACTAATGTTCATGGACCCAAAAATCGTTCCCTTAAATAGAAATTAGAAAACACCTTGCATATTTTAACTACTATACTTTTCTAATTTAGTATATACCGTATGTTTGGCTCGCTGGTTTTTTTAGCTGCTTTGGTATTATTAACAACGTCTGCTCCTAACCCATTAATTCGGAATTCTGTTCTTGTCAAAAGAGAATGGGTTTATTAACAAAATATTTTCCAAATGGGCAAACTCTCTGTTGACAACCAGCGCTCTCACAAAAACAAAGCCTGAAACGTCGACTCAAGAGAAAGAGTGTATCTACCAGATACCCTGTGAATGCGGAGAGTCATATATTGGCAAAACCAAACGACCTCTAAAAATAAGAGTTGAAGATCATAAGAAACATACAATTAAGGGTGAAACGCGACAATCGGGTATCGCAGAATATGTGTGGACCAAACAACACAACATCCAATGGTCCAGAGCGCCGGTTGTTCACAGAGAGCAGCATTGGCGAAAGCGCAAATTTAAAGAAGCAGTTTTCATTAGAAACAATGAAAACATCTTCAGCAATCCAAGCGTGGATATACCAACAATTTGGCAACCTCTAATAAGGCGCACCAATGCTGGCGTTCTAGTTGAACAACTTCAAGCTTGACTACAGCCGACTCCATCATGGATGAGCGCCGTCGTCTAGTATAATAAACCTTGTAGCTTTAGAATTAAGTTTAGTTTACACTTGATAACGGGTAGTGTACAACTACCCGGAACGTTGGTAAGTTAAAAATAAAGACAATGGAAGCTCGACATCGTTTTAGTATTTAAACACTATATATGAGGATAAATTGTTCTCATTATTGTGGTATTATATATTGATTATACCTTTGGAATAATTGTTATCATTATAAAAAATAAACGCACACTATTATTAATATTTATTATTATCGTAGTTTTAACTCGTCTGAAGTCTACTGCGCATTTAGAAACTTGCGCACAATGTGGCAAGATTGTAAGATTATCTCCATTATACTCGGACCTTTTCAAGCTGCGAGGTATGTTTCATGTCGATGCACAACTTCTGGTATTTCCTGATCTTCTCGACCTCTGTTTTTTTTTTCAAATTACAGGTTAAGGGACAGCCAATATCGATAAAACAGCTTTCCTTTTTTTCTTTTATCCCACTACAATGTCCGGTAATCTACAGTCCATTCAATAAGTATAGGCCGCTCCCAATATATTAAAGTATCCTCTGCTTTGACGACTGCAGTAGATGAGTATTTATTCTCTTCCAGGAGAATTTATTTAATTCTTAGATGACCTGGGGTGCTCAATTTGCACCAGGGAGCAATTATGTGCACAATGGTCTCAGCATTATAGGAGCATTTTCTACACACATCATGTACAGATTGGTCGCCTATTATACTTTTATTATAATCTCTAGTTTTTCGTGGATATTGGACATTGGCCACGCATTTCTTTTTCTTGCTTGTGAATCATCCTGTTCTTCTGGTATATCTACATTTATCTCGCTTAAGTTCATAGGGCTATATCCAGGGACCACATTTTTTAGAATTTTATAAATAATTTTTAAATATTGATCAAGGCCACGTGGAAGGCATATTCTTTCGATGGCGCCTTTCAGATGGGACAGTCTGTGCTTCGTAAAGCTTGTTCGATTAGCCCATATAGCTATAATATAATATAGTGGACCTACTTATACTATCTAAATTAAAAAAACAAATTCCTGTGGACATGCTGGGCAAGTAAGCACGGAAATATTGTAAGGGAACTCCCAAAAACCATATCCAATATTGCAATACAGACAATAACCCCTAAAATCTGACGTTTTCCCAGAGATTCAATCATACCATTAAAGAGCCACTTCGGAAAGCTTCAAAATGATGTATTTCAACCACCTCTAAACGGTCGGAAAGAAAACTACCCCCAATAATGAAATACCCAAACTTTAGATGTATTTATTTCGCAATCTCAAAGAAAACCGACGTTGTCCCATATGTTCAGTTAGACCATTGAAAAGAGCTTCAAAATGATGTATTACTCAATCACCTCTAAACGGTTAGGAAGATATAATTGAGCAATTTGAAACACTCAAAAGTTCGTTATATTTATTTCGCATTCTCAAAAAAATCTGACGTCCCAGACATTGAATTGCAACACTAAGAGAGCTCAAAATGATATATTTATCGACCATCTCGAAACGGTCGGGAAGATATAAAACTACCCCCAATAATGACCCCCTAAAATTCGTTTCACTTATTCCGGAATCTCAAAAATATCTGACAATAAAAAAAATGACAAAATATGCAGGGTGTGCAACCTAACATTTTAAATGTGAGAACTATTTGAAAACGAATTTTAGGGCATCTCATAATTGGGAGTAGTTTTATATCTTCCTGACCGTTTCGATATGGTTGAGTAATACATCATTTTGATGCTCTCCTAATTGGCTCTTTAATAGTCTCATTGAATATCTGGAATGTCAGATTTTTTTAAGATTATGAAATAAATATATCGAACTTTTGGGTATTTCATTATTGGGAGTAGTTTTATATCTTCCCGATCGTTTCGAGTTGGTTGAACAATTTTGAATGTCTCCTAAGTGGCTCTTTAATAGTATCATTGAATATCTGAGACGTGGTTATTTTCCGTATGGCAACATTGAATATGGTTTTCGGGAGTTCCCGGGCTTACTTACTCAGCATGTCCACAGAAATATGTTTTTTTAATTAAGATAAGTAACGAACTGGTTTACTGTAATATTTGCAAATCCGAATCCAAATCTAACTTCAGCCACTTGTCTGTGCCCTGTGCCATTGTTGTTTTCATTTTTGGTGTCTATATCTCCGTACCGTACTCACAAACTTGTATAATTTGTACTTTGTACAGAATTCCCTACATTTTTATGTACACTCAAATAGCTAGAAAGGATGTTTGGGTGATGTGTTTTAGTCTACAAGAATTATAGGAAATATAATAAAGCCATTAAGTTAAAAGTTTAATTTTTACTGGAACAAGCATAAGAAATATCCCTTGTCAATTACTGTTTATAGGAGGTGCTTCTTGAATATTTTTTCACTTATCTTATCATATCATATCTGCAGGGTTTGAAGGACAAAAACGCCAAATTAATTACAGAATTATACTATCGCCGTTGTGGGTGCCTGAAAATTCAATAGGATTTCGACTTATCTTGAGGAAATTCTGCCGTAAAAATGCCGCATATAAACATCGACGATCTGTCAGCGGCCATTTTGTTTGTTGAAAGCCTTATGGATCTGTTGCCATTGGTTAAAAGCGAAATTTTAAATCTCACGCATGCGCATGTTGCACCTATTGCATAGGTGTTAATAGCAGTGATTTGACCTTGTCAAAATGTGTGTATTATTTTTTGTCATGGGATTTAATATATCGCTTTCAAAACATTCTTGCAAGTAAGAATAAAATAGGACTAATATTTTAACCTTTTTCCATTAAAACACTGTGTAGAAAAATTACCATTCTTTTAGGGATTTCAAGCTTTCGTTGGAAATAAAAATCCAATGTCACTTTTTTCTACTAAGGTTCTCTTATGCGAAAAATTGAAAGGAAAAGCTTTTGCCTACAATCGTCTATGGCTTCGAGGTTAAAACTTTTTTAAATTTGATTTCGAGAAGTCAAGGCTGAAGATTATGTACCCTTAAAACTATAAATATTGTCTTTAAGAGTGCTCTTTGGAACGCAATAACAGGACAACTGGAATGCCGCTGAAAATCAAAACTTGGTAATCGATTTTCGCGAATGTTTCTGGATCCACCACTTACCTGGATTGTTCGCTTCGAATCTAACGATCGTGTAACCCCCGTCCGGCACAGTCACCGTGTCCTTAAGCGGCGCGTCTAGTAAATTCCTCTTGATCAAACCCGCTTCGTCTCTTTTCTTCACATCGTCCACCGTAACGTTCATCCCCATCCTTTCCATCGCCACCACCCTAAACGCGTAGCCGTGTAAATGCAACGGGTGGTTCGCATCGTACGCAAAACCTTCGTCGATCAACACCAGTTCCACCACGGAGTTCAGAGGAATCTGGCAATCAAGATTTTGGTCGTTTATCGGGGTATAATACGACCAAAAATATAGTACATTTATGGTTTTGACATTTTAAGCACCTTAACCGCAGATCTTAGCAGGACCGTCGTAAAACCCATCCCAACAGATGTCTATTCTGCATTAAGTAGGTCCTGCCTGAGATGGACCGTAACTAGTATTTGTAGAAACTCGAAATTTTTATTTGAAACGTAAATGGACCGTTTTCATTTTGATGCTGCGGAGTGTTTTCGAATAAGTAGAAGGGTTTATTTTAACATCGGGTGATATGTATCGTTCTTAATAGTTTAATCTAAATTGCTAAATTGCTAAATTGCGTATATATTACGGAGGTATTTGACTGAGATCTTTCCAGTAGGTACGTATTTATGTACCCGATTCTTGAGCTTTGTCCCTGCGCGGTTGTTTTCACTCGATAGTTCAAACAGTAAGTCCCAGTACTCTATTTATCTTACAGGTAAGGTTGAAAATAATCATTTTTGTCTTGTGCGCCCGTCGATTAACAACATTATTCTTCTTGTATTTTTGTGTTTTCTACATAGTTCTTCGATTTGTAAACAACGACAGTACTTTTTAAGACTATAGATTATATTCGCTATAGTTAAGAATACAGATAAATATTTATTAGAATCTTAAAATCAAACAGACTTAAAAATTATTTGTGCGTATTTTTTTAAAGAAAATGGATTTTCAGTTCCAAACAGCTAATAAACATCAAGTGCTAATGGAATTTCAAAGAATTTCGAATGGACGGTGGATTATTTAAATGCAATTTAAAATTTCGAGAGCAAAATAGGCCAGTAGTGTAATTAGACGAAACGTGGTTCAACACTCAAAACACAGTACCAAGTGTGTACTAGACGTGCCGCCTTCACATGGAAAACGCATAATAATTCTTCATGCAGGGTTCAATGGTGGAAAAACGTCAAAGATTCAAGTGTGGACTACCATGACCGCCGAAATATGTTCCCAACACTATCGCCACTTAAGCGCAATTTATAAAAAAATCAAATACTTCTTCAAAAGAGAAGAAAGACTACAAAACAGGGTATGTTACTCTGCAGTAAAATACGAGCCCAGTTTCAGTCAAGCTCTGAAGAAGCCAACAGGATGATTGGCGAAACATCAGCAAGTTCGACTCAGCAAAAATTGACGCAGATCGACGCATGAGGAATCCAGAAGTTGTGTAAAAAGTATTACAGTAGCCTGTAAAGGTTCTTTGAAAAAGAAAATTGACTACAAAATCGATTCGATAGCACAACAAAACGAACATGAAATCTTGAGATCATCCCCGTATCGTTGTATATTTAACCGGCTTGAGATGATTTGCTGTGATTTGAAAGCGGTTACGGGTAAGGATCTGCTTGGCAGGGTGTTCTATAAGAGGTTGCTGTTTTAGAGTAAGAAACAGTAGGCAAAGTTAATCCACGAGAACGGTTGCAAACGCACCATATTTCTGGTCGAACTATACATAGGGTCGGTTTTTGCTCACCTCGTAGCCGTGTGAGCATTCGCAGTACTCGGTGGTGCAGTTTTGGTCTTTGACGGTCATTTCGTTGCAGAACATGCCCTCGGTAACTTCGTCCCTTTGCGGTAATAGGGGAAACGACGGCACTTTCATCGAGATGTGGTTGAATTGGGGCGTTTGCAGCTGATTGGTCGACGGTGACACTGTTACAGAATATGATATTATGCTAAAGTCTATTTTAGAAAGGTATAGTGCAGGGGTCGGCAACCTACGACCCGTGGGTCACCGACTGACCCATTTTAGTTCCGGAAAAGAAGTATAAGATAAACAAACCTTTTTTGTTGTATTGTGTAGTAAATTTTGGAAAACAAAATAAATTCTTAAAGAGCAACAATCACGCTACGTCTGCCAGCTTTGTTGCAGCTTTTAGCAGTGGTACCAAGGAAAAACCATCTACAGACGGCGAGTTCTTGAAAAACGCATTAGTAGATAAACAAAGGTGGTTCTGCAACAACATAACCTCAAAGAATTACAATCACCTCCCTCGCCGTCCGCGGGGGCCATCATCCTTCTGGAGGGTGCTCCGCCCCCGATGCTTGTGATCTGTGCTCCGACCCGGGGGGGGGGGGCACATGTCAGACATTGAGAACATAACCTAAAAAAAACGTGGTGACTTTCGACCGAGGATCGAAATTGACACCCGGGTGGCGAGGGGGACGATTGCAAGTTTTGAGGTTATGTTGTTGCAGAACTCCCTTTGTTTATCTAATCGCTTTCATAAATTATTCCGTACACTTATTTAATTACTTCGCAAATAAAAAATAAATAATTGAGAGAATCAAAGAAATGTCATTGTCAGCTAGAACAGTCCAGCTTTGAAGATATAGCCAGGAATATTGATGAACAGGTCAAAAATGATTTGTTACCTTGTGACATAATTAGCATTGCAATTAACGAAAGTACTGACATAAATGGTATTGGCAGGGTTGCAATAATTTTTAGATCTGTATCAATAAATAGCTCGACTGCCAATGAAGAACTATGCGTTCTTGCTTCAATGAATGACACTATCAAAGGCACTGATATATTTTGTCAAGTACAAGAGTTTACAAATTTCAAAAATGGGTAATTATTGGATTTAAAAAACAAATTGCTTTCCATAACAACTGACGGTGCTACAAGCATGAGAGGAAAAACTGTTGGACTTGTAAAACTAATGAAAAATGAACTTGGCCGTTCACTTCTATCGTTTCATCCATAAAGAAAATTTAATTGCAAAGGCATCTACACAACAACTTAAGGATGTAAGGGAAAAAGTTGTTAAGATTGTAAACATGATAATAGCGCGATCACCAGCAATACAGAGGCGCTTTAAAGCATTTGTGGAGGAAATTGATGATATACAAATATTTCTTGACGAAATCGGTAAAAATGATCTCAAACTCAATGATAAACAATGGTTTTCAAAACTTTTATTCTTAACAGACATAATAAACGTACGACTCCCAGGAAACAACCGAACAATTTTGAAAATGAATGAGGAATGGAAGAGTTTCAGGTCATAATAATTTGAAACTGAATAAAAAAATTCATTTCTGTCCCTTGTTAAAAAGGGAACATGAATGAATTTCGGTCATTAAAAGTGAATATGAAAATCGGTTTCGAAGTCTTAAGAAACATGGAGAAATGCGTACATTTATAATAAGCCCGATGAAATTGCAGAAAATATTATAAATGTACAGTATTTTGAATATATAAGATTTGACAATCTTAGTGTAGAAATGATTGATTTTAAAAGTTCAACATTATGGACGGATAAATTCAAGAAATTGCGGAACGATTTGGAAAATGCAGAACATAATCATTTTCTCATGATATCAACATGTTAGGCGTCACTTCCTACAGGTTCTCATCAGAAAAAAAAATTGGCTTTGCCATTTTGTCCACATTCCGATCCACTCACAAATGTGAGCAAATATTTTCACAAATCAAATTTATTTTAAGTAAAAACAGGAGAAAGTTAACTACTAAAAAATTCAGATACTTATGTTTGCCTTAAAACGACAAACTATAAACCAGAATTAAGTAAATTGACGTCAGAAGTTCTATGTTTGTATTTTCTTAATAAAATATATCTTATTATTTACTAAAATGCTATTTTAATACGAAAATACCTCTGGCCCAAATGTCTCTAATACTCACATTTTAGTTGACTTTGACCCGCGGCAAAAAAAATGTTACCGACCCCTGATACAGTGTAATAAAACTAGATTTGGTTAGAGCATACAATGAGACTACAGAGTGTACCAAGAATACTTATGCCATTCTGATTGTTTGGCATTGCTAAATTTTTTGTACCGACTGCAGGTCGGACTACCGGGGCTTGGGTCAATTTATGAGTTTTGCCCATTGTTATCCATTCATCAACAGTAAAAATGGAGTACCAACGGCGCCCCGGTGATTAAAAGGAAAAAATTGTATTTTATCAGAATAAAATTTAGACATTGTGTACATAGTACTCAAAGTATATATAATATATAGTATATAGTATAGAATATATATATTATCCAGAAATTAATTTATAAAAAGTCATAATATTCTTCGTCATCCGAGGATCTGTCATCTCCTCTCAACGTTATAATCGACGAGACGACAGTCTAATCGATCAAGTAGTCAATATTTTCTCCTCTTTTTGAATTATATGTTGGACTGCTTTTCGCCAGTTTTCTGCCATCACAAAAGCTTAAGCTCAAGCCCGCAATTATGGAAGTTACCTGCCGACGGCAATAAAACTCAGGTCCGGTTATTATTAAAGGACAGAACCTTAGGGACGGACTCTCAAAGGTTTCGGTAATTTTTTTTTGTTTATTTAGGTGGGTAAAATCTTATTCAATTACACAATAAATTCATAGCAAGGAATATCTATACTTAATAAAATTTTTATTCTAAATGTCTAAATCAAATTGCTTCACTATCAGAGTAGTTATTGATATTAATTATAATAAGATGATTAACAAAGCGTTAGTAAGCTTGATTTACAAAATATTTTTTTGATATATCTTTCGCGACGAATTTCATAAAACGACTATTTTGTAAATTTACTATATGTAATAGTTTTTTCTTTATCAAAATATCTCCAGAATCAATATTTTTGGTGGTTAAACAGTCTATAATTTCATGCTTTCAAAAAGATAAAGTTAGAGTTAATTGTCATGTGTCATGAATAAATTGTGTTATCCATAACTACGACTGAAGCAGCCGGGCTTTTTACTCGTCCGTCGAAACTTTTCTTCAAAGATTCCACCTGCTGCCTCTCATTTCCGAAATTGAAGAACGGTGGACTTTCCAACCCCAATCATAAAGTAAAATTTGAGCATCTTATTTCACGAAATCATGTATTTGGTGGCCAATTACGAAGGACCGTAGTAACTATCGTAATGAAAATGCTGGGAATTATTTTGAAATTTAAAATCTCGTTTTTTGAGAAATAGTCTTATGCTACATATAACTAAAATAGACGCCATTCGCTTCTCTTCGTAGAACAGTTTTCGCTCTACCTTTTAAAGAAAAGTGATGAGGGTTCTCCGAACATTTTCGGAAATGAATATTAACAACTTCAGTGCGGCTGAGTGGAATCGTTAAAAAGGGGGTTTCTTAGGCCATCAACGCTCCCATGAGCGGATTAATTTCGATTGCTTGTACAAAAATTAAATGCAACGATATCATGCAAAAATAAGTAAAAATCGCATTTCGTTACCTCTTTCCTAACCAATAATATCAGTAAAGCATATAAAAATAAATAATGATATAAAATAATATAATATAATAACAATAATAAAAATAAATTAATGTCACCATTCTTGGGGACATTTTCAGGATACCTACTATTATTAAATAACTATATTTTTTTTTAGCATATATATATATATATATATATATATATATATATATATATATATATATATATATATATATATATATATATATATATATATATATATATATATATATATATATATCTGAAAATTTTAGTGTGTTTATCTGTGATATTGTTTTTCGTTATTATATATATATTCTTGGGGACATTTTCAGGATACCTACAATTATTAAATAACTATATTCTTTTTTTAGCATATATATATATATATATATATATATATATATATATATATATATATATATATATATATATATATACATATCTGAAAATTTTAGTGTGTTTATATATATATATATATATATATATGTATATATATATATATATATATATATATATATATATATATATATATATATATATATATATATATATATATATATATATATATATATATATATATATATATATATACATATCTGAAAATTTTAGTGTGTTTATCTGTGATATTGTTTTTCGTTATTATACAATAGTACAGATAAATACTAAGATTTTTCAGTTTTAATGCCGGATACTTCATTGCGTTGATTCTGAAAGAATGTGAATATGTTGAAATTAAACGCAAAACAGGTGGCATTTTTTTACAAATAAAGCCACCAAAGTACACAAAATACCAACGAAAATCCGTATTTTATAAGGCCTGCAAATATTTCCAAAGAGGGCGACTTTTTTTAGAGTTTTTACTGCTTTTCCTGATATTATGACATGAACACACTTTCAATTAAAAGAGAGAGAGCAAGAACCATTTGACAAAAAAGAATCAAATTTATCCAAGCTTTACAATAATGAAAAATTGATTGAAGTATCCAATAGTTTTTTTTTTATTATTCGTTATAAGCTTTTTTTTGCCTAAATAAACAGTGTTACATTCTTGGGCTACCTGTAAAAAATGTTGAACCAAAAATCATCAACTTTTGCCAACACAATCCACATCACACTCGATACCAAGTTCTAAGTGGCAGAGTGGACCAAGGAATTTGTTATTCAACCCTACGATCAGTCTCATGGATTAGTCAATGAGAAGGAAACAAAATCTAGAATGAAGTAAGTTTCTTAAGTTTACAATCTTACACTACAGCAGTTCAGCAAAAAAGAAAGAATTAACGACGGTGTTGAGGTACGACGCGGAAATTTCTTGAATTCCGCTTTCAGGCGTATCAAGAATTTCGCGTTAGCGGTTTTCCCGCAACTTTATTTACATTGTATTTTCAATTTCCGTGTTAATTGCGAGGTGCTGGAAGCGCCGCCGCTTTACATAAGCCGAGCCACAAGTTGGTATTATTGTAGTTTTGAGTATCCGTTAAAATATATGTTGGAATGTATGTTTCCCGGTCGGTGAGAACGTTTCCAAAAATAGAGGAGAAAAGCAAGACAATGTAGATAAAGTTAGATGGCTTGGTTTCCCAGAAGTTTTAATTTATTAAATAAATGCAGTATAACGAAAGGGTTTTAACATTAAGTGGGAGATTATTTCATACACTAGCAAAGCGATAAACGCAAACTACATTTCCAAGTTTGCTGTGCGGGAAAATGAGGCCCAGAATAAACGCAAATTGCACGTTTGGCAGCCTTGTGTAAATGGCATTATTCAATAGGCAGTCAAAAATTAAGAACGACATGGTTTTTTCTTCCAAACTCCATATTCAAAATTGTGTTGCTATTTAGATAAAAGGGTGATGTCATGGCGATAAGCGATAAAAGAATACCTTTTGAAATTTTGCTTTATAACGACTTGACAAGACTTTTCCATAGACGGTATTGCCATAACCGAAATAAATAATGACAATACAAAACGGTCACAGAAATAATACTTGGTTTTTGATGGAAGTATGTTTATAAGGTGGTAAATATTTTGAAGGCGTAGGTTTTTAATTTAATGAAGAAACTTCCACAGGCTATTATTTACAAATCTTCAGCATCGATTGTTTATAAATTAGACTTTGCGAAGTTTCGCCAATCATTATGTTGACTTTTTCAGAGCTTAACTGAAACTGACTCGAATTCTACTCCGTGCTAGCTTATATATTGTTTGAGGGGGCGTAGCTAATCAACATCAGTCTAGTAAAATATCGTTAGACACAAGACAGCTAGTGAGACATACCAACAGTAGAACTATTTACGCTAGAATTGATTATAAATGATGGATTGAGACACACCTTTGCCACGGTCCAAAACGACCACGCAAGAGAGAATCCAAATATTATTGAATACGTCGTGCATGGTATCAAATCAACAATTGTGTACGTAAGCAAAGATATTGCACCAAATATCAAAAAGCATAAGAAGCATAGATTTGATGGAAGTCCGGAGGCAATATAAGATCCGATCAGAAAAACCTATGTATACCCAAATTCACCAAGAGTTTCGGGTTAAGATTAGAAGCGCAAAAGAATAGTGGATGGAAGAACGCTGCGATGAAGTTAATGCTTTACGGAACAAAGGGAACTCGTTTGACTTACATAAGAAAGTCAAAAAATATCAACATAGATCAGAAACAGCATAAATCTAGAATACGAAATGAACAAAACGAGTAAATCACATCCGAAGAAGAGCTGTCTAGAATATGGAAGAATTGCGAATTCAATCGTTTCAAAGAATGTATAGACCACCACAACTAGCTTGTAATCTCCCAACCGAGAGCCTATCTGGCTAACCTATATTCAAAGGGTTAGGTCGTCTATGCAGTTAAAACTGATGTCATTAACATCGAGGCCTTAAAGTTATTAGATTATAAAAATGTGAACACCTTGGTGGAGTTATTTCATCGTATTTGTGACACAGGTACGCCACTTCAGAATGGTTACAGTCTACATTTATAATGTAGTATATAAAATGGTAAATAATGGTAGTAATATAAAACATTGGACAGTTATAAATAACACTGGTGAGCTTTGTCACGCTGCTCTCAGTAGAACCTTGTCTTTGAGATAGTCGCCAACGCACTACGTGTAGGGTGTGTCAAGAAGAAGAAGCTAAAGGAGGGACAAAAATATTGTCGGATGATTCCTATAATGGTCGCTGTTAAGATTGTTTGATTGCTTATAGATTTCTAGATATTCTTGGATTTTTTTTTTAGAAAAATTGATTTCAAGAATTTGAGTTTTATCGATTAAGATTTGATGTCCGCTTTTTTATGATTGTGATCGACTGACTATTTGTGGTAGTCTTAAAGATCTTTCATGTTATTTGAGCCTAGTTAATATTTTTCGTCCTGCCTCTCCAATTATTCTTTGCCGCATATGCATGGAATGCTGTAAACTCCTGGTATGTCAAATGATTAAATTAGAAACTCACAATAATAATGCCTTAATGCATTATAACATCACCATCCAGCCCAAAAATTATAGTTTATCTTATTACAGAGTGTTAAAACTATCTCAACCCGAGTCACTGACCCTAGAATTAAAACACCTCACATCTGCTCTTCGCTCTAATAATTTCAACATTAGTGATATTAAACCTTCGATTACAAAATACACTTCACCACAATCTTTCAAAGACAATGAGTCCAAAAGCATCACATTTGGCACTGTTGTCTTTCATTACATTCAAAACATCACTGTCCACAGAACAAAAGTTCTTAACAAGTATAATGTTAAAACCAAAAATTTCTCAGTATCTTCGATGGGTCAGAGATGAAATTACGTTTGAGATACTCCGAGTTTACAGAATTCCAGGCATATACGGCAAAAAATACAACGAAAAATATCAACTAGGCTGAAAAAATATGAAAGAGCCTTAAGACTACGACAAATAAACTCATCAGTAGTTGCCGTACACAATAATGTGACCGGACATCAAATCTTATTCTATAAAACTAGACTAAAACTAAAAAACTCCCAGAATCCATAGAAACCTGTAAGCAACCAAACAATCTTAACAGCGACACACCAATATGAGAGTCGGTCATCCGCTTATCCCTTTTTTTTAGCTCCCCCTCCTCAAACAATGTATAAACTGGAACTGAATAGAATGCGAGCCAGTTTCATATAAAGCTTTGAAGAAGCCAACAAGATGAACCGGTGAAACATTGTCAATTTTGAATGTTGGTTGTAAATAGTCCCTGCTTCGCTTATTTTGCTCAACTATAATTGATTTCCTTTTGTTGCGTTTAGTTTTAAATTATGTTCCTTGGCATATCTATTTTAATTTTTGATGTCTACCAAATTATTGGAGGCTATAAGCATGTAGCTTTGGGAGTCTGGCTCACTGCTGTAGAATAGTATACTGTAGGCAGTTGTTAACTGCCACAAAATTAAGCCTTAAATGATGGTTTGTGTCGGGATCTTTGTGCATTTTCTCTATATATGTTGAAATCTGTTGGTATATGTATTTATTGGATACTTTCGATACTGCAAGTAATATACAATGGCGCTTACCGTTGTAGAACTCGTATCCTGGCCTGTGAAAGTTGTGGTTGTTGAGGTTATAAAAATCGTAGGCGATGTAAAATTGATAGTCCGGGTGCGTCTTTAAGCTGGCATCCCACTTCTGCAACGACTCCAACTGGGGCATGCTGACGAATTCGGTAGAGTTGTCTTCGGTTCCCCGGTTCAGAGCGTTCATTTGCTGTGGACAAACAGCAACAGTAGTAGCGCCCTCTTTCGAGCGCTTCCAAAGACTCACCTTGCCTTCCCTTTTCGAGTTGTCGTAGTCCGGATCGCCCGGAGGCAGGTACTCGTCGTTATCGAGGACCTGCTCGGCGACTTCGAACCCATTGTACTCCACCACTGCCAGCTGGTGCGCCCTGAAGAAGCGCTCGTCGCAGTCCATGAGCCCCCTAAATCGCATCCAGTAGAGGTTTTTGGGCTGGTCGGCCGAGAGGACGAAGTCGAAGCGCTCGCCGGCGTAGGTGACCAAGGATTGAACTACGGGTAGAAAAGTATCCACTCGTGTTAAATCGTTTTTTTAGTGGATGACCTTAGCGCAAATCATACCGCCAAAAAAATCCAATTATTGGTTCCGTTGGAATTTTCGACGAGGTCCTTCTAATCGAAAAAAACATCTCACTAATTGATAATTATCTTTAAAATGTAATTTGCAATTTTTTTTTTGGAAGTCATTGCAGATGCTATACCAAGATTGCGTAACGCGGGTTACATCATCGTCTCGCGGCAAAAATAACCCCGCCGCGATGATTTAAAACAAATAAATCCTCGACACGGACGTAGATTTAAAAATACTTGCACCGGGTGATCATTTACAATATTCTAGAATTTATAAGTTAAATCTTAGGTGACTGTGAAGTAGGTCGTCATCAAAACACAAAATGTTGGTTTATAAGTGACAGTGACAGTTACCAGTTACAGATTTAGCGAAACTTACGTTCTTTATAATTTAAAATGTCTTATTCTGAAATAGAAAGGCAATTTATTAACCCCCGAATGCATATTCCGGACAAAAAAATCTTTCATGAAAAATTTCCAGGAAAGCCAAAACATTGGAAAGAGATAAAGATTGTGATTTCAAGACTTTATAATATTTCCTAAAGAAAAATATCGGTAAGCTTGAAAGAAGAGTTTCATAATTCATAATTCATAATTAGGTCTACCACAAAATTAACGCCCAGGCATCGAAGAAAAAGAGTTATATACAATGTTTTTTGGACCAACGAGTCATTGTTTTCAACCAGTGGTATCCTCTTTGTTGCAGGCAATTTCAATTTCAAGGATATCAAACTATAAATGTGTACTGAGCTATTTTAAACAACAGAATAATTCGACGTTAGTTTAAATGGTAATTGTTATCTAAATTTTTTTCAGAACGAATTAGAAAACTGAGGAACCTCGTCGTTCAACAAGACAGCGCTCCCCCTCATTGTGTAGTATTTGTTAAAGACTATTTAAATCAAAGATTTAATGAATTGGTTGGAAAAGATGGAACAGTAAAATAAACACCCAACAGTACCGACCTGGTGCCGATGGATGCATTTTTATGGGGAACTCTAAAAGATCGTGTAAACGCAACTTTAGAAAGATTACGGAGACCATACAACAGATGTATTAAAGAAAATGGGGGACCAGTTGAACAATTCCATTCGTGAAACTAATAACCACCGACGATATAAATTATAGAATATTATTTTATTTTTGAATGTCGCTTTCATGTTAAAAGCGCGTATATCTCAAAAACCATTGGGTTTGGGTACGGGCCATATTATACAACTAATGTGCAGAATTTTTTAAGAGTATAATATACAGGGTGCTCCATTAAAAAATATATAATTTATTTGTGGATGATTTCTGCAACACCCTGTATATATAAAAATATATCTTGCAAATGGCATACTTTGTTTATTTGACGTTTTTTTTCCTAACCGTTAACTAAAAAGGTTAAAGGGAGGGGACGTTATAAATGATCACCCTATACATACCAAAAAAAAATTAAATTATAAGGGTTTTTATTTTGAAACCTTTTAAAATGGGCTTTGCTTGACATACGTATGTTATAACATAAATAATTAAACTAAATTAGCAAAATATATCAAAATCATTTGAATGTAGACTTTTTGCGCCTTGTTTTTACTCTGACGGGTGTGAAACCTTGAATTTGTTATTTCCATTAGCAATTTTACTTGACGGTGTCCTACGCCACTGGCTGCGCGCATTTTGTCTATTGTAGAAGCAATTGACAATATTACAAAACATCTAATTACCTGCCGTTACTAAACAATGACGTTATTAACGTTTTCTATTCGAGTACAAGACGCGGATGGCATTGGACAAATAATGGCGGTTTATCGATTTGATAAATCGTCGCGGGATATTTTTAGCGGGCGCAACGGGGTTGCACAATAACAGTTTGGCAACGCATATGCTCGATGTTCTAATCCTACCTTCAACTGGCGCGAAGTCGTTGCCGTCTGAGCTTATTACTTTCAAAGTGTGATTGTCTACGGACAGTTCTATGGGACAGTTCAGGAAGCCCGCGTTTATGACCCGGAAACGGTATCGGTAGCCCTGGAAACAAAATGAACTCGAGTACAGGGTGTCTGGCATACGATCCTCTATTATGTTATGTATTTCGGAAAACATTATAGTTGAATGTAAAGCAACATTGTTAGTTTCCTCATAAAAATCATTGAACCAAAATCGATTCAAGCGTCAATTTTCCGATTCTCAACAAAACTAACCTGCTCTACGCGAAACCTGGCCACCGGCGTGTAAATGGTGACGTTGTCGTCGCCATCGAACTCCTTGAACCTCCCAAAGCCGTTCACCAAAAGCGTAGCCGGCTTATTGTCGCCGATACTGTGATGGTGGGATAAGAACTTCTCCAAGCCCGTCTCCTTCTCCCAATCGATCAGCACCATGACGTGCTCGTTCAAGTCGTGGTCGTAGAACTGATCGTGGGGGTCATCTTCGGCCGGCACCCTCACTATCATCGGCCCGAAACATCCGTCCACCCGCTGCATGCCTGAAATGTCGCAATATGATTAATCGACAGGAACCAAATCCGACCTAACGACTGGTCGCTTACCGAGGTGCGAGTGCCAGAAGTGGGTGCCGTGATTGACCGCCCTGAAGGTATACCGAAACGTCGTGTAAGGCAATATGGGGCACTGGGTGACGAAGGGCACACCGTCCATGTACGGGGTGTCTTTTTGATGCTGGCCGTGCCAGTGCACCGTGGTGCCTTCGTTCATCAAGTGATTCTCCACGTCGACTTCGATAAGGTCGCCCTGGCATACCTAAAACAGGGTTTGATAAGCGGGTTGAAACAAAAAAAAACATTAGTGCTTACATTGGTAAAATTTACTTGTACAACAGGGTATATGGGTGATTGCACTGAGGTGGTTTTTACTTGATGAACACCCATTTAACAAAATTAAATTAGAAAAAAATGTTCACGGTTTTTATTGGTGCCTTACCTTTACCGTGCCTTTATCAAATACAAAATACGACAATATTCTGACGTCTATATATATATATAAAGAGGTAGTAATAGATTCTTAATTGCCGTTGTATGATTACAAATTGAAATTTAACAACGGAGACTTATTTAAAGCCAATTTGTCATTAAGTAAACTCCTTTTGTTATTCTCCATAGCTCCCAACAAATTTAGATTTTTCTGTTTTGAATCATTATGTAAAATATCAAAATTATAGTCAAACTTGTGCATTTCTGAATTGAACTTTTGTTTTAACACGATATTTTATGTTCGTTAATGCATTTCTTAAGTATTCTATCTGTTTGCCCTACATTATTTTCCTATAGTGTTTCCAATTTTAAAAGCAATCTTAAGACCAAATTTACATAGATGTTTCGACATTTTCTTGATAGACTCTTCTATGTATTTTATTGCTTTATACATTTTGAATTATCTTTTTAAAAGGGGTTGTGTTGTACATTGGTGATTGCGTTCTAACTGTTACTGTTTTACTTAAAATTTCTAAGATTTTATAACAAGAGTTTTTAAATTTTATGTACATATTATACTGACATAAAATAAATTTGTAAACAGTACTCCGACGACGTACTTTCGACATGATACACTTGTCGTAGATGGCGCTCGAGTCATATATTTATTTTCAAATTCATAAATTCGTTATTTTAAGACAAAAGTAATTGAACCGGAATTGAGTGTTAACTTAAATATTAACCAAAAAGGTATCAATTTTCTTAGTTTCATTGTAGAAATAAGAATTTAGGCAGTAATAAGTTTAAATCAATTATTGCGACAAAAAAAAATAAGAATTTATATATAAGTTTTAGAAATGGACATGACGCGGTACTGACATTTAGCTGCTATATCATAGGTTTTCGCTAAATGGCAAATTATGTTATAGTATACGTAGTAGCTTTTTGTCACGTGAGTTTGGAGTTAATAGAGTGTAAACTGTGTACCCGAACGACCCTGGACTTTTGGAGCAGAACGTCAAAAATAAATGTCAAACAGCTGTTTTGGTTTGTTTTTATTTTTTGACTTCCCGAACAGAACCAGCTTCTTGTGTGTTTGTTTTTATCATAAATTTTTACTAGTAATAAAAAATAATTTAATATTTGTGCGTCTCTTTAGTTATATATCTAAGGGACGAGGATAATGGAGAAGAAAATTGAAAACTTTGCAGAAGTTAGGTGCCCATTTTTAATAATAGACAATTTGAAAAACACGCATAGGATTGATATATCTAAAAAATCTATATATTTGGAACATTAATTGTCCCTGATGAGCTTCTTTAAAGTTTTTTATTCCTAGTATCTAACACAAATATTGAAAAAATGCCGTATATTAATAAATGTATTTAATTCTAAACGAAACCGAAACCGCCTATTTGGTACCCTATGTTGTTACCATAGCAACAAAACAATAAGCATCATAGAACAAACGGGCAAATTCGGCAGTTTCACACTTTTGCGCATGCAACCTTTGGAGTGAACTCTGTTCATAGCACTCACGAAAGGAGTTGCTCTATTTACGTCAAAAAGCAATACCTGGATGAATAGAGTGTATACGGAGTGACTCGGAATACACTGGGTGAACAAGCCAAACCTACCTCATTTAAAAAATATGATGATATGTTCATGATCATCTAATTAATACAAAAATTTCATTATTAGATTATTAGTTAATCACAGGTGAGAACAAACAATACAAGTCATAAAAAATCTCAGTTAAAACCCACATGCGTTGCTTGTCTATATTCTAGCCGATATAACCGTTCAAAAATTCAAAAAAAAACGAGGATTTCCTATCGCGATGAGACGGAGCCCGCCAGAGATAAGCGATTTGCCGCGTCAATAAAATTATTCGCAATTAAAAGTAAACCTCGACAATATAAATTTACGATCTAACAATCTTGGCTTTATTTACATTCGACTATTTTTAATTTCGCTTGGGTCTAGAAACGGAGACATTTTCAACAAAGAAATGATGCTGTTTCCTTATTGTTTGCTTTTTATGTCGACCCATCCTTCGGTATCGTTTAATTATTCCTCGGTAATTCCGCCCGTGAATAAGAAAGTTTCGAATCCTTTCATAACAGCGCCAGGATAACTACACGGTCCCTAATGCCGGCTTGTAAATGCATTTTATTGAAGTCACTGATACCAAGTGCACCGGGATTATCCTTTCATTTATTGCACTTCAAAAATGTTTTACGTCCTGGGTTCAAATTCTAGTATAACACAATACAAATAAGTATGATAGCCGCACGCTGATCGGGATTTTCGGTAATTTTGGGTGCTTCAAAAATAATTAAAATATTCAAATGTTAAAAATAATGTTACTTTGGTTAATAAACAGAACGGTACTGCGAAAAAAGATGAATTTCCGAAATTAAAATTGCAAAGATCTAGACAATGCTATTTTTCATTTTATTATGAACTATTTTGCCATTTTAGTAGTGTGTATGCCGTTAAGTTAAGCGTATGATTGTCTGCTATATGTTATCTAATCCCAAACGTCCTTTATATATTTTTGTATGAAATTTGTTTACCAAATTTTTGTCGTTGTTGTTCTATGCTCTTTCAATTGAATAAATACTTTTACTGTACCTAGTTTTTTAATGCAATGACAGAAATCATTAAACAGGGTGGACAGCTTAAAAGTTATATCGTAAAGTTAAGATAAATTGTAATGATAGTTTTCCGTATTGGCATATAATAGAAAGACGAGTTTGGCGAATGAAAGTAATATGACAGCGACGTTATCAAAGGTATTTTATTAAAATAATTAATATTATTGTTTTAATTTTAGTCATCGTATTCCCAGTAGTCAGATGAACTTTCGTCGTAGGGCATTTTTTTCTAGTATTTTCTAGCATTTCTCACAATCCACTGTCTTTCTTCTCTCTCGCAAGAAGGCTTTAACGCAAAATTCACATTAATTGCTGGAAATAATCGTCAAAATAATATCAATAGTCTCCAGTTTATTTCGATTCAAATTCGACCACCACAGATCTGTTTTTGCTACCAATGTGAGTAATTATTAATCTTTTATATTCTTGTTTTCCACTTGAAACTGTCTGACTGCTCTCAAATATCGTTATAACCAGCAAATAATTTCGTCTTTTTCTATTAATTAATTTTCTGTTTTAAGTTTCTTCGGAACGAAAATCGTTGAAAGTTTTCTATCATGTCTAAATGAGTGGAATGAAATCCTTTTTCATTTCAGACATTTTTTTGTTTTTTCATATACAGTTTTTTTTAAGGGAACATCATACGAGTGACTCTTTTTATGTCTTTTTTCTTCCTTTTCGTACAGTGTGTTTTTTGTAGAAGACTTAGAACTTTACTGTAATTGGCATTGTCAACATTATTAAACATTATATATAGTTTACCTGGGGGGCTGAACTAGAATTCTTTTTAAATTCGGCCGCCTTTTTTATTGTAAAATTGACTATTGAATATAGATGCTGATAATGTAAATACTCACAGCAAATATTATTATCATTATTTTGTCCAGGATGGGTATTTACTAAAAATAGTTTTTTATTCTTCTGGCGACAGTATTTTCATCTTCTTTAATAACATTTTTTTTCCTCTTGTACTCTCTTTGGTCTTCGCCTGTCATATCCGAACACATTTCAAATTTTTTGTGGTGACGAAATGCTTTGAATATATAGAAAGCGCACTTTTACTAATCTACTTCTCAGCAATAAATTGCCATCTTCAAGAACGAATCATGCCACCAACTACCGGAAAGCAACTATAATTCTAATTTTAAACACTAAGGCACAGGTGGGTCGATTACCTGTCCGTCTACTTGCCACTCTTGACAATCATCATAAGGTAAACAAAAAAAAAACAAAATGTAGGGTTAGTAGCCAATTTTTTTTTCATGTGAAGTATATAACAAAACACTATCAATTTTCTGACATAGAAGCCTACATCATATGTTTTTAAATGGAACATACTGTATATAATATATGTGTTTAATAGAATATCTTATTCCAATTACAATGACGTAACACACTTTATATTTTGGTAAACTCGTTTTTGACAAATCAGCAAAAATAGGTAGAACACAAACACTAAAAATGATAAAGCACACTAAAGTAAAAATTTATTTAACTACTCTAAATACTGCTGTATGTGACCACCATTTTCCCGAACACATTTCTCATACACTCTACTTTTATAATGTTTAGTAACGTTTCCGGATTGTCTCTCAACTGATTGTTTGCCGAAGTTCCACGACATTATTACAAGGAGTTCTGTGTACGTGATTTTTTATGTGTCCCCAAAAGAAAAAATCCATATCCAACCCCTGGATATTCCATGTTAAGAGAATTTTTAACTTGCACGACATTGTGAGGATGGTCACCGTCTTTGTGCCATATAATCAGCGCTAATATATTTAGGGCTAAATCTTCTATGTATTATTCTCTTTGGTGCTCTAAGAGTTGCTGATCTCCAGTTAACTTTTGATTTATAAATATCAGACCCTAATTGATTGGTACCTCTGGGTTTTTATTTCGTGTATTTGTCTAGGATTATTTAAAGACCAATATCGCGTATTTTATCTATTACAAATCCTTTCTTGCAGTGAACGAACTTTCATCCGTCCATAAAACGTTTTTCAAAAAATTGTTATTCTCATTATCTCTATTTAAAAAATCCAAACAAAACTGCATCCTCCTTTGACATTGTTCTGGACTTAGTTTTTGAGTTTTACGAAATTGAAATGCATTATATTTATATTCTTTTAAAATTGAGCGGATTGATCCCCGACAAATACCTGTCTCTTCATATACTCTAGTAATAGCGGAATAGAATCCTAATATGTTTGCCTTATTTTCTTTTTATCATTTAATACTGCAAATTTCTTTGCCAGCCTTGAAAATATCTGTTTTGAATTAGCTAGGCGCTCTGGATATACTGACGACGAGCTGCGGCTACACTTTTATTATTCACAGAGTATACTTGCAGCATATCACTTCTTTCACAGATGCTAAATTGGCGAAAAAACATTTTAACAATAATGTTTTTACTTGTCAGTCAAGGCATTTTGTGAAATTATATAAGAATTTCCTATTTTTGCCAATTCGTTAAAAACGAGTGGACAAGATATAAAGTGTTTTACATCATTGTAATCGGAATAAGATATTCTATTAAACCCATATATAACATACAAGGTGTTCCATTAAAAAAATAGGATGTAGCCTTATATGTCAGAAAATTGATAGTGTTTTGTTTTATACATCACTTGGAAAAAACTTAGCTACTAACACTACATTTTGTTTTTTTGTTTACCTTGATATATCTAAAACCAACAAAGTTACAGTCAATTAAAATGTTATCAAGATAAATTAAACGCACAGTACAAACTCTCACGCATTAAGAAACAAAGCATAGCACGTTGCTTATGATAAATTAGCAGTAGCTTCCAAAATAAACCTACGCATTTAATAATTACTGACAATGTAATCTACATTATTACGTATTATGAAAAAAATATGTGGGCCAAAAAATACATTTACGCAAGTATTTCAAAGAATTCAAATTCAGAAACTCATCATAAAAATTACTGATGACTTTTTTTTAGTATATTTCATTTACACCTATACACTAAAAAAATGTTTCCGGATATTATTCATAAGACACTTGACAATTGGATCCCATACCTCAATTGCAGGTCCTGGTATTTTCCTGTTGACCGAGCACACCCCCCTGCTATGGCCGTCACCCGGAACACAGTCCTTACGGAAACAGTCGCTCTTTTTTTTAGGACAGTCATGGCACGCCTTGGTGAGGGTGAAGTAGTTTTCCACTTTGAAATGGTAGCGGCATATCATGGGCGGCTGATCGCGGACGCACGGTCTGGAACAGGGATGCGTTTCGTCTTCCAGAAGGACGTACTCGAGATGGAAGTCGGAACTGTGACCGGTATCTGTCGGTGAGCATTCAATTACGAATCGCCATTTGTAAAGAAATAGAACTCTGAAGTAAAAAACTTATACAAAAACAACAAGAATCAAATTGGTGATGTAAAGTATGAAAACTAAGCTATTTGAATTATAATTAGACCAAAAATATAGTGCATTTATTGCTTTGACGTTTTAAGTATGTTACAGTACCTTAACCCCAGATCTTCGCAGGACCGTGGTAAAACCCATCCCAACAGATGTTTATTCTGCATTCAGTAAATCTTGCCTGAGATGGTCCATAACGAATATATGAAACGTAAATGGACCGTTTTAAATTTGATTTGGCATTGATGCTGTGGGGTAGAAGCGTTTATTTCAAGATCGGGTGATATGTATTGTTCTTAAGAGTTTAATTTAAATCGCAATATGTTCGTATATATTACGGAGGACTGTGATCCTTCCAGTAAGTACGTATTTATGTACCTGTTTCTCGAACTTTGACCCTGCGAGGCTGTTTTCACTGGATAGTTCAAAGGATAAGGGTAAGTACCTGTACTCCATTTATTTTACAGATAACTTTGAAAATAGTCATTTTTGCTTTGTGTGTCTGTCGATTAATAACATTCTTCATCTTGAATTTTGGTGTCTTCTTCACGGTTCTTCGATTTATAAACAACAGTCTTTTGTAAGACTATAGATCATATTCGGCGTAGGTACGCCATAAGAATGCAGATAAATATTTATTAGAATTTTACAATTAAATATTTTTTTGAAGGTTCCTGTTTTCCTGTGGAATGAAGCATATTGTTCCTCTGTTAGAAGAAGACATGGAAAATAACGCAGAATTTGAAGACGAAGTGGAGATGGTAGTCGAACCTAATGACAATTTAGAAGACGAACTACCTCAGCAAAATAAAAAAACGGATCCATTTGTCTTCGGATGCTAGAGAAATAACACTGCACCAAAATTTAGTGATAATAGCAAAAAGAACTTTTAACAACTATAAAAATAAGAAAAAACTAAAACGAGAGGCCCAAAATACGAAATCCTACGTTTAATTATTGAAGGCAAGATAACGGATGTTCGTCAAATGATATTTTCAGAACAACAGTTTCCAAAGTTCGTTTAGCTAATGGATCGCCAACCTTCGTAAGGAGACGCCGAAATAAGAAGACCATAAACCTCATTTGGCAAGAGGTAGCTGAAATGCCAGTGCAAAGCTGGTCTAACTGTGAAAAACGAGTAATAAAAGAAGAAGATATTTATCGAAAACGATTAGTGGCGGAGCTGATCATTGAAGTAGGTGACGACAGTAGCGATAGTGACTGATACTTTATTATTATTGTATATTAATAATGATTCTTTGTAGAAATGTAATGAAATTGAACGTAATAAATTGTTACTTTGTACTAATTTTTTTATGTACATGTTTCAAGAATTGCTCGGCGAAAAAGATTGAAAACATACTCATATCAAGCTTATTAGTGTAGGCAGATAAATTTCGAGGACGGTCCTGGAATGGCTATGGGTAAGGGTCTGTTCGGCACGGTGTCCTATAAGGGGTAATAAACAGTACCCAAATTTAATCAGCGGGTCGGTTGTAAAAGCACTATATTTCTGGTTGAAGTATACCAAACCTTCGATTCCCTCTCCCCCAAGGCATGCTATAATAGCGTATAATAATTTTTATGACCCTGGTTGATATGTGTGCGTTATACAGTTGAATCGAGCATCTTTGCGGATGTTATGGCGAAATAATTGGGTAGTACTACGATGGATAATTGAAAAAACATTGAACCTAAAAATGGTGGCGAATTACGCACCGTGCGTTCTGTTGTCGTAGTCGGCGGTGACCTTTGCCGCTAACGCACCGAAGAAGGACAGCGGCAGCAAAACCGCCATTAAATCTGAAAATAGAAAAAAATATGAAGTCCCAACGGAGAACGGACATAAAACGTATCATCTGGTGCCATATGGGGGGATTTTTTTTAGATATTAGTAAATACGTATATCTATTTCGGCGTCAAGATTTCATGAAGACATCAAACTCGACAAAGGCCATGAAAATAGCCGAGATTTTCGTATTTGTTGTATATTAAATTTTACATTACAAGTAAGAAGAAGAAATATTACGAGCAATTTGCAAGGGAAACTATTATTTTTATCTGGAAATATATAAACCAAACCAACCAAATGTTGAATTGCCAAAGGCAATATATAAAATGATATATTATGTTTTTAATATACTGGGTGTTTCACTAAGGACTTCGTAAGCTTATGACCTTATATAATTATGTGGACATCTAAGATTAACACAGCACTTAAATTGTACTTTGGTATTTATTGTACTGAAGAGCCCCGTATTTTAACATTAAGAATTTCGGAAGCCACAAGCTTTTGAATAGAGTTTTGCAGGGATTTTACCTGTTCGCGCCATAAAAATGTTCGCATTTAGTCGGGAATATATATTCACCTGCTTTCCACTTGTTTCGAGGACAATTTTTAAATTTTTGCAGTTCTGAACATTCACGACCTTTAAAAAAAATAACAATGTATGGTTACTTATCGGGTTACCCGGAATGTAGCTAATTGTTCACCAAAGATAGTGAAATGACGGCCTTGGTTAATTTCGGTTAGAGTGTTATAAGCCAATAACCAAAAAATTTAAAAATTTTCGGCATAAATTACACCACAACAATGCATCATGTCCTATATTAAATACGACATAATTCGCTAATGATAGGACTATAAAAAAGCCATTACGTTTGTCTACAGACAAATTACACCGAAAATAAAGGTGGTTTAATTAATGAAATCGGATTTTCCTTTCCGTTCCTTCTTTGTTTACGGATCTTGGGATTGGGATTTTACCGTTTTTTTTTTACAGTCGAAAAATGAGTCCAATATAATACCAGTAGAACTCTTGCACTGATCGCAAAGCACGCAGGTATATCCGTAACCACCTGTTTCATATTTATTGCATGTGCACCATTTTATTAATTGCGTCAGTAACGTTTGTCATTTAAATAGCTAATCCGAAGGACTTCCCGGTTTAAAGCTCTTTAAAGAATTCCCAAGCCGTTGCGTAACGAATACCGAACCATTAAAAACATAGACAAACGGATGTCAGATCTTCAAAATCATTCTCGTAAAAGAATTCATTCATTTGCGAACAGAAACGTATTTAATTTACTCTTCGGCAAATGGCTTCATTTTTCGTAGTGTCGGCTCCTTAAAACTAACGTATACGTTATTGTAATAAAAGGGAGAATATTAAAGAATAGTTTATTTTTTAATCGTCCTAACTTTTTCTCGTTTTTTCAGCTATAATTTGACCAATTTGTCCAAATTCATCGAGACTTCGTCGGAGTAAACCTTCCATTTCATTGTGAGTTTTTTGGATACTTTCGTTTTACTAATGAACTGTCAAATTTGCCAAATATGCCAATACAATATTTGAAAAGATATAATTTTCATTATTTTTCTTTCGAATTTCGTATGGTAAATATATTTAAACCAATTTGAAATTATTTTTTAATGCCAAAATATAAGAAATTAATTATTAGGATTGACCAACGAACGACTTTAACAAGATTTGACAGTAGTTAAAGGTTACAAAACGAATTATGCGATTCACGGCCTCCTTGACAGGCTAAAGTTGTTATTGTTCTTACTTTATACTGAGAATGTTATTTAATAATCAATATGTGGTCGTGATTCGAGCGTTTTAACAGCAAAATATTCGACTTACATGTCAAGGACCCGATTAGAGAAATATTTAATGTTTAAAACCGCATAGCAATATCTTCACTACCAATGGAAATATAGGGCTTGTTTCAATGTTCGGCCCTTTTGAAAATGGCCCGTAACTTTTTTATTTATGACAATTTTGGATGGGCATGTTTACAGTTCTGCGTTTTCTCATAAACCAATACAACTTTGTAATTCTATATTCCTAAAAAATGAACGTTTCGAGCCCTTTTCAGCCATATAAATTTGTTGGACTCTGTGATCAGAAAATGCGGAAATATAGGGCATTTTTCGTTTATGTAGTGGTAGACCGTTATGCTTTCAATGTCCGTTAAGGATATAACTTATTCTTTATTGAATTTTGTGTTCTGTCAAACATAGATTTAATGGCTAAACTTAAGCTTTCGGTTCATTTAGCAATTTAAAATTTACCAAAATTATGAATAGAATGATTTGATAAAATGTTACATTTTACGAAAACGCAAGACAGCTAATGAACTTAATTTCAACACATATCCAGATAGGCACCAACCTGACACGGACGTTAAAAAATAATTTCAGCAATTATGGAAGTTTCAAAAAGTCAAAGCGAAATCAAAACCACTTAAAACTTAAAATCCAAGCATATCTTTACGGTCACTAGCTGACGCAACAAATGCTGGAAAAACTAAAGTTTTGACTACTTTAAAAAAACATTAATTCAAGCCATATGGTACTAGAAAAATTCACCAATTACAGGAAGGGGATGCCGGTAGAAGAATACAGTTTTTGCAATTGATTTATCTGAAAATGCAACGAGAACATTAATTTTCCATTATCTATTGTTTGGAGTGAAGCGAGAATTGACTGTTCCGAAATATTTAACAGATACAAATTCTATCGGTATCCTCATGCTGTAGGGTAACAAAATAAGCAAGGTGGCTTTGGATTTGATGTATGGGTAGAAATTTTGGGAGGTGGATTTGGGGAACCTTTTTTTTAATGAAAATCTGACAGCGGATGGTTATATAAATAACGCACGGATTGTCATTGAACTTTTAAATGAAGTTGTTGGATTGGAACTGGAGGCTTTATTGTATGGCCTGCCAGATTGTGTGAACTAACTCCTGTAGATTGTTTTTTAAAATGTTGATTAAAAGATTTTATATTTGGAAATATAATTTTCCAAACCAAATCTGAGTTAGAGGAAGCCACTCGAGAAGCGTTTGCTTCTATCATACTTGTGTTCAGTGTATTGAAAAGGGCAACGCCCAATTTGAACATTTACGTTAAAATATTTCCAAACAAATAATGTAAAAAAAAGTAAAAAATTTAATATCTTTGTGTTTTGTTTATTAGGTTAAAATGATTAACTATTAAAAATAATATCTATAATTAAAATTAAAATATTAAATGGTTCTTGGGTTTCGTGTTTTTCGATTAAGTTGTTCCAAATTGGCCTTATCTTTTTTAAAGTTCCAGTGGTTATTAAATTATTTTAGAGGTTTCTATGTAACGTACACAAAAAATATTCTATATTTCCGCTTTTGTTCATCCCAAACACCAAAAAATCTATGTGACTGATAAGAGCTCGGCACATACATTTGTTTAAGACCGTAGCCAGGTATGTTTGCCATATAAAATAATAAATTTTTATTAATTTATTTTTTCCTTTAAAACCCTGATCACCTTGTACATTAAAAATTTCTTCAATCATCGATTAATTGCACGGAAATTTTAAAAAACTAGTTTATTAAAATTTCTTCTGGACAGACAAAAAAATTATTATAAAAATTATTCATTTATTTTTAGAAAGGAGAGTTGATAAGCTTTCCATGTAAAATGAAAAAGCAGGGGGTTAAAATTTTTGCCAAATCTTTGAAAATCATCAATTTTATTCCTCCTATTTCAGTAAAATTTTAAAACTTGGCAACACCGTCAAAAAACTATACAAATTGATGCAGTTCTGTCAAAGTCGCTCATCCGGTACGGCTGTATTTATTTATCAAAATTTTTTCCAAAACCGGACGAGATAGGTATTATCCAAAAATAGCCAATCAAACTGCGCTCCGATAAATACGAACGAAGCATTACAGAAAGAAACTTTTTTTACATGAATGTCAAAATGTGTTTAGTCATTTTGATGATGACGGTCGGCCAATGGTCAAGACATATTTTACGGGAGCCAATCGCTGGCCGAGGGATTTGCGTAAAACAAACTAACGCGCATCGCTGCAAATTGCGTATGCTCCTAACGCCGTTTCTCGTTCGTCATTGGAATCGTGAAATCGAATTGCGAAAGAGTTTGGAAACCGTCCTTATATTCACCCAAATTCGATGGGACCACGTGAACCAATTAACCTTAGACGAAGGTTTCCACCACTCGCAGCACATCCTTTTTGACGAAAGAATCGGAGAGCGAATCGAGTTTGGATTTTATTTAAATCGCCTTACGTAACGCTCTCAGTAATTGATGCGTTCAAGAAAACCTCGCTCGTGTGTGTGAAATTTAACGCAAGATGAAGGGAAATCGTGTTTTGTCGCTATAAAATAATCTAGATCCAAACTACCCTCATTAATCGATATTTTTTTCACGAAAAGACTTTTAAAATATAAAAAAATTGCAAGGTATAACAAGGTGAACATTTAAATAATAAATAATTTAACATTTACAAATGATAATTTTATATTGAAATGGGTAATATTAATAACTGATGAGAACCTACAAAATTTGGATGCCACCAGAAACATTGACCAAGTCAAAAAAGTACAGAAAAGATTTTTGCGGCGTCTCTTTGTTGTTAAAAATATTAGACCGAGTATCACAAGAAAGTGAGAAAATTCTATAACTTTTAAACGGCTTAAGATAGCGATTTCAAATTTGCAAGGGTTAATATAGACTGAATATTCAATTTTTTGACAATATGTAGTCAATGGTTGCACTTCCCGTTTGAACGAAAGCGACAATAACTTTCGAATTTTAAATGGCACAACGTATATTTTTTTGCATTTTTGGATTTAGGAGATCATTCTACGTAGGATGGGATGGTTTTTCTCTTTTTTTTTGTTTAAGTTTTATTTAATTTTTGAAAATTGTATCTAGGTGGCTGCGGCCATCATAAATTTACCGGATCAACTGATCGTGGGAAAAATTGTAAATGAAACTTTTCTTTACTTGTCTAATGGCAAATAGCATTTAATGTAATTAACTATTAATTTTTTGGGAAAACCTAGTTTTTTCAAATAGCACTGTAGTGGGAACAAAAACTTTTTAAAACCATTTTGTCAACAAAATTTTCAAAATCAGTTAAAAAATTAGTTCTCAGGAAGGAAAAAATCAGATAAGTAATAGTATAGTATGCAACAAGTGCAGTAAACGGCATTTGAGTTAAAATATTTTTTCTACTCCCGTCTGTAAAATACCTAATTATCCATCGATCAAGCGTGCAGGAAGCGTCAGTTTCGTTTCCCATGAATCCGACTCACTTCGGACATTTCTGGGATTTTACCGCACGGATTTGGGATCAAACCGATGTTTTCGGAGATATTTCCCACGCTTTGAAGTTTGACGTTTGTCAATTCTGACGGTTATGTCAGTGAATTCGTGTTGTTTTGCGAAAATGTACCCAAAAACTAACGATCGTAGAAAACGTATAGTATGCAACACGTTTGGTAAACTTTTTAACTCACTCGTTTATTAAAAACACGCTCCGCTCGTATCAAATAAACTCGTAAGTCACATGCCGTTTACCGCACTTGTTGCATAATATACTATTACCGAATGTGTTGCATACTATACTTTTTCTACGACCGTTAGTTTTTGCGTACATTTTCGCAAAACACGAATACATTCACTGACATGACGGTCAGAATTGACAAAATTCAAAGCGTGGAAAATATCTCCGAAATCATCTGATTGCTCCCAAACCCGTGCGGTAAAATCCCGGAAATGTTCTAAGTGGCTCGGATTCGTGGGAAACGAAACTGACGTGGTAAAGTGACGCTTTCCGCACGCTAAATCGGTGCGTAATTAGGTATTTTACAGACGGGAGTAGAAAAATACATTTTTATAAAAACAAAATATTACTTAGATGGCTTGGCTTCTATTCATTATTCAATGTCAAGTCAGTACGATTAAAAATGCAGAAGAAAACCTCGACAAGCTCATGCAGTGGAAAGAAAAAAACCGATTACTATTTTAAAAAAATAAATAAAATTCAAGGGAGAGTTTCTTCTGAGATTCAACGATTAGAATTTTTTGTTGAAAGTGTTTTATTATGTTAAAAAGTTGATATGCTTGTGGAAGTCAAAAACTAACGTAAGTCTATAATAAGGTTGCATACAAAAGTTTCCTCAACGGCTTTAAGTGAAATAAAAGTACCACGAGTCCATATTTTAACGATTTTAATTTGTTTTAACCTGTCTAGTGGCACTGCCTATCCTGATAACACACGAACCATTGAAGCGACGATGAAGAAAATGCGCATGAGTGGTTATTTCAAATCTAACCAAAAACACCTGTCATTTTAAACCAACCAATAAGACCTAGCGGCGTTCAGCAACCAAGATGACCGCTGACAGTTCGCCAATTCGACAGGTTTCAGTTTATAATTTGTAGAAAACAGTTCAGAAAGAAAGTCAAGTGAAGGTTAAGGCTCATTTACACATTGCAAATTTTTTTGCTGAAAAGTACTTTTCGTCTGTAAAATTGTTGCTTTAGTTACACATTTCCTAGATCAGGAACAAAAGAAAAAAGAGGAACCGAGTATGAGTCTTTAGTTGACAACAGATTTCTTTGAGTAGCGTCTGCTGCAGTTTTAAAAGAGAAAATAAGAATCATATGGGAAGGGTTTCATGAGATTATTCCCAACAGTGTTTAAAAAAATTATTACTACTTGTTTAACCAAAATTGACAAAATCAGATACATGGGTGCCATTGTTTTTCATTTGGTCTTCTTCAATACCAAGTCCATTGAAGAAGTCAAAAGCAATACGTTTTCAATTGATTCCCATAACATAGCATCTTTTCATAATTTTAAAATTATTTGTTAGAAAATATTCGATCGTTTTATAAATGAGTATTTTATTATTTTTATCTGGAACTGAGAAATTTTCACGGCAACTGGCTGTGTGTAAATGAATGTGTCAAGTTTAGAGGTTTGCGTATTCTCTACGAAATTGTCATTGCCGCCTGAGACAGATCCATTGTTGTATATTTATGTTTAAAGCAGACGTAAGTCGCGTATCCTATCCTAACTGAACAGCCTCCCAGCACGAAATTTGAAAACCGATATATTTCGCACACGTGCATAATAATTTAATGTTTTTTACGTGATCTTTGCGCCGTTTTTAATTATCCCAGGTTTGTTAGTTCGCTTCTCGAAACGAAACTGACTAAATTATTATCTTCTAATGAAACCACTCGGCAAGCTACCGACTTCGTTGTGCAATAATATATAAAATTTATTGATTATTTATTGCCATTATTGCAAAACAGTCGTTCAGAAAATGGGCACACGGAAAATTTTCGATACCCAAATGTTACGCTGAAATTTTGAAAATATCCTGGCCCATTATTTGCATTACAATCATTATCTTCGAAATTTTGACTACGACCCGTCTTTTACAACGAGGATTAGGGACGTCATTATCCTTACCGAGAGACCGAATTAGCGTTTCGTTCATTCATCAGTTTGCCGAACTGATATTTGCTTTTTAACGTTTCGAATTGCGCTGCAATTAGTGGATATTTGAAGCTTTTCGCTTTAGACAGTTTAAAAGAAGGATACCGTTTAATACTCAAATGTCATGTTGTTTTATGAGAGAAACATCATGTTTTTAAATTTCCCGTCCCTGACTACCTGCAAAGCGCTTTTTTAAAAACTTAATATACCTGATATTTTCGTTTGCTCTTATTGAATTTCAATAGAATTTTTGAAAAAAGTGTGTGAGATATAATATTCTTTCTTATTTTAATTTAAACCCTTTTATTGTGACTAAAGCAACATAACTGGTTGTCACTCGCGGGCTTAAAATTAATTTTATCGACAACAACAATTGTAATTATGTGCTCTTAATTGCAAAGTTGCGAAACCACTTTTGCACAACTATCCGAAGCTGCGGTAAGAACGTGATCTATAAAATGGCTGTTTTAAATATATTAATTACGCACGGGATGTCGCAACAAGTGTGCAAAAGTATTTTATTCTAGTCCGAGACCCGGCGCCTTTTACGAGCTCGAAAACTCTTTTACAGAAGAGTTAAAGTATTAGTACCAATAATTTAATAATAATTCTGGGTAGCCCTTAGTTTGTAATAAACATTTTTTCACAATTTTCACCACTAAATTTCAATATTAATTTTTACGAAAACACAATGTTTCGTATTAAATACCTTGTCATTAAACAAATTAATAATTAATTAAGCTTATTACGTTAACGTTATTATTCAGTGTGTGGTTTTTTGAATTAAGTTGTCTTTAAGTGGCTGTTTATTTGTTTAAGAATTTATTATATTATATTATATTATAAAGTTGAGTTGTTGTTGTCTTTATCTTCGGTTACTTTATAGATTTTGATTAATTTTAGTTAGATCTAATAATTTTCATAAAATTGAGCCGATATAAATTGATATGACAAAGGTTAATTAATTAGTTTAAGTTATCTCTGTGGGATTTAGGCATTTATTTCTATTTTAATATTTCATAGACTTGCCTTTAAATTTTGTCAGATTTAAAGATAACTTTTTATTGTTTTGATTCTGTTTATTGTATAGTCGGTTGGCTGGTTCTTTTTATGCTAAAATATGTAAAAAATGGATGTTAAGGTGCAAATAAGGATTTTGCTGCTTTTTCGTAATTTTTGTGTAATCAAAAAAATCGATTCAAATCGCAATTATATATAAAAACAATTTGTTAATGCTTACGGAACATTTTTTCCGATTAGAAAATAATCCACGAAATCGGAATCACCGAAGGCGTCGTCGCGTCGGCATCACTCGCGTTTAAAACAAATATAATCAAAAAGCGCGATTTAACATTTTACGTTAAAAGCGTCAAATTAAACGATATATATATATGACGGCGGGGGGACGGGTGGGGGTAATCCGCAAAAAGTACGCTCAGGATAAACGCCGGGGAAACGAAATCTTCGCGGGCACCGGTGCAACGGTGGTACTTCGGAATTACCGGACCCCCTCGCAAGAATAATATGGAACGACCGCGGGTGCCCACGCGCGTTCACTCATGTGGTTTTGCTCCATTGGTACTTTTTAATAAATCATTAAGACAGCTTTGCAACATGTGTATGATAACTGTACTTAATATTGATATTAATATACCAACATGGTATTTTAACAGCCGCATTGAACTTATGTCAAATATAAAAAAAAAAAATTAAATTTTATTAAACCTGTGGTTTAGTATAGACAATGCCTACTTATTGTGGCGAATATATGGAGTAATAACATATGTTTTTTATTTAAATCGTAATAATAATTACTTAATAAATAAAAGACTTTTTGGAAATAAAACTTCTTATTTGTAACACTTGCGTGCATAGAAACCGTCCCACTGTAGTATAATGTTTTTTCTAAAAACCATCATCTGACCCAAAAAATAAACACGCTATTTGGAAGACAACTTAATTTGCTTTAGTATGAGTTTAAATTTGTCAAGAGTGCTCATATTTTATATGCGCAGCTACGATTAAACATATGAAACGTGTTCATGCTGTAGTTATAGTTATAGTAACAAACTTGTTATAGACTTAAATTAATCGCCTTTGCAGCTGGAATTTTCATATTATTCGTTTTTATCCATTTGGATGGCGTTTAATTGCGTGCGTTAAAACCGTGTGAAAGTGCGAAAGCTAACCAACGGTATGAGACTGGATCCTTTGCTTGGCGCCCTAGAACAGGGAGAAGGCGAACAATAATAAGAAATCGTCACCTTAATGCGATTCAAGCACAACAACAGCTCCATGAAGTTCGAAGAATGGCTATTAGTCAGTGGACAGTGAGAAGATGACTAAAGGAACATAACCGGACCCCAAAAACAACTGCTATTGGTCCAAAACTTACTCCAGCTCATCGACAAGCACGGGATCATCTGAATTGGACATTGGACCAATGGGGATCTGTTCTGTTCTCGAATGAGACCAAAATATGGTTTTTTGGTAGTGACCGACGAAAAAAAGTGTACCGATGACCAGGAGAGTGATTTGCAGAATACTCATGGAGGTGGTTTTTTGCGTGATATGGGGTGCAATTTCTATGGACGTATGAACCGATCCTGTTTTCATCCGTACATCGAGGATATTTTATCAGATCACGTGGTACCATATGTCGCCTACATTGGCGAGGAATTAATTTTTATGCATGACAATGCTATGCCGCACACCGCAAGGATCGTACAAGATTACATTACATTACAGTCGGTTTTCGCGTTATGGAGTGGCCAGCATGCAGTTCCGACCTCCATCCGATCGAACATTTATGGGAACTTATTATTGCAGTAGAGGAAGAGTGGCTTAACATTCCACAAGAAACAATAGCAAACTTGATTAGATCTATGAATCGAGTGAGACATGTTTATTAGGGCAAGAAGTGGTCATACCCATTATTAAAAAATAAGTTTTGAGTTGCTAATTGTCAATAACCCTATTTGCTTTTAATAATATAAAAAAGTTAGTTGCAAGAATAGATTTTATCGGTAAAGACCTTGTGGCGACGTCTTCATGAATTTTTCAATTTTTACTAGAAAGAAAGTAATAATCTTGCAAAATTAACAAGATGTAGAGACATTTTAACTCGTTATGGTTTCATGTATATTACCAAAAAACCCTTTCTGCTGGAAATGTAAATTTTATTTTCGTCAGTATAGGAAGGTAATCTTTCAAAAATAAATAACCGCCGCTGTGTTGGATGTCTTCCAAAATTATGGATACGAGAGTATCGCAACAAAATTTCTTCATGATTTTTGTAATACTCTAAGCTCACAGCCTCTATAACAGAAATATCAAATGAAGATAAATTATAATCACTGACTGCTGATAAATATCTTTACAGAAATATGTTTCTACCTTGGATATCTTGCCAATACAGTCTGAAGAAGATCTTAAGAACTTGATGGTGGTCTTTTCTGATCTGACCTTATTATGCTAAAATAAATAACATTAATTAACTCGGAAGAACACTTAGTTAGAAGCCAGATAAGGTGTCGGTGCCAATTGCGGAAAGGGTAGCAAATTCCGAATTTTTGTAGATGTGGTCCTTTGAAAATGTTAACGAATAACTTCAAAATAATAAATGATCACTTAAATTAAACATTTTGTTTTATTAGTTGGCTTGTTATTATAACAGTACATGGGAGGCATCTTATAATAAAAACGATATTCTTTTTAAAACATGATTAATTTTGGTTTATTAAAGGTTTTTTGTGAGTGTTGTTAACACCCATTTTTTTACACAGTTTTCGAAATGAAATTTTGAAATGTCAAAGGCAACGTTTTGTATTATTTACGGGACGTTTTGTCATTGCGGTTCGTCAACATTTCCGCCGCCGCAAATAAATCGATTCAATTTAAATACGTCAACGTTAACGGAAAATCTGTCAATTAACGAGCAATCGCCGCCAGTAATTTCGGCGCATTTAGGAATATCCTTTTCGATGTGTTCGGGCTGCATTTGCGTTGCGTAATGGCGAGTTTGAAAGCAAATTTTATTTACTTATTCATTTATTTTTATTAAGAGTTACAACTTAGAAAATAAATCAATTAAAAGATAATTATTAACTACGTCAAACATGCTTTATACTAGGCCATTTTTGTCTTTGAACACAAACCAATGGACTGTTCACGCCAAAGTTAGTATCACTCATATAACTACAAGAAATATAGAGTCCCTGCCTAATACTGATAACACAGCAACCTATGAACCAACTGTCAAATTGTACGAGGTCCGTTCAACATGCGCATGCGCGAGACTTAAAATTTAGTTTTTAATCAATGACATCTTTACAGCATTTTATGTCCAGATCTCATTAAAAGTTCAGGAAAATAGTAGTTAAGAGTGTGAAAATGGCTGTTTAGAAAGAAAATAGCACAAAAATATAATAATATGACATTCATTTTTTTTACGACAAACTTTGATTTTTTCTGAAGCAGTGTTAGATTCTATCAACTTTTCTTTTCTTCTTTCTTTTTAACATGTGATTGCAAATATTTACAGATTTACAACTTTGTGGAACAAGGAACCCTATACAAAGTTTTTTTTTAATGCTAAATCTGATAAAAATATAAAAACGGGGTGTTTCCACTTGAAAAAAATGAAAAAAAATTGTTGATTATTAAAATATAACATTTTAAAGGTATAAGTGATTCCAAACAACTTTTGTCCTTTTACCTTTTGTTATCTTAATTACTTCTTCTTCTTCTTCTTCTATATTAGTCACTTCTGCCTGTTTTACTTCAATTCAATTCAATTAAGTTTTTATCACAAGTTATCGTTCAATCTTTTTTGTGGGCGTGCTATACTCCTCCGACCGGCAGGCGATTTATCTTTATTTTATTGACTTTTGTAGTTTGTTGCCTTATTTCATCCTCTATGTTATTATCAAATGATAATCTAATTCCTAAATATTTGATGTTCATTACCTGCTCTATAATTTGGTTCTCAAGTTCCGGCTTACATCCAATTGGTTCTTTAGAGATTATTAGTGATTTAGTTTTTTTGACCGATATTTTCATGTTAAATTTCTTGGCAATGATATTCTCTGCATTCTCTGCATTCATTCTCAGATACCAATACAGTATCGTCGGCATAACACACTTGTATTTCTTTATTACCTAAATATATAATTATGATTATATAAATAAAGTAACAACGAAAGTTGTTAATTTGATTTTATCTTTATTTTCTGTGACATGATACTGTACATTTGTTTAGAAAAAAACATCAGTAATTTCGTATAAATTTTAAATGTTTTCTAAACGTCTCCTTAGGAATGCTTTTTTTTGTTAGGCTTTTCTGCACTTTTTAGGCAAATAACTACCCTCATAATTCAAAAAAGATTTTCTTGGAATCAAAACTAACCATTGAGGAAACGTTAGATCTTAAATTAGAACATGACAACACAAAAAAAAAACATATTTTGCCTAAACGAAACATAAAAATATAAAAATTTAGAATATAACCACAATAGAAAAGAAAACTGGACTTTTTACACTGGCCAAAGATTATATTGTAACATATCATTTATATTACTTGCATAGGGCAGTTCGCTATTCAAATATTTCGTAATTTTTGATAGTTGTTTTGGTAAGCCAAATTCGTTTCTCCGACGTCATAATGTTCACATCGAAATTTCGGAACAAAAAGGACATCAGGAAAACCTGTGGTGCCTAGGATCACAAATTTAGATCTAGTTCGCTGTTCGAAAAAGGCTATTAAGAGACAAGGGACACCAGCGGAAATCTAATCTTAAATTAAAGAAAAGCGCTACATATTAACATATCTCGCGTCACGCATCTCTTTCCTACATTGACATCCATACCGTTGTACAATGTCTTGACGTAGACTAGGGAATCCCAAACAGCCGGGCACGACCTGAAGAAAACAAAATCACAAAACCAGGTACGACGAGTCTCGCCTCGCTTCCTGCTACGCCCGGTACGAGAAGAAATCGGTACTCAGGAAAACACGTTTCGGACGTTACCTACACGTATCGGTTTGTCGAACAGAATTTTAGAAGTAAGTTTTTTTAATGGGCTAGCCTAGCCGTTCGGTAGACAAGCCATTCACGGATTAAGTCCAAATTGATAAGTTCATGGAAAGCATTTAAAGATTTAAGTGGCTTATTTTTTGAATCCCTGTAACTAGGATAAAATTTGCCTACAAAGGAAAACGAATGACATTTATTTGTTTATTGTCACAAATTTCATAACATATAGATTTTTTTAAGTTAACCCAAAAACCGTATGGTTTTTGTTTACGCGAACGGACAATTATCCAAAGAGTGGAGAAAATAAAATTACCTGATTATTTTTGGTTTGTTTTTTGAAATTTGCATATTTCAATGATAATATGTAGCGCGGAAATTATTGCCAAAACAGAATGTTTACATTTGCTTTCGCAACGGCCAAAATAAAGCGTAAATTTATCGAGGCAAATAAAATAAAACATGGCTGGCGCTGTGCAGATGTTCCGGTTGCGATACGTTCCGGTCACATCGTTGCCGATGGTCAAAACTTTCTTTCGCAACGATCGCGAGATTTAAATCTAATTTTTCATTCCAAACAATTTTGTTGTAAACTCGTACACATCATTTCAACGGGCTTTTCAGTATCAAAATTGCTGTATTTATTATTTTGTCAAGTTAAAATGTTATAACAAAAGTGTCGCGGTGTCAGAATAACAAATGCTTTGTTTATTGAGTTTCAATAAACGAAGTGTAGCGTATTTATCAGCGTCAATTATTCATGTGATTGTGGTATCGTGGTTATACCTATTTTTTATGCTTAATTTAAAGAGCCTTCCCATCTAATGCAATTTTAATGTTAGAATAAAAGAGAACGCAAGGTCTTCGCAGCTTTGTTTCGCACTTGCGTGAAAATCGTAATTGGCTACCATTTTTGTATACGGGGAACTGAAGGTACGCTTAATTGTACGGAAATTTTGAACTATAATTTTTTTATTATGGATTTGAAATTAGCCTAATCATCTCAGTAAATGTTAATTAGCTAACACCTGAAAGCTTAGATGTTTTAATTGCATGATCGTTTTTACTAAAGGATGTCTATTTCAGAAATAGATTCACCACGTAGACAATGGAACAGTGATGTATAAAATTCTTACAACATTTGTTTATACTTGATTGAAAAACGAAGTTTCTGTAATGGGCGCTTGATCACAGTACACATGCCCAACGTCTTGCGAAACTTAAAGAAGAAGAAGAAATATAATTAGTAATCTGTTTTTGGTGTACGTTTGAAAAATGTCTTCACAATTAAGCACAAAAGAAAAGCTGTTGTATATAATAGACGACATGGAGCTCATTGCCAAGTACAGCGTATCATTCCCCAAAATTTTCGGTGTTTATCTTTTTTATTCGCAGGGAAATCATAGAAAACGCCATCGCGCCCAAAAGTAATAAACTCTCAGGACCAGAATACGCCCAACTGACTGAGCTGCTTGTAGCAAAAGATAACGAGCTTAAAGAAACTCTCAAACTGGCCAAGGAACAAGGTCAGATTAACAAAAAAATGGACATACTCAAGGCGGAAGTAGAGAGGCAGGATCAGGACATCAACCACTTGCAAAAGCAGCTAAAAGAGGCCGAGCAGATTCTGTCGACGGCTATTTATCAAGCCAACCAAAAACTCCAAAGCATATCGAGGGCGAAAAAGCGCCCCGTGTCGTCTGAGGAGTTGATTAAGTTTGCCCATAGAATAAGCGCTTCTAACGCAATTTGCGCTCCACTAACCTGGCAACAGGGCGACCCGCGACGGCCCTATCCCACAGATATTGAGATGAGATTGGGGTTGTTAGGGAGGTTAAGCGATCCTATCAATGGGCATATGTTGCAACAGCAAACCTCCATGACTGATCTGCACAGAGGCGCTCACCCAGGTGAAATACCGGCCGCTCAGCAAAATCAATTTGCATGGCACCCGTCTGGCGAAATGCATATCAGTGTGGGCCAAGGTACTGTTCCTATGGATACAAGAAACCACAAGCAAGAAAACGAAGACGTTGAGGTTATGTCGACCGATTCCAGCAGCAGCTCGTCCAGTGATTCGCAATAGCATTGCGGGAGGGGTTACAAATACGTGTGTTTTTAAATGTGCAGTTTTTTTTTATATTGAGCATGCGTTAAGCCTCTTGATAATTTTGTTGTATTAAAAAGTTAATTTACCATGTGGACTTTATTTTTGCTTCACAGAAAGCAGCATTCTCACGGCCTGCAAAATTTCAATTACTTTCAATGTTATACTCTAAAGTGCTTTACTGGCTTTTATTATAAATTAGAGAAGTTTATTTGACAAAAAACAGTCGTTCTAAAGTGCTTCTGTCACTCTTAATTGTCGAAGTTTCCACTTAGCTCATCCATGAAGGCTTGGTTGCTTTTTGCAGTTTTTATTAAAACAAAAAGAAATTCTATATAAATCCATGTAGGGCATCGAATAGCTGACATCAATTTCCAGAAAACTTAAAAACAGTAAAACTGAGTAATTTGAAATACTCAAAATTTAAAAAAAAACGAAAGGTCTCTCTTTCATGGTAGATAGTAGTCAGAATATCCCGTTTATACTTGTGCCGCATTTTCAAAAATATCGCAAAAATCTTTATCCTTGTGACTTTTGCCCGCAATTACGAAAGTTACCTGCTGACTGCAATAAAACACGGGAACATTAGGGACGGATTCTCAAAGGTTTCGGTAATAGTATCTTTTTTTTGTTTATTTAGGTGGGTATAATAATTTTGTTTATTAGGTGGGTATAATTGACACTAAGAAAAATAATGACCTCAAATATCTATATTAAATTAATAGCTAGAAATATATATACATAACTAAGTTTTCACTACCAGAGTCATCATTGAGATTAATTATAAGATATTATAATTGAATAGAAAAATGTCCTCAATATAATGTACAAGATTTTTCCAGATCTCAATTGGTATGTTATTAATTACATTTTTTATAAAATTTATAACACTGGGACTTAACGTAAGAGTAACATTTTCTGTTATGACCTTTGATTTTATTTGGTTCCACAAATGCTCTACGGGGTTAATGGCGTTTTTGTAAGTAGAAAGGTTTATTTTAAAGCTTTTTGTATAAAAAGTCCTGTACATCACTGCGTAAAATGTGTATGAAACTTTGATTACAAAGTTTCATACACAACCTGTTTTTTATCAAGCGACAAATGATCTTGACGCGAAATTGTTATAATTCCGTAAAATAACTTCTTGAAATCTCAGTTAAAACGATTATACAACACTGCCGCAAATCGTCAACACTCAAGATATATAGAAAGAAATATATCTGACCCACCCCTGCCTAAACACCCAATTAATTTTTTTGTTAATTGCTTAGTTTTATTGGGAAGGTTCGTGGGTGAAGATTGAGACAGGCTATACTGTCTGAGAATATTATGCTCTGATGGTAACACATGGTTTTGTTTTTCTATATCAGGACGTCACTAGACCCCAGTCAGAAACATGTTTAGTTAATATAGTCTTAAAAAGGAAAGTTAATGTCTCATTTAAGGTGCCAGCTGCAAGTACTGATCATGAAATCACAAACCAACCGCCACTCCTACTTAATTGTTCTTGTTGGACACACAGTGCAAATGAAAGTATTTCTTCCAGTTCACCAAGACAGTGGAACGAAAAAGAGTATAACATCGTCAGTTTTATTGGGGAGATCGTCAAAAGTCAACACGATCTAGATTGAGACAGACTATACCAAAACGAATTCTGGTAAAACTGAGTAGTTCAAATGTCCTACCCACCATCGCGTGATTGCGATCAAAATGACCAAAAATAAAACCAAATTGGTACAGTGCATAAAGATATATTTAAGTCTTCATGTACAAGCAATATTACATAATATTCCGTAATATAATAGTAATAACCCTACGATAACGCGCGGGAGGGGCAGCGGCCCCGCCTCGCCGGCACCCGGCCGTGCGGGCACCCAGCTCGGTAGTAGGAAAAAGGAAAAAAATAAAAATAAAATATATTCGATTAGAGAACAACAATCGCAAGTACTGAAACTTGTCCCTAATGCCAAATCCCTGGACCTTTGTTTATATATGCGCGACTACTACATTATGTTTAGTTTATATTTAGAACGTCTAATGTCTTGTGGGGAGCCCCGCCTTTCTCTCGATTTCTCGCTCGCTCCTCTCTCTCCCTCTTTCACAATCGGTACTTTCTCGAAACTATAAGCGGACCGAAGACGAAACGAAAACAATAATTCTAGGGTACAACGAATCGCGTGGGTAGCTTTTTTTTTTATTTACACCAAATGCGATACTCAGAGAGGACTATATGTGGGTTACAATTGTCAATATCGGGCCTGTATATAGGGCCGCCACGCCATACCGTAAACGATCGAAATTTTTACGTAACTAGAGCTAGAGGTTTCTCTCTCTCGCGCTACTACGACGAAAGTGGTATTCCGAAAATCACGAGTAAAAGCTAATTTTCGTAGGTAATGACTTTTTGGACTTAACTTTAAGAATGACGCTTATAGTTGTGGGTTTCTGGGTGTGTTAGTTCGGTCTTTTGCGGTTACTTGTTCCACTGGTTGGTCCACCCCTGCAACACAAAGCGACCGTCGTCAGCTCCTCCACGGGTATTGTCAACCAGTCGCGTCGACTTACGTGCTGTTTATCCTGCAAGTCCGATAGCGGACGGGTGTTGTCCCAAGACGGGAGGTCGAGCTTCGGCATGTCGGGGATAAAATCGTGCCGGATGTTGGCCAACGGCGGCTGGTGGAAGTACTGCGGCCCGTTCATAAAGTTGTCCATCTGCATGGGCCTCTGCGGAACGAAAATATCTCGATCAAGGATCAATTGAACTACCGACATATTCCAACGCGAGAAACTTTGTACGACGCCGAAACTTCAAAGTATATACTTTGTTAAATCGATTTTCACCAACATAAGTTAAGGGCTATCAGTCGGTTAAATCGTCTGACACTGTTAGCATATTGATATGCTTTTATGCGATTTTTTGTATAAAAAATTTGGGGATTAGTTTTTTCAATAATGAATAGAGTTAACATGCACAAGAACTTGCTAACAGTTTCAGTTCCGATTCCAACAAAGATGAAGAGGGCCATCAAAGAAGACCGTTTTAATATATCTCAGTCAACAGTTTCTAGCGTTGTATCCAACCTAAATAAAAATATTCCTGCAATATGACCTCACCTTCATGCAATGCTTCGACATGAAGAGAAATTACGGGGGTAGTGCTGGACTGGACTCTTTTATCAACTTTATTAAATCCCTCTGAATCTTGAAACATGTATGGGTTCTTCCTAACCCGTGGTAAATTTGAATAACGCATCGCAGTATCGAAATTACTTTCCAACTCAAAAAAAAATTATTTTACAACTATACCTAAATTACTATAAGTTCTGTTTTAAAAATTTTTCTTTGTGGTGAAACAATCGTTGAATTAACTATTGGTTACGCCGCTAAGCCATTTAAAACTGACAGGCGAACATACTAGTAGTAGTGAAGTTAATGTCCGCCAACACAAAATTATTGTAGGGATTCTGGTTTAACAGCCGGTTTCAAAACAGTCCCACTATTTTTAATAGTGAAAAAGGGAATAATTGTAACCCCTTATTAAATTTTGTCACTCACGTATCAAGCTACTAAATTTATTGGTGAATACGAGCCTAAAGGGATCACAAATTATTTTTATATTATACAAGTTGATTTGTATTGTGAGGGTCCTAATTGCGAGACTGTCTAAGCCGCTGCAGTAATCGCGACCACGAATTTGGCTAGTACGACAGTTCTAAAGCACTGATACTGGTAAGTTCATGAGTATTATTGCAGCAATTAAGTGAGTTAAAGTGACTGGTCGAAATCTAGCAACAATACGTTTCTCTTCAAAACAATAATAATAAGTGACAGTTTAAGTACTAATAGTTCTAACCCCCACACAAATATTTGTAATTCAACATTTTTAACCATTTGAAAAACGACATAAAGACGTGCAAATCTATAAAGCTTTTCAATGTTAAAAACATTTTTATTAGAAAACCAATTTTATCGTGCAGAAAATTAGAAGATCATTGGACTCGTACATCATTTTTTTTCTTCTTTTGGGTTAGTTTTGAGAATGACTTTTCCTATACAATGTATTATTGTCGACGGAAATAAACATATTGTATTGTATTTTGGGGAACTCATTATGAATACACGTGCTTCTTTGAGCACTACTGGAAAGAAGCCTGTCACATGATGTGAGAGTTAATATTTATTAATGTTTAAAGTTTTATGGTGGCTGTGATTCGTTAATGTTAGTTATTGTTGTTTTTGGCTGGAAGTATATTGTAATGATGTCATATCTTTGTATAGGTTGGGTTAAGTTTTATTTTTAATTTTAGTGATTTTCCTGCAACTCCATCCGTTTTTGTAACGATTTTCAAAATTTTCCATTGGGCTCACCAGTCCGTTGATACAGAAACAAATAAATACATAACAGCTCACCGGAAAGTCGACCGTCGCATCTTCGGCGTACATCGGCGGCCTCATCCCGAACTCGGCCAAGTTGCCGGACCATTTCGCCTGCTTGTTGTCGTTCAGCGCCCAATTCTGATCGATGGCGCTGTTGTACGCCTTGCGCGCCCTCTCGGTTCCGATCGGTTGAGGTGGTTTCCTCTCCTCGAGCACGAAATGGCCGCCCGCGTCCGGATGGAGAGGATGCGGCTGCGCGGCCATATTCGGCGACATGTTCGGCGAACTGTGGACCATGCCGAGTTCCGCGCCGTTCTCCAGACCCTCGGAACTCTGGAATTTCGCGTGCAGGTTCTGGATCGTCATGCCGGCGAGGCCGCTGATTAGTTGCTCCGATTGCTGCTGGGTGAACGGGGGCGGGATCTGCATCCACGACCGGTTCTGCGACGAGGAGCCGGCCAGACCGCTGCCCCGGTGGAAGCTGTCCATCGCGCCTTTCATCACGAACACGTTGTTCTGCATATTCATCTGGTAGCCGTTGTAGACGTTGTGCGGCGCCGGTTTCGTCTGGACCGAGCTGTACGAGTATTCGGGCGCTTTCGGGTTCAGTCGGGACATGTTCGCCGACTGCTGCTGGGGCTGCGAAAAGCTTAGGTTCTGGATGGGGTTGAAGGAGCTATGGAGCAGCTGCGGCTCGTGGTTCAGGTTGAGGATGTTCGCGGCCTTGAAGTCCATGAACGCCATAAAGTCTTGACCGGCGGTCGGGTTCTGCGTGACCTGCGGCCTGCTGCCGATCGGCGGCAACGGATTTTGCGGCTTGGAAGGCTCCTGGTAGGTTTGGAAGGAGCTGTTGGCCGACAAATTGGGCGGCGTCGTGCTGTTGCTGCTCGCCTTTGAGGAGACGGGCGAGCATACCGCCACGCCCCGGTATCCGGGCGCTTTCGACGCGTCCACCTGCGGCGGCGGTTCTTGATCGATAAACTTGTGCTGGTTTACCTATAACGGGTACAAAAAAAAACTTACATTCACGTCGGAAGTGGGTCGTGTTCCCTGGCCCCTTCATATGCAAATTTAGACGAAATCTCGGCCAAAAATCCAACAATTCGAATAAAAAAAAAGGTTGATAGTGAACTATACAGTTCAATAAAGAAATCTTACTAATATATCTAAGAGCAGTTAAACTTAGTAGTACCTACATTTAAAATTAACTAACATTACCTCTTTAAGATAATCATATTCTCAATAATATTCTCGTCGGTGTTTTATTTGTGGTTCCTCGAGGAAAACCAAAAATTGTGATAGATGTTGCAACAACTATTTAGCAGAATTCGTTTTCAGATTTGAAATTAGAGAGAATTGATGAAACAAGAAGGTTATTAAAAAATGTCCCCCATTATTTAGCATTGAATTCCCTGTACCTTTTAACATCTTTATTTCTCGATTATTGAGCTTTTTCACTTAACTGCCCGATTGGAATCATGAAATGTGATATGACTTCAGAGAATTTTGTGAGCAGAAGTTGCTATATTATACAAGATATATTCTAGCTGTTTCAAGGCATTAAAAAAAAAAACTCTCGGTTTACCTTAAAACTACTGTAGCTCAGGTTTGAAACATTGTTCGCAATATCCGAATTAAAAAAAAAAAAAACGCCTATCCTTATTGCCATCATTTGTACCACCAAATTCAGGTTTTACTCTATCTCCTAGTAAACCCAAGTCTTTTAAAAATAAATCCTGAATTATTTTTTTTTGTATTGGGCTATATTTTCTTAGTTTTCTTTAATTTCATTTCCTAGTCAATTTATTAATATGACTAGAGAGCAGTAATTCGGGCAGATGAAAAAACTATTGAGAAAATAGAAGTAAAGAGGGGAGTCTAGCAGGGCTGTGTGCTTTCATTCCCTTTCAATATATATTCAGAAAATGTTATAAATAAAGCAAGGGTCAATCAAACATATAGTATTAAAATCAACAGAAATTCACTCTATAATATGATATATGGGTGATTCTTTGCCGATAGCCGAAACACTACAACACCTACGGCGCCTATTAATGCTGTAGTTGACTTTAGTAAGGAGTATCACTAAACACAAATAAAACCAAATTTATGTTCATAACAAAATCGACAAGAAAGAGTTAGAAATTACAATTACTTAGGTACTCTAATGAATATGCTGACAGCTCTCAGGAAATAATAATATCAGTGGTGTACCATGGCACGGAACCTTAGACGTTAAAGAAAAACGATGTGAAGATAATAGAAGTTGTGGAGCTCTGAGTATATCACGGAATATTACGAATTTCATGAGTGAACCAACACTGAGGTGCTAAGACGAATGAAAAGATTATTCAAAGGAGGGAACTGTGATAGGTGCGACACATTATGAGGGGAAACAACTATCAACTCATAATGAGAGGAGAAATAAAAATCAGTGGAAAGAAGACATTTCTGGTTAACAAATCTGAGTGAATGGTTCATCACCATCAATCAGTACCAATCTGTTCAGAACAATAGTCACGAAAATATGCATAGCTTCGATGATTGCCAACCTTCGGAACGAAAAACCCAATTTACGTAAATAAAATATATCATAAATCCGGCAAAGTATAATAATTATTTATGAATTTGTAGCCAAATCAAAATAAATAAGAACTAAAAGCTCCGAAATTTCGTGAAAATCGGAGCTTTTAGTTCTTATTTATTTTGATAAATGGATTTTCATCAAGTAAAACCCACCTCAGTTCAATTGTAGCCAAATCATAAAAATGTTTTTATATTATCGCTAAAGTGGAAAGTAACCTATATTAAGGTTTTGTTTTCTGGAAATTGTTGGAAAGACGGAAAAAATAAGTAAAAGAAAATTTTCGAAGAAAAGAAAATGCAGATTTTGTTGTAACTCAAATTTTTGGCAAATTATCACAAGATTTTTTAATTAAACCTTTTTGGGGAAGGGGGGTTCATTGAATAAAAAATAATATAGTTTGAAAGCAACGTTTTCTCTAAATAAAAAGTGAAAACTAAGGTTTTTTTGAAAAATTCTGTAAGTTTAGTAAAATAAAATTGCTTGTTTCTACAGCACTGTAACATAGGGTTATTCTAAATTTTTAGAATTTACTTATCACTGAGATGCCCCACGTAGCTGTCGCTAGTTTTATAAGAAACTGAGAAAAAATTCACAAATTCACAATAAAATAACAGCCGTCCTCACAAGAAATGTCAACTTTCACCTGATTTCATCGAAATTCGCCTTCGTGCGCCCCACCACTTACGCTTTGAGCGGCGCCGCCCCCGCCGGTAACGGCCGCGAAATTAATCGGCTTCTGTTGCTCCTGCTCACGCCTGTTCCAGTGGTCGGCGCTGCAGAACAGGGTGTACTCGGAAGTCGTCTGCAACGGCTGCGGAATCGGTTCCTCTTGCTGCTGCTGTTGAATTACCGGATGTATAACGCTGGAGGCGGAAATGACGGTACCGACGTCGCTCGCGGCCGACGCGGGTTGGTTTTGTTGCTGCCCGACCGTGCCGAACCCGGTCTGGGACTGCGGCTTAGCGGACGGGGTATGGAAATGCTGCATTGTAGGAGGGGCCGAAGCAGTCGGCGCGGGTCGGGCGTTCTTGTTCGGCGAATTTTGGTGATTTAGGGAGGCGGCGGCTACGACGGTCGGCGGCTGAGGCGACAACGAACCGCCCGAGGAAACTGGCGGCGCCGCCAACACTCTCGACTTGGCAGCGGCGCCGGAGACTGGCGGGGCGGGGTTGCTCGACGTAGCCTGGTTGCCGCCCAACGCTTCTGTCACTTTTGCGGCGAACGTTTGCTGGACGACCTGAAATAATATAAACGTGAGGACACTAAGGCAACCGGATCATATAAGTCATGGTCCAAATTCAAAGATTGCGAAAATCAATATAAATACTGAACTATACGCTAACTCGTCCGACCCAATCAAAATTACATACTAGAAAGTTTTGTTTTAAAAACAACCAACCAACCAGCTACATAACACACACGAAGGTACAAATTTGCAAATAAAATTTAAAAGCGCACATCAAACTAAGCAAATAACAAACCAAAACTTGTTCGTTCCCTTCAATGGCAACACCGACATTGCTTTAAGCTACTTTTCAACAGTAAAACGACATAATTGTTAATTTTCGTGATTGTATTGACGATATAATTTTCGATTATGTAGGAACAAATTCGATGTATTGAGTGGACAAAATTAGGTGAAGAATGAAAAATTAAGAATTTCATTTTTTCTTCAAGTTCAATACTGAAAAAATAACTTTAACTTTAACTTTGTTTTTTTTTGTGTATTGAGTTGTTTGTTGGTTGCAAAATTGCAAATTGAAAAAAATATATTCACTTCAATCGTTTGGCCGTTTTAACGCAATAATTTCATGATAATTAGACAAATAAACAAAGTATATTTCATTTTTATTTATTTTTTTAATTTTACTACACTTTCTTCAAATTTAAATTGGTCCTTAAATCATATTGACCGCGATGCATAATCGAAGCTAAAATATATAGAGAAGGGACCGTTAATAAATTTAGTTTAGGAAATAATGTTTTGGAAGAGTACATACATGGCTTCAATAAAATAACTGTCAGTTTATTAAGCATTGCATCAACCTGATTAATCCACGTAGTGTTCGACAATAAAAACTCCTAGATATTTCACAACTATGGATTGTTCAACCGTTTTACTGTCTGTATTTAATTCATTTAAAGCAAGTCCATTTTCATTGCAAAAGGTTACCATTTTATTGACCCCACAGGTTGATATTTTGGATAAAATATCTAAACTAGCATTTGAGGTTGTGAGGACCGCATGCAGCAACGAAATGACTAGGAAATTCCTGCAGTGTTATTAAAGAAAATTATGAATAAAAGCGGTCTCAGTATGCTTCCTTGGGGTACTCCACTGATAATTGGAGTATAAGATGATCTAACCGAGATATATTTTTTTAATTGGTTTTTTGTTCTCTACCAGTGAGGTAAGACTAACTAACAATAACAAATTCCGCGAATCCCACTCTTATAGAATTTATCGAGCATTAAAGAGAGACTAAGAATTACTACTCTCTTTGAAATGAGATAAAACAAATTTATATAAATGCATGCATCCAGAAACGTCATGGGTGCTACCAGACTATCAGCAACAAACTTGATAAGAGAGCACGGCATCCCATCCTCGTCAGCTGAATGCTTTTTACTAACAGACAAAATAAGCTCGAATATTTCATGCTCTTCATAAAGGCTTAAACAAGTGAGTTTGCTAATATTTTATTTTTGGATATTTTTTGTTCGTTTTTGTTTTTTTTTTTGTAATTAAAATTCTCAAGAGCTTTCTGCCATCCAATCCAATCTGGTTGTTTTTTGTGGCATTCCATGCTGCTTGTGAAGCACTGCTTTAGGGTGGGGAACAAATTAGCGTAATGTTTGCTTAGAATTTTAAATTTTTTGCTCGTGAAGTTTTAATATGATTTTTGTATATTTATATCTTTTAAAGAGATCTTCCTCTATAAGTTCATATACTTATACTTTCATAAAAACAAAAAGTCGATTTTTTGGCTCGATCTAGTTTGAATGAATATAAAAAAATAAATACACTTAACGGGCCATACCTTGGCTAGGGCGAGTCGACTCGCAGGGGCAGTGGAGGAGGGGGGCATCCTAATGAGGTTCGCTTGCGCCTGGGCGTTCTTCTCCGCCTGGGCGACCAACCTGGGGGCGGTGACGCGACCAGCGACGCCCGGCGCCGAAGTCCGGTACTTGGCCGTCGACGCGGAGCTGTTAAACCTGCCGCCGGACTGGGCGGAACCGGCAGCTGTCTGCGTCGAAGACTTGGGATGACCACCAGCCGACGACGACGACGACGAACCGGCGGACTGCGCGGCCGACGCCACCTTACCCGCGTTTTTCTTAGTCGCTATTTGGGTCTTGTCCCAGAGTGTAGTGGTCGAAACGGAACTCTTGGACGTTTTCGGTACCATCGACATGATATCGACTTCCGGATCTTTGATGAGGGCAGTGATGAGGTTGTGCGCTTGTTTGGTCGTCTCGGTCGATCCCTTGATGGTGATGATGCGCTCGCCCTGACCTTTGCTCTGCTTCTCGACCTCGATATGGGCGCCGGTGTACGCCCGGATGGCGTTGATGTTGCTCCCGCCTCTACCGATGACGCGCGAGATAGCATTGAGCGGTACCGACACCTTCTTCACCCCAGACTCGGACACCGTCTGCACCGACGACTTTCGCACCACCTCCTTCCAGCCCTCCTCGCGTTTAGACGATTGCTTGGGGCTGGTGCTCAACCCGCCCCCCTTGTTGGACTGCGGCGGTGGGTTGTCTTCCGACTTTTTCACCTTGCTCGACGACACGTACACCTTTTAACGAAGATCGAGTTAGTACCGCAGACCTTGGGGTCAATTTGCATTTCGCGACTATTTATTATTATTATTTTATATCTCTAGAGCCAACTACTTCCGAAAATCAATTTAGGCCTAGACAGACCTACTTTCACAGGCACACAAGGCGTCCAATTTTCGAATGCGAAAACTCCATTACTAATGAAGATGCAAAGATACCTTTGCACTTTTGTGCGATACTTTTTTGAGACTTGAAATAATAATATAATTAGATTTCTTAAATCCCAAAATTAAATACAATATTCATTTGGTATTAATATAAATATTCGAACGCACAATGGCAATACTTGAGAATAAATGACGTTTTAAATTGAATACGTGACCGATTGCATACTCCCTCGAATTTGCACTAGAGCCATATTTGTACAAAATGCTGAGATGTGAGAATAATTAATTACAAAATATTAAAAATCAACAGAGCCTTACAAAATAAACACTCACAGGGAGACGAAGACATTCGCTGGTTGCCTAGTAACGGCAAGGGCCGACCGCACCCGAGCAAAAGCAATAGCCACGTGCTGTCCCATTCAGAAAATATGCGCACTCTGCTAGACATACATTGACCCAACAATACTCCCAGCAATTGAACATGTTATTAATGTAAAAAATTGCTTTATACAAAATAAGTGTATATAAACTTTTCAGGTAAGCAACATAAAACTTGTCAACAATCCATTTATTTATTTTATTTCTGATAACATTGCAAGAATTGTGAGGAAAGCAGATACCTTTCGCCGACCAAATACGATTTTGACACGCAGTATGTCTATCTAGGGTTCTCCAGTAGGACACCGCTCTGAGCTGCAAACACATATTGTTAATGTTATGAGATATGGAGTAAGCAAATTGCTTTCTTTATATAGTAACTCAGTAGGATACCTCTTATTCTTGAACACTATTATTTTTATGATATATGATGAGCAATTTGCAGTTTCAAAGCAATTGTCCTACCAAACCCACTAACAACTTTATAAAACTTTTTTTTTTGATCTTATCCTCCACATATTCTACATACTGGTATTTCTGTTCTGCTTTGCTCACAATTATTTTGTAGTCTGCATGGATGTTCCTGTAATATTATGTTTTGAAAATTACGGACTTGGTTTTATCAAGATTAAGAGAAAGCATACTATGTAATCATTTCTTTAATCTGAGAACAGTGTCATCAGCAAAGCAATAAACTTTGCCCAGATCCACAGTCGATAAGGTTTTGAATAACTCTTCACGTATGCAAAATAAATCGACCCTCCCGATAATTTTTTTTATAGTCCAAAACCTCACTTTTTTCGCATTGTTTAAATTCCGACACAAACTTATGATAGTAAACATATTTTCAAAATTAATTAACCTTGTGGAAAATTATCACTCACCTCGTTGCCGGTAGCTTCGAAATCGTCCCTCTCGGCGGGCGACTTGGTGCTCGCCTCGAACGAGATCGATTTTACGGCCTTGACCTCGTTCTGGACGCCGCCAACCGCCGATTTTCTCGCCGCGCCCTTCGTCCCCTTGTCCTTTTCCTGCTTCTCAGCTTCCGCCTGTGGATTAATCTCGCTCTCCTTGCTGGAACCCGGCTTGGTTCTCGCGGTGGGGGTCTGTTCTATCGAGTCTTTCTTGACCGTCGCCGCCGCGGCGGCGGCCGCTGCAGCAGCCGCGCTACTGCTCACTTTTTTGTTCTTCTTATTTTTGCGCTTCTCCTTCGGCGCTTTGATATCGTTGCTCGAGCAGCTGCCTTGACTGTTGGCGTCGATCCCGCTGTCCCCTTCCTCCTTGTCATTGCTGTCCGCCGCACCGTTCCGCTGATTGTGACCGACTTCCGGCACGCTATCTTCCTCCTCCACCTTCTCCTCTTCCTCAATCTTCTCCTCCTGTTTCTCGTCGTAGTTTTCGTTTTTCTTGTTCTCCTCGAGCAACTTTCTGCGCTCCTCTTTCTTCTCTAACCGTTTCTTCTTCTTGCGTTCGCGCCGCTTCGCCGCCGCCAATCGTTTGCTCTCCTCCCGCGTCTTTTCGGATTCGAGCTCCTCCAATAAAATAGAGGCGTTCTTGTTCGCCTTGACCGCCTGCGTCTCCTTCGCGGCCCGTATGATCTTGACACATTCGTGGCACTTCTCGAGCAGCTCTTTATCGCTGATGGTCGCGATGTAGCGCATCATCTCCTGATCGCTCGGGAACTGGGTGACGTGGTGCACCATCCACTTGACCACCTTGACATGACCTTTGCGGAACGCGGCCATCAGGCACGACACCTTGCGGTTGTCCTGCGAGTCGATGTCTGCGTTGACGTTGTAGAGGAGCTCGACGACCGGCAAGTGTCCGCCGTTGGCGGCGAGCCACAGCGGCGAGTTGCCTTTTTTGTTTTTCACCTCGACTTGTGCGCCGCGGCACAGCAGCAGCTCGACGAAGCGAACGTGGCCCTTGTCCGCAGCTATGGTCAGCGCGGTGTCTCGTGACGATGGCACGGGCGTCGCATTCACGTCCGCCCCTTTACAGTCGAGAGGTTCATTACATTTTTAACAATTTTCTATAAATTTATTGATTCAAAAATATATTTTTACCATAGACTACATATCCAAGTTGATACTTTATTTAATTCATAAAATACTCATAGTTTTTTAGTATAGTATTTTACATTTAGTGTACTTAAAAGTCAAACTGAGTCAAACTTGCTAACATTTCGCCAATCATTCTGTTGGCTTCTTCAGAGCTTGACTGCCTTGCAATAGCAATGAGGCCGAAAGCACTTGCCACTGTGATCCTTCAAAACATCACTGACCACATATCAAAAGTTTTAAAGAGATATCACGTCAAGATTTACCACTTGTCCAAAAATCTCTCAACATCTTCGGTCCGTCAAAGACAAAATTCCATTTGAGATGCCCGGAGTTTATAGCATTCCATGCATATGCGGGAAAGAATACATTGAAGACACCGGACGAAAAATATCAACCAGGCTCAAAGAACACGAAAGAACCTTAAAACTAAGACAAATAGATTCATCAGCTGTTGCCGAACACAATCACGAATCCGGACATAAAATTTTATTCGATAAAACTAAACTTCTTGCATTTAATCAATTCTTCCACCTACGAAAAACACGAGAGTCTATAGAAATCTATAAACAACCTAACAATCTTAACCGCGACTCAGGTCTTTATCTGTCACCAATATGGGAATCAGTCATCCGAGACGGTGTTTATGCCAATCATTTAGCTCCGCCCCCTCAAACCATATATAAGCAGGTACACAGTAAAATGCGAGGCAGTTTCAGTCATGCTCTGAAGAAGCCAACAGGATGATTGGCCAAACGTCAGCAAGTTCGACTCAGCAAAAACCGACGCAGGAGAAATCCGGAAGTTTTGTAAAAAGTATTACAGTAGCCTGTGGAAGTTTCTTTAAAAAATTAGTAAAGCATTAAATATATGCCAAACCACAACGAAGATAAAATCCTCCTTAATTAAATTTTGCTGATTGTAAAATAAGGATTTTTGGTTAGAAGAAAAGTGTGACTAATTACATAGAAATCGGGATTTAATAGCCCATTTTTTGCACACTTGCCATTGTAGCATTATATCAATAAATTCAAACAGAAAATATACAAAAAGTCATAAAGTCATAATCCTGTAGCATTATATCAATAAATTCAAACAAAAAATATACAAAAAGTCATAAAGAATATTTTAAACGCACAAATGACAATCCTGCTCCCGGGGAACACCGCCTACTCCACAATACTACGCATAGATTTAATATCCAAACCATTCAATAATATTGAACTGTCTTGTCACATTTTGCAAATACTGTGGGTGGTATTAATAAAAACTGAGTACATACTCGTAGCAAGTCCTCAAAGAAAATCGGAGTAGATGCTAAGGAATTGAGCATATACTTACGTTTGGTATGAATGGACTTTTCTTATGGAAACAGGCACATGCTTTAGCTTTTTAAGTACGTGCTTTTGCAATATAATTGACAATTATGGGTATGCAAGAAGACACATTTGGGTAATCATCTAAAATGATATTGCTGTTGAAAAATTTCCCATACTTTTGTCAAAATCAAACAAACTCGATATTAAAAAAAAAAAACGCAAATGTAATTTCTAAAAGAACAGGATGCCTAGGAAGTGAATTTGGAATGAATATATAGCGGTCAAATTTGTGAACAAACATATGGAAGCCAAGAAAGCTCTCGACACCTTCCATCAAAAACCAAAATTATGGAAACGCTACGTCGATGATACTTTTGTTATTTAGCCTAAGGGTTTTACCATTGAAATAGAAACTTCTCATTCTTAGACATTCTTATCAATAGAAAATCAGACCTAACATTGGGTGACTGTGTTTAAAGAAAACCTATGCACATAGACCGATCCTTAATGCATTGTCACTTTACCATCAGGCCCAAAAATCATAGGTCATCAATTCTCTTGTTTACAGAGCCGTAAAACTATCTCAGTCTCATTGTCTCATTGAACCCAGAATCAAAACACCTTACCTCTGCTCCTCTCTCTAATAATTTCCAATAGCAATGCAACCGAAAGTAATCCCACAATTGCCACTATTCTTCCTTATATTCAAAACATCACTGACCACATATCAAAAGTCTTAAAGAAATATAACATCAAAACCAGATTAACAGGATGATTTGCGAAACGTTAGCTAGTTCGACTCAACCAGAACCGACGCAGAAGGAATCCAGAAATTTTATAAAAAATAACTTCAAATTATTTAAGCTTTATTTCTATAGTATATGCTTAATTTCATTCATACCAAAATTGTTAAGTACATACTTCGCTAGACTCGTTGTTAAGCATCTCCTTGAGCTCATACCAAATGAAGTATGTACACCAAATTTTTGAGTAAGAAGTAGAGACTTAATTTTATTCATATCACCCTTATATTATTGATTGATGGATTATATATTTTGATATTAGCAAATTGGCCAATGTTTTGGTTTCTAGGTTGCCGTTAAATTGGTTACTACGCTAATTTGCAAACTAACTAAATCCGGCATTATTATTTTCTGGGAATTCTGTCTTATTATGGCATAGACCTCGATAATGTTTGCGCGCCTTTCAAAATGTAAACAATTCGAATCTCCCTGGATAATTAGACAATGATTTTTACCGTTTACCCTCACCCTCCGCACTTACCTTTGTCCAGCAAGACTCTACCGACATCGACATAGCCACCGGACGCGGCCTCCATGAGGGGCGTGAGCCCCGTCTTGGCCCGGTGCTCGACGTTCGCCTTCCTGTCCAGCAACAGGCTGACGACCTCGTGCCGGCCCTGGAAACAGGCCAGCGTCAGGGCCGTATTCCGGTTCGTCTCGATCTGGGCGTTGATGTCGCTGCCCATGTCGAGCAGCAGTTTCACCGCCGCCGTGTGGCCGTTCATCGCCGCCAACATCAGCGGCGATATGCCGAGTTTCGAGCCGGTGCGTGAGTTGATTTCGGCTCCGTGGCTCAGCAGCAGCTTGATGATGTTGACGTAGCCGCCGGACGCGGCCAAGCTTAACGGTGTGTAATCGGAGATGTTCCTGTGCTCCTATATTTCACCCAAAAATCAGTTCATATAGAAATGGGTTACAATCACAAGGGTATCCTACAATACTTTCATTGAGACTTTCCTTTTTTTAGCATTCTTTTTCACGACAACCTCTTAAAACCCCTTATATTTTCTAATTCTAATTCTCGCATTTTTTGATATACAGTAGACCTTCGCTAATCCGAACTCCACTAATCTGGATTCTCCAGTAATCCGAACAAAATTTAAATATTACTTATTTACATTATGTATTCTATAATCCGGATTTCTTATTTCATGCAACTTTTATGGTGATGTCTAGGTGAATCCCCTAATTATTAAAAAACCGCAAAAGACGAGATTTTCATGATGTTAAAAAGCATCATGTTACCAAAAAGAGCACACAAAACTTTAACACTAGCGGAAAAATATGATATTTTAGAAAAATTAAAAAATGGTAAATTGGTTAAGGCTTTCGCGGCCCGTTGATAAGCTATTATCTTGATTTGGGTTTAAAGGCCGTCGTCGATTGGAATTACTTCCTAACGTTTCGCTAGCACGAGTGGCGAGCTTCTTCAGAGGTCCTTCCATCTCCGATGTTGGACGTAGAGTCTACGGCCTTTAAACCCGAATCAAGATAATAGCTTAAAAAATGGTGTTAGTGGCAAGCTATTGGTATTGGTACGTCCACTATTTGGGCTATAAAACAGAAATCTGGATAAATAAGAATGTGCTTGTGTCCTATAGCTAGCATGAATTTTTAAGTATGTAATATAATTTTGTTTTGGGAATTTTGAATTGACCGAAAATCACAAAGTAAATATTTTTTTGTTTTATTTGACATTTTGGGTACAAACTGTAAACTCTTAGGTGAGTGAACTCCTCTAATACTAATGTTATCTCAGCTACATCGAAAATTGTTATTCTTCGCCGGGCCGTAAGAAAACTCTGCGAAAAGGAGAATACCCTCGGTTGTACCGGTGGTTTATTAAACAGCGAGAAAAACATACAACCATTACAACTTTATGTGAAATGTTATGATGATAACAACTTTAACGAGAGTAGAGGTTGGGTAAGCAAATTGAAAAAGAGACATGCTATTCATAACCCCAAAGTTAGTGGGGAAAAATTATCTAGTGAACTAAAGTGTTGTTAAGCCTTTTCTTTAGAAATGAACCAACAAAATTAGGGAGATGCAGATGGAACCAAATCAGCTTTACAACGCAGCGGAATCAGCACTGTTATGGAAAATGTTGCCAGATCATACTTTCGTACACCATAAAGATAATTCAACACCTGAGCGTAAAGTGTCTAAGGAAAGAATAACTTTCATTCCATGCGCAAATGGCGATGGATCGCATAAGCTAAAGATGATAGTTATTGGCAAATCAAAAAATCTGAGGTCAATTAAGAATTGTATCATTCTAGTTGAATTTCATGCTACCAATTAAGCGTGAATGACTTTAGCTTTATTTATCACATAGTTTCACGAATCTTTTGTTCAACAAGTAAAAACGTTTCAGAAAGATCATAATATGAGCGGCAAAGCACTTTTACTGATTGACAACGCTCGAAGTTATTCAACAGAAGATCAATTGATCAGTGATGATGGAAATATCGTACCTATGTTCCTTCCGTCTAATGCCACGCCCTTAATCCAACGGATGGATCAAAATGAAATCGGGCTCATTAAAATGTTTTAGCGCAAAACCTTATTAATTCATGTTTTGTCCTTTGAAGAAACCGACATTTTCAGCACTCTAAAAAACAGGAATCTAAGAGAGATGCCGTATTCCTGCTGGCTAATTCATGAGATAAAGTAAGTGCTGATGTAATGTAGAGTTGTCGAAACAAAATATTTTTTCATCCAGACCTTGATGAGTCAAACTCAAAAGAGAGTTTACCGAAATTAAAAATATTCTACTGACTGTTGCTACTGAACGTAATCCTTTGCAGGAGACAGATATCCAACGAGTGGATCGATGACTATGATGACCCCTTACCGCTGTACAGTGAGAATGACAGTGAAGAGGGTGACGAGGAAGATGTTTGAATTGATCTAAAGATTAAACATGAGAAAGCTATTCGTTGCTTTGGTACATGTATGCAGTGGGCAGAAGAAAATGATGCTGAACTGAATGTTTTGTCCACCTTACAAACCATGAGAGAACCCGCAATGCGACCAAGACAATGCAGTATTAAACAAACAAAACTTAGATTTTTTTAAATCTTAACATTTTACAATAATGCAAACTATTTATTTGCATTATTTTCGTTGTCGTTCTATGTCGGTAGGTGTAAGACCTGCGTGTGGATGTTCTTTTTCTTTTATTTTTCAGGTGTTTTCTGTATGCGTTACCTTGTTGGCCTGCCTGGTCAACAGCAGTTCCACCACCTCGTACCGCCCCCCGCTGCAGGCCAAGCTCAAAGCGGTGTCCTTGGTCCGCTCTGAGTACGCCTCGATGTCCGCGTTGTGGTTGAGCAGCACCTCGACGACCTTCTCGTGGCCACCGGTGGCCGCCAAAATCAGCGACGTCAGACCCTTCTTGTCGCGGTGCTCAATGTCAGCGCCCCGACTGACGAGCAACTCGACCAGCTCGTCGTGACCGCCAGACGCGGCCAGCGTGAGCGCGGTGTCGTGGTTGCTGTCGGTCTGCGAGTCGAGGTCGATCGGGGTGATGACGATGTTGTTGCCGTGGCGGGTGCCGTTGGCGGCACCGCCGCCGCCGCCGCCGCTGTACTGTGTGATGGCCGAATTGTGATCGATCTGGTAGTTCTGATCGGGTTGCTGTTGGAAATTCGACGCGCCTTGGCTTTGGTGTCGCAGCGCGCGTCCTTTCTTGAACTTCATTTCTGATACCTGCAGCAAACGGTCAACATTGCGGCCCGCTCGTTTGAACTACCGCGACGATAGATCGCCTCCGGATACCAAACGGGTTTTCGGGTTTTAAACGTCGCTTAACTAACACCGGAATTTCACTATAACGCTCGCTATGATTCTGTTATACAAAACACTTATCAGGTCAAACTTCGAATACACGTGTTTCCGATGTATTTTAATAAACGGAATAGAAAACATCCAAAAAAAGTTTACATGTTATCTTGTGTTTTTTTCTTCAGTATGAAGAATAATTAGGCGAAATCAATTAATAACACTGAGGCGCACAAGATCAGTTTCAATTGGCAAGATTTTCAAGACATTCTAATTTATTTTATTTGAACATTTTTAATACCAATTACGCAGCAAATTTCCCGATCACTTAAATGCAAAACAACTACAATCACTACTTTAGTATCATAGACATCTTTCATCTAAACCTTAATGCTACTCGAAATCTAATTACTAATTAATCCTAGTTTGTTTTCCTGTAGGGTTATGGAATTGACCAGTCAAATTTTTTTGCGTCAATTGGCCGAAATAATTTTAAAAATGCAATACAACTTATATTTATTTATATATGTCGTCGTCCCAACGTTCAAAGAACTAAATGGAGTGGATATTTTCATTGGAACTCCCCGAATCGAAAAGCATAGTATTTAGGTATTCCTTGAAGAGGGTTATAGGTAAATTGGACATCATAAACGCATAATAATTTATTATAAAATGCATATTTTTATTAAATAATGGTAGATAACACTCTACAATTCTAATTTAAAACATTTTGATAGCATATTACTTGATTAAGAAGTGGTCAATTGTGGATCATTTGACTGGATCAATTTAGAAATGGTCAATAGGGAACTTGAACATTTGTTTAATATCAAAATTCAAAAGCCAACATTTAAGTTACAATAAATAATTCAAGTTGCGACACCTGGCTATTCCCTTTAAACGACACTAAACAAGCGGGAATGATCGTGACGTCATACCGCTGCTTTTCAATCGATACGGGGACATGTTTTAGTGTTATTCTCAAATTACGGGCGGAAAATTGAATTATTCACGTTTATTTTTGGCAAGTATAAAGCCGTGTTTGTATTTAATCTACCCCAGTTTGTATTTGTGCTTTGTGTGCTTTACATGATAAATGGAACAAAAACAATATTACAAATCGTGTCAAGGTGTTTGAGCACAACCCGTAAAACGCTAGATAAACTGTTTATTCGTCTGGCATCCATCCTATTGCAGTCTCCATAGGAATGACTTCCTGATTTATATAAAGTAAAGAACACTTTCAGTTATCAATGCAATCCACTAGTTTAAAAAAATCCTTTGTTTTTTTTTTGTTGATTTTTTTTTTTGATATGCCATTTGAAATTTAAAAAACTAGAAAACTTTAAGCTGATTACAATATTATATTGGTTTAAAACTAGTGCATTTTCTATAAACATACCTTTTAGCTTTAACACCGCGAACCTCAGCAAAAGACGTCACCGTAAACATTATCCACCTTTTAAAAAATCGGCTTCGGTCATTTTGAAAATTGCTTTTTTATACTAAACACAAGATAACAAAAGCAAGCGACAGGATCAAGACTAAAATTTAAATTAGAACCACCAAGACGAAGGCGTTGTCAGTCTCTAGTGGACTATATGCTAAAGTCCAGCTGGCGCCTAATCTTACCAGCGAATTGACGTCACGACTGGGCACTGACAGACCAATGACAGAGCGTTTCAAAGATTATTTAAATTTTACAATTTTTAGTTGCTTACATTTGTTACATGGAATTAAGTTTCTTTTTGTGTGATTCTTTTAATAGTATGTATAAACTTACTTTTATAAGCAATATTTTTCAAATTAAAATTTTGTTCTTCAAGTTCCCTATTGAAGACTCCTAACACTATTTTCCGGTTCGTTTTCTATTCTTGTTTGGTTAATTAGTTTCGTAGATCTTCATGTAAACCTTTTTCTCGTTATTATCTAGGAATAGTAATGGAATACTTATGTTTACTGTGTATATTGTAATTTTTGTACATTATATTGAGTACGGAAATAAATAAATAAATACTAAAAATCACCGACTTCTTAAATGCACGCGCGAGATGTCGCCCTAGTTCGAACCTTTTAAACATTTTTTTTTTCATACTTTGTTACCTTTTGATATCAATTTAATTTGGCGAGCAAGTTTCCCCCGGACCGTCCCCCACCGACCCTAGATAAACGCCACACGTTTCGACATACGACAAAAACAACGTACCCTAATCCCAAACCCGTCGCCAAAATCCCGCGCCAACGACGCCCCGACGTCAGCAACTAACCGAAACTAGCCGAGATGAAAAAAGAACAACAAATCTAACCGAACCTTTTGCATTTTCTTCCCGTCCGCGCAGTTCGCGACCGTCGTCTGCAATGTTTGAGTGGCGGCCTGTACCTGATTGCTGCCCTGTTGCTGTTGCTGCTGATGCTGACCGCACGGCTGGCAGTGGTGCTGTTGCTGCTGCTGACCCTGGACGACGACGCCGCCCTGCTGCTGACCAGGGCACGCGACCTGCGTCACCGGCGTCATATACTGCTGCTGCTGCTGGGCTGCAGAAGTCGGTACTATGCTCGCGGTAGTGGACAACGATTCGTTGGTCGTCACGTTGGGAGGGCAAGCTTTGGTGGAAGGGTGAAAACGTTAAGTGCGTTTCAACTACAGGCGCCAGCGGTCGAAGCGGCTTCCTTACCCAGCTGCTGCTGCATGAGGCTGTAGCCAGCCTGGAAACCCGCCTGGTAGATCTGATCTTTGGGCAAGCCAGGGGCCATACCGGCGGCCAAATAGTGCTCGTACGGATAGAGAGCGTGGACCGGTACCTGGGCAGCGGCACCGGCCGGACCCCCGGGCGCCGGTACCGCGAAATATTCTACACGTTGGAGATCGCCGGGGGCGGCGGCGGAAGCGGCGGCAGCAGCTGCCGCGGCCGCTTGCAGATCCGCCTGAAAGGGATAATCGACATTCCGCTGAATTTCAAAAATTGGCGATGAATTTCTTGCATGAGCCACTTTTCGCGATTGGTTCAATTAAACTACCACGCTATATTTTCCATATTTAGAAACAAAAAAAGGTCATTCACACGAAAATACTGTACGCGAGATACGCGCATCAGAGATACAGAATCGCGTTCGAAAATTTCGGCTGCTGTATCGCATTCAAGAGATTTATGAAATTGAATAAAAGAAAGGGAAAAGAAAAAAAAACAGGCGCAGTTTGGGCTCTAATTAATCAACCAAGAGAAAGAACCCTATTGTGTACTTTACTTTATAATGAATTATATAGGAAGACACAAACACAAATTTTATTTATTTGGGAATTAACATACGATTTATAAAAAAAAGGGCACCACTATACGCAACAGCTGCATCTATATCTTCTCGAAAAGTATCCCTGTCTGAACACGTCCATACACCGCAATGGCAATGTTGTATACAGAAATTCAGTATCGGAATACTGCATGCGCCGCCCGTGCTGTGTGAATATATATGTTACAGTGCAAGACCGAAATTAGTGATTGTTGACAGACACCGGTTAATGTCGACAGACACCAAATGAATTGGTGAAAGACCGAATAATTATTGATTTTATTATAAATTCGGGCCTTTACCGGTGTATGTCGACAAACACCTCGATATCGGAAATGATACAGGTCCTAACAGGCTTTTGTATGGTTTCTGCGCTTCGCTTTCGTGTGGCCTTATGGCCAGCCTTACACAAAGCTTGATTGATAGCGGTAATATAATTGGTACTAGATGGTTACCGCAGTAAACAGTAATCAGTTTATTCAGAATTTAAATACCCCAACAACAAGCAGTAAATGACAAGAAAATTTTTTTCATTTTTCTCAAGAAAGATACTCCTAAAATCGTTTCTGAAGTAATTTCTGCTAAAAGTAGGTACGGTACTCCTTTGGACTACATACCTTTAAAACGTTTTGAAAAGTTAATTGTGCCATTAAAACCAGGAGAAACGAATATGCAGTAATATCTTACAAACGAAGAGCTTTTCTAATTTACTTTTTGAAACTCACATTTGTACATGCTATTGCAAGTTTAATACAAAAATATTACTTGTGAACTTGTAATGCTCTATTTTAATTTGTGTAAACAATGTCAAATGAAAAGCAGTGCGCCTAGTGTATTTTAAAACTAATGATAAGTTCAGTTCCAAAAACTGTAAATGTCAAGTCGATAAGATCACTTGGCCAAATTTGTCCAGTTACGACCGTTAAAATCCAAAGAGAACGGAGGAAGTACCATATCACCTCCTTCAATTAATTTTTGAATATTTGGTGCTCTCGCAATATTGCATTCGGATAATGGCAGAGAGTTCAGTAACCAAGTCATATCGGAACTATACGCTAAATATCAAAATAGAGCACGGAAAGCCTCGCCACAGCCAACCACAAGGCCCGGTCAAAAGAGCCAATCAGGATATACAGAATATGTTAACTGCGCAAATGTACGATAGTAATTCAAATAAATGGTCAGAAAGGTTGTCGTTTGTACCAAAAAACCAAAAACATAACTTACCATGAAGCAATACGTCAGAGTCCATATGAATGTTTGTTTGTCCTTAAACCAAAAAAAGGCATAGCTTCGTCATCTCACCCCAACGAGCAAATTAGAAATATTGAAACCGAGAAAGTTTACGTAAATACTTGTGAAAAAAATTTAATTAATGACCATGTTTCAGATCTTAGTGACATAGACGACCAAAATATCATTGAGACTAATCCACCACCTTCACCTCATGTATCTAATTAAATAATCCGCAACCTGGCATGTCTTCATCTGAACTGTTGACTGATCCACAACCCAGCACATATTCAACTCAAACATTGATTGACCTACAACCAATTACTTCTCCATCTCAAGTGCTGACTAGGCACCACGGGTTTATTAATTGAAAAAAAAGTAGCTGCAAAAGAGAGTCTACTATTGCAAGCAACAAAAAGGTTGCACACTTCAAAAACAAACTTTTCTGAGACCCAAATTGATGATACCGTTAGCCATGATGTGTTAGCCTAGCCATTGTTGTTGGAATAGCAGATTCAGATTTATAAATTAGCAAACAAAAATGCCACCTTGAAGCAGCTATTCACCCGTATTCAATTTGCAAAGAAAAGTTAATTTCCACGGATGAGATTCCAGCTCGAAACATTTCGGTAAGAGAAGCCAGCTTGTGCTAAATCAAAAAATGGAGGACAAGGCTCATACACTCCGTAACTGCAAAAAAATTGTTCCATGTCCAAACGGAGCAGTAAAAATAAGAGGCATTTGTGTAATTCAAAGTGTCATGGTGCATTTACTTTGTTTTTTTCAATTTTAGTTTAAGAAAAAAAAATGCATGTATATATTATTAGATAGGTTTGTTGCGTTTGTGTTAAGCTCAATAAACCTTTTTAATTTGTTTTCCTTTTATAACAAAATCTTTTGTATGATGAATGTTGACATTCGACGGTGATGGTGAATAACGATATTTGATGAATGGATCACACATACAAGTAACATACACGTATCAGCGGTTGTCAGATATTCACGGTAACATATAGTTGTTTATGTGAAAGTGCTCTTAAAGATCATAACGCCGCGTGGTATTTATCGACTTGGTTTTCGCGAAATAGCGGGACCGCAATACCGCGATCGGTTCATTTGAACTACTCCGTTTCGCCGTTTTAAAAAATAAACGCAGGGGGATAAAAACGCACCTGCTGCGCGGCCGTCAGCGAAGCGATCATCGACTCGTCGAGAGCGGCGGGATAGGGCTGCACCTCGAGCGTCTGCACCATGTCGTCCACCGACGAAAAGTCCTTTTCGCTGAGTTCGAGCTTGGTCACTTTGCCGCCGCCGTCCTGCGACGGATCGTACACTTCCAGCCGCGTTTTCTGCGGAGAGCCGACCGACGCGGCTCGTATGAACGGTATCGAAGTGTTGTGGAACTGCTGCAATATCGAGGCAGTCAGCAAGCTCTCCTGCTGATCCTCCTTGAGAAACTGCACGTCCAGGTCTTGCACGCTGAGCAGCTCCTGCGTCTTCGCGTCCATCTTCGGGCACTGCTGCGCTCGCTGCTGCTGCTGCTGGGGTGGGATCTGCAGCTGTCTGAACATCTGGATCTGCAACTACGGGTTAGTCCGCCGACCGAAGATAATTGAAGGGGAGTGAACCGGCGACGAACCTGTTGGTCGGCGAACAGATTGAACGGCTTGGGCGGTGCAGGATTATTCGCCTGAGGCGGGGACTGGGTCAGCGCAATTTGCTGCTGCTGCTGCTGCTTCCTGATGTTCTTGCCCTCCTTCTTGATCGGCTTCACCTTGGGACGATCGTTGATGGCCGTGTTCTGGCTGACTTCGCCGACGCTCTGGAACTTGATTGGTTGCGCTATCGAAGACGCGGACACGAGGGTGCCGAGGCCGGGCGCGGGTCCAGTTATCACGTTATTGACGGTGGTGGGCGTGGCGGGTAAACTAACGCCGGTCGAGGTGGCAGTCGTTGCCGCCGCCGCCGCCGCCAACGGCGCGAAATAAAACGCGGGCTGTTGTTGCTGGGGTTGGTGCCCGGGCGGCGGCGGTTGGTTGTAGGCGGTTTCACCGGCGAGCTTGAGACCGGACGGCGATGGCAGCGGCGTGGCGATTCCTGCATAGAAAGGGACTTGAAGTAGTTGGTCGCTGCTGCTCGGGTTGCCTGCCAAACAGCAAACAACTGACAGTCGTTTCACCGGGAGCAAGGGGCGCGGCAACAATTTTACACTTCCAACTACTCTCATGAAACGTAACTGCGTCATTGGGTAAATATATTGATGACAGGGTTAGAAGATTTACAACCATATAATTCGACCGTGATGACATCAAAGGGGAGGCACACTGAATGGTGTGGGCTATGATCCCGGAGCTTGCTCGAAGAATATTTTTGAGTTGCAGTCTGTTTTAATACCTGTCGGGACATAGGATTATTATGGTGGTTTCGAATAAATAAGTGTTTTAGCGAGACTTCGCCTATTAATTTCTTACGTAGCAGCGGTGGGATAGTGCTCGAGGTATTCGGAAAAGACTGAATTAGATAACTAGTTAATTAGTTATACTGTATAAATAGTTATGGGATAAAAAATATAAACAAAAACTCAATATAATAAAACGTCAACATAGACTCAGCAGTAGCACTAGCAGTGCAGATTCAGAAGGCAATGACACCGGGCGATACACAAGAACGGTACAATCATACGATCTTACTTCCCTGTCAGCAACTGCTGACGACGAGAAGGAAGTGAGGTAAGTGTTTGCATATCTAACATTTTCGTATCTAAATATGCTGCTAAACGAAAGGGCAAAACTTCGAGCCAACAACTGAAACCATTATATCTTGGTTTCTCTATCAACAACGGCTGAAGACGAGAGGAAATTAGGAAGATAACTTACTTTCTGGTAGCAATAAGGCAGTGCAGAGCGTTACGGGTAAGAACCCGCGTGAGCTTCTTTTCCGATCTAGACCAAGGATAATTGACTATACAGTCCTAACTCTCGAAATAAGTCAGAAAGGAAATAACTATAATGAAGTGAAGTAGAATTCGAAAAGCTGAAAAGAAGTAACGCCCACGCAGTCGAAGCAGAAGACTTATTACACTGCTAAAAATAACTACTTTATACGGAGTAGTGGGATAAGTGCTCGTTCGAATGAGTGACATTACCAACTACGAAAACAGCAAAAAATTGTTCCCAAAGTATAGTGGTCCTTACGTTGTGACTAAAGTTGTGACTAAAATGTTAGGTATATTGGGATACATACGAAGGTGTTCTACAGATATGAGGGTTGCATTTTATATTTTGGGATTTGAAATTTTGCGGTTAGGTTTACTCAGTTAGGTTTTGGCGAAAGAGTGTTGTTCGTGTTTTTTTTTTTGAGAAATTAAAAAAATTGTGGCGTTTAAAAATGGAACTTAATCGCGAGCATTCTCGTGAAATAATTTTTTACAACTTTAGACGCGGTCTAACTCAACAATAATGCATCGATGAACTTAATTCGCCTTTTGGAGTTAAATCACCCTCTAGGACTACTGTTTAGCGCTGGTTTTTGGACTTCAGTCGTGGTCGCAGTTTTCTTAAGGATGAATTTCGAAAAAGTAATCCAAAATCGGTGGTTGTCCAAGAAAACATTGATGCAGTGGGGAAACTGATTTTGCAGGCTCATCTTGAGATTGAGGTATCTTTGGGCATTAGCAGAACCAGCGGAATTTTGCATGAACATTTGGCAGCTAAAAAAAATTGTTCGCGTTGGATTCCGCACAATTTGACATCAGCTCAAAAGAAGGGTCGTTTTGTTGGTAGAAGGAAATGTTAAAAAAATACGATCGCGATGCTTTCTATAATATCGTGACATGTGATGAATCATGAACCTGAAAGTAAGCAGCAGTCGAGACAAAGTCCACAAAAGTTGTTCGTGCGCGAAGCACCTCAAATGGTGGCCTGTTTTTTTCAGGAAAACTGGCCAGTTTGAAACTGTTTCTTTGATGAAAGGTAAAACAGTAAATTCTGAATGGTACACCACCATTTGTTTGCCAAATGTCTTCGAAGAAAATAGACAAACCAACCGCCGAAGACGAATCACTCTCCACCGATCAGTGCAAACAAAGAACTTTTTGAATATTAAAAACGTTGATTTGATGGGTCATCTACCATATAGTCCTGATTTAGCACCTACTGACTTCTTTTATAACGGCATGGAGGGATTTTATACACAACACACATAATGAAAGAAACGCTGTCCGAGCCAGAATGTGTTACAACAATCACCGAGAGATGAAAAAAGGGTATAAGAACGAATTTGAAAAATAGCATAGTAATGCGATCAAAATACCTTGTTGCTGCTTCTGTTGCTGAATGGCGATGTCGAAATTGAGCGGCAGTGGTAGACCGTTGGGGTTGCCCGTCGACTGGCACTGATCCTGAGGTATCGCGTACTGGAAAATATGGTTATGAGCCGCCTGCTGTTGCTGCTGCTGCTGTTTTCCGTGCAACTCCCGTTCCACCCGCTGCAACACACCGTTAATCGAGAAAACGATCGCGAGGAGTGGTGAAAAAAAAACCTACGTGCAATTCCTCCAAGATCTGCTGCTTCTGGGTGTTCCCGTCCGGATCAGAGATGAACTTCTTCCGGTTTTTGATGAAGTCCAGGAGGGTTCCGTTGGGATCCTCCTTGTTGAGGAACTCGGTCGCGGAAAACACTTCCTCCTCGAAGTCGCTGAGCGGCGGAGTGCGCACCTGCTGAACTTCCGCCGACGTCAGCGTTCCTAGGTAGGGCGACGTAAAATCACGAGCATTTAAACTACCGACGACTTACCATCGAACATGGCGCCCGTCGACCGACTCTTCGGCAGTATCGATTTGCGGCCGCCGCTCTTCGGCTGCTGAACCTGCTCTCCGCCGATGCCAGTGGCAGACGTGGCAGACCTCTGACCGGCCTGCTGAATCTGTTGTTTAGCGTTTACCTCGATCGTCGGGCTGTTAATATCGACCTGCTGCACGATACGCACCGCCTCGGGAACTTCCTGGAGCACCGCTGCAGGAGGAAAATCAGGAAAATTATGCAAACAGATTCGATAAGCAGTTCCTACCAGCCGGCGGTTGGAAGAACGAGGCGGCCGGCAGATTGGGCGGTATCGCCCCCCCGGGCGGCACCGGGGAGTCGCGACTCCCGACCTGGCCGGGGAGCATCGACAGGTTAGTGGCCGCGGTCGCCGGCTGTTGCTGGTGCTGATTGAGCATGATCGGTTGAATAGAATGCGGATAGTCGAGCAAGAGCTTGACGACGCTCGTATGCCCGCCCCTCGCCGCCTCTATCAGCATCGTTGAATTGTCCTGCAACGAGCGGTTCAAGAAATTGAAAATCCATCCGACGGGCAGCCAGTGGTGACAATAACAACGAATATTTACACTATCCGACAAAAGTAAAGCAACTTTTATGATAGAGTCAAATTATACGGTTAAAATTAAACTAGCAGTAAAGTTTACGATTTTATATATCCAAGCAGTTTAACTAGCCAAAATAAGACTGTTTTGAGAACATAGTGAAAGCGTTTAGAAAAAAATACCAAAAATCAAGAAGGCTCTAGAAAACTTCATTTTGGATTGATAGAAGAATCCAAAGAGTTTCGCAAAGAGATCCGGGGTTCAGCTTAGGATTATGGATAATAACTGAAATTCCTGAACTGCAAATTGGTGCGAATACTGTTCAACAACGATTAGTTGAGGCGAAACTTTAGTAGACTTCCAGCCATTGATTTATAAGAAAAATCGCCTTGACAGGTTTGAATTTGCGCCACATTTGAATTCTAAAAAACATATTTGACGACGAAACCAGTTACAAAATGTTTAATTCTGAATGCGGTGAGGACGACGTCGTTCGCGGAACGGATAGACTGGTATGTTGGAGACGTCCATTGTGAATTGGTTTCAGCAGAACAATCATCTGCAACACTCATCTCGTCTTGTTCAGGACTGGTTCCAGGAAAATAATGTACAAGTTCTTCAATGGCCAGCACAATCGCCGGACCTTAATTGATTAAAATAAATTCTGGTTGCAAGATTCTCAAATAAACAGTGTCGATAATTTTAATGAAGTGTGGACGAATTTGCTAATTATTACTAACCAAAACTTAATTTTATCAACGACCTAACGTTGCGAAGAATGGTTTAATTAGTAATTATTAAGAAAATGTGTTATTTTTGTTAAAATCCTTCTATAAAATATTGTTAAGTTATATGCGCTATACATAAAGTTATAACAGGAGCACTTACTTGATATATTTGAACTACTACCAAAATACAAATGGGTTTAGAACGACTACGATTATTTGTCCCTCGAGAGGCCGGGACGTTTGAACTACCCACTCACCTTTAACCGGTGGTTCAGATCGGCGTTGTTGCCGAGTAGCAGCTCGACAACGGTGAGGTGGCCGCCCGCGCAGGCCAGCGACAGCGGAGTATGGTCGTTGTTGGTGGTCTGCTTGCGCACGTTTGCGCCCTTCGAGATGAGAAACTGGACGGTGCAGAGGTGGCCCGCTCGGCACGCCTTCATCAGAGGCGTGCGCCCTCCCTCGGACTCGTGCTCGAGATCGGCCCCGTATTGCAGAAGGAGATCGGCAACGTCCGTGTGGCCGTTCTCGCACGCGTACGTCAAAGCAGTGTCGTTCGTCTGCGTCACCGCGTTCACGTTCGCGCCGTATTCCAGCAGGAAACGCACGAGATCGAGGTGGCCCTCCTGCGCGGCCTCCATTAGGGGCGTGGACGCGCCCAGTTCGATGTTCGCGCCCCCTTTCAGTAAGATATCGGCCACCTCTGTGAAACCCCCGCAGCACGCCAGCGTCAGCGCCGTCTCTTGGGTTTCGTCGGTTTGGGCATTGATATTGGCACCTTGTCCGAGCAACAGGTGAACCATTTCCTCGTGACCTTCCCGCGCTGCCTCCATTAACGGGGTGTAGCCCTCGTCGTTGACCTCCTCGATGTTGGCTCCACGTTCGATTAGGAGCATCGCGAGGTCCACGTGACCCCCACACGCCGCTAGGGTTAGCGGGGACTCGAAACTATCGGTAGGCATGTTTACCTGGAACCGATAAGTGTGAATTTCAAACTCCACGAAAACGGCGGCGAGTTTTTTTTTACCTGCGCCCCCGAATCCAAGAGGAGTCTGGCGACCTCGACGTGCCCGTCCATGGACGCTTCCATTAAGGCGGTGTGCATCTCGTCGGTTTTGTGTTCCTGGTCCGCGCCGGCCTCCAGCAGGAACCGAACCATGTCCAGGTGTCCTAAAAGAAACGCATAAATGGACGAAAACTCCCATCGAAAGAGGGCTTAAGTTTTTCTGATGAAATTCTAAACATCAGCTTATTCCGTAAAACAAAATTTGAAAAAGGTACGCCGTAAAGAAAACGAAATCGACACTGATTTCGCCTGAATAAAAATTAATAACGAAGCTTACTAGGTCTTTTTAGGGTGAAAGTGAAAAAATTTTTTTAATCCGCCCTTTTTTAAATGTGTACTTAGAAAAGGTGGAGCAAAAAAAGGAATTACCCTAGCGAACATTATAAAATTAACTAGGGAAATTATGATTTAAGCATTATCTAAAAAAAAAATTAGTTCCAATTACAATGCAAGAAAACTTCCAATAAGTTTTTACTTTTCGAAACAACTTTACAATTTGAAGTTTTATGTTCCAAGTGTTTTTTTTTTCATTGGAGATGAGTAAAGCTGCCCGTTTTTTCAAAAAATAAAGCTTAATTAAACAAAAAAGAGTTAAAAATATCAATTAATGAGGTAACACATTAATATGCGAAAGATTAACTGTATCATTTTGGAAGTACGCGCGGTAGTACCTTTGTAGCAGGCCAGCGTCAGAGCCGATTCTTTGAACTCGTTCGAGTGGGTGTTGATACCGGCACCGTGCATCAGCAGGATCTTCGCGAGACCTACGTGACCGGCGCTGGCAGCCTCCATCAGCGGCGTATGGCCGTTCTCGTTGTGGTCCTCCACGTTCGCACCATTCTCCAGAAGGAACTTAACGACGTCGGTGTGCCCGCCCGCGCACGCGTACATAAGTGGCGTGTTTCCTGTTTTTTCACGAAACGCGACCGTTAACACTTTACCACAACCCTTACATTTTGCACCGCATTACGTTCGAGACGTGTTATTGCCCATTGAAAGAACGCCGAATTAACGAAAAAAGCCGCCCAAAAACGAGCGGCGTTTTCTAAGCCACAAACGAGCCAACGAATTTGTACAGCGTTGTCGCGTTTACCACAAGTTCGGGAACGTTTGAACTATGCCGCCTCGCAAACCTATTGTGTGTCCGGGAAAATAGAAAAATTGTGTATTTTTGTTTTTACCTTAGAATGCTTACGTCAATTGATTTTTAAGACGTTGACATTTACGTTACTCTTAAAGTGGGCAAAGTTTGTCGAATTTCTTATGGCATTCATCGGCTACCCAACCAAATGATATTCTATGGTAAACTATTGGGCTAAAAGGAATTGCTGACCTTCTATAAGAGGGGCGGCATTCTAGACGCCCTCTAGAGCGGCCTGGGGGCACAACGGCCCCATCTGGTGGCCTAGGTGCTTGGACGCCCCCCTTTAATACCAATACCAATACCAATATGGTAAACTCCAATTTCGTACAACTCTTATCGAATTGTGTGGTATTTTTTCTTCCAAAAACCTTTTTAATATTTAGAATTAATTTTTATCGTTTATTAATATTTTAAAGGTGTCCCGAGTAAATAACAAAAGTGAAAAAATATTGGTAACATTGGTAATCATATTTTATAGAAGAACATATATAAACAATTAAAATAACTTACTAAATTAATAAAATATAATATTTACCGATTAGATATATTAATAAACTTAGGTAAAAGTTTAATGAACACTAAAAAATTAAAAAAAAAAGAAAAATACAATTTTTAACCCGTTTTTATATGAAAATGTCTCTTATCGACCTTTATAAATATGAAAGCAGAATCGAACATATACTTACAATAATTATTTGCGGCTTCCATAAACAATTTTTCAAAACCAGTAAAATATAGAAGAGGAGGTTGTTAAAGTTTAAATTTAGCATTAGATACTTGTTAATATTTTTAAAACTGTTATAATGACTAAAATGAGTACATTACTATAGCTGGATACTGTATAGTTTGGAACCAAAGCAACATCAGCAAATGTGCCGCTTAACGGACGACCGGGAGAAATTTTTCAAGAACAAGTAACAATTAACTTAGGTGTCTCAGAGTCTCAATATGTAAAAATGGGTATTACGAAGGTTACTTTAGCTGTAGGGTTTGGTTAATAATAACGCGACTTACCGGAAGTGGACTGAGCGTTGACGTCGGCACCGTGATGGACCAAAAGCCTAACGATATCCAGGTGGCCGGCGGAAGCAGCCTCCATAAGTGGGGTGCACTCCCCCTTGATGCCCCTATCTTCCACGTTCGCGTGCATCGCCAACAGTACCTGCGGGATTAGACGTTTCCGCGTGAAAACTCCACTAATAACGACTTTGGAAAGACGCGAGACAGTACTGTCACTTTGAAGTTTACGATTTCGTTGGCGACAATAGAGACGGGCGGCTTTTTTCCGGTTGACGTTTGCGCGGAAATTTCGAGGAATTTTCATTTTGCTAATGGCCAATGATCACGTTTGCGAATATGTTTTTCCTATAAAACCATGCTAATGAAAAGAATATTGTTTTAATTAGATTTATTTTTGCGGTGAAATAGAGAAATTTTATTTTTCGGCTAGTGCAAATAAACGCGTTGCCTGGGCAACTCAACTGTATCCCTGTACATCAAGAAAGCGTAGTTTTTATTGTAAATGTAAAGAAAACCAATTTTATTTATTTTATAAGAAAAATGAAGGGTTTATAATAAAGCGGGTTATTTTACGACCTTTTTCAGTAAATTTCTTGTAAAAACCAGAAATAAATTTAATTATACTCTAAATCAGGGGTCAGCAACCTGTTTGTCCTTAAGAGTGCAATACTAAATTTGAAAATCACCGGAGGCGCATAATTTACAGATAATGACAGGTATTAACAGGTATTAAAAAAAAAACAGATTTTTTATAACTTTATTTTGTTGGTGTCATACATAATGATACATATAATTCAGTGTGAAACTTAGGTGTCCATATTTTTTCTTATAATTGGGGATATATTTAAACAGTTATATAAATGTGAGCCATTAAGCTTTGTTAGGTATTTTGATTTCAAATATTTCAGATTTGAGAACAAAGACTCGCAATTGTATGTTGTATGAATAAATTTTTAGCGCACATTTCCTTAAGATAGGATACTTGTTTTCAGCGACTATGTTCCAAAACATTTTATCATTACTAGGCACTTTTATAATAATATCACTTGGCAAGTGTATTATTTCTAATTCTAGGTCTTCGATATTATGAACCTCGAAATACACTGAAACTATTTCAAGGACGGGTTCTAATGCTGCAAAATCTTCAAATCTAGAAGAAAACTCTTCTATTAGCTTATCTATAATTTCTAATTACGATGTAGCAGTAAAATTTTCATTATATAAATTTAAACTCTCAACAGTTTATCTCAACACTAATCATGTCAGCGATATGCTGATTTTTCCCTTGTATTTTTTAAATTTAATTCATTCAACTTTGCCGTTCTATCTGTCAGAAATCCGAGGTCGATTAGTCAATCCTTATTTTCTAATTGCTCGTAGAATTCGCCTCTTGATGCAATAAATTCCTTTATCTGTGGCAAAAGCATGATAGCAATCAAGTATTTTATCTCTGCTCAGCCACCTCACTTCAGTATGTAAAAAAAGATCTGTGAACTGAACGCCCTCATCTTCTAAAAGTAATTTAAACGATCTGTGTTGCATAGTCCCCGATTTTATAGAATTAATAATTTTTGTTACTATCGTAAATACATATTGAAAGCCAATTGTTTTTGAGCATTACATTTCCTGATGTATGAGGCAACCATGACAAATAAATTTGGGGAATCCTGTCTACATAAGGCAATAAATCCTTTTTCCTTACCTTACCAATCACCGCTGGTGCTGCGTTGTGTTGTAATTGACGATAACTTACAGGTAATTTGCATCTGTTATATCCTTTTTAAAAGTAGAAAAAACATCTTCCCCTCTGGTGCTTCCATTTAATTCTTCTTTTGTTGTTAAATCAGAAAATATAATCTTCACGCAAATTGCTAGTTGTGATATATTTGTCACGTCTGTCGATTTATCCATCGGTAGCGGAAAGAAAATACAATTCTTCTAGTAACAGTTCGTGCTGATAACTGCAACGTGTTTATAGCTGAAACTATTTCCTTTTTATTTTTAAATTCTTCAAAAAGTGAATGACCAGCTTCCAACATTGCTTCTTTCCCGAATTCTCCATCTGTTAATTTTGTTTTTATTCCTAACTATAAAATGCGATATTTCATATGACGCAATCATTGCTGCTTTATGTTTTTGCAGTGGTTTAGTAAAAAACTTTGCTGGTTAGTTATTGAAGATTTTAAAGAAATATTTTTTTTTCTTCCTAATTCTAGTTCATTGGATAGTCACTATCAAAATTGGTACGAACGGCCTTAAAATGTCGTTCAATCTTACTTTTCTTGGGAATCGAAACACTACTATTGCACAACAAACAAATACACTTCCCTTTGTATTCAACGAAATAATATAGATGCTCTCATTCATCATTAAAATAATATGTTCTTTTACTTTTCCATTTTTTAAAAGAAAAGAATTATTTCGGATTACTTGGTAGTCTTAAATGCACGTTCTACGCGTGGTATATTCGAAATACGATCACACACTAACAAAAAATAGGTGCGTGTTATTAGATACAATCAATTAGTCCAGTGAGGGAGCATTAAAAATCAATCGGGGGTTCTAAATCGTTTAACAAAATTTTCAGACCATGTATGGTTTTCTATTATCTGTTTGGAAAAAACTCAATAATAATTGGGGATGTTTTTTTCTCTTCTTGCAAAAGGGGTGGGAGGGGGGAGTCTATGCCACGCACCTGAGCTAACTCAAAGTACCCTGCACTGCACGCCAAACTCAGAAGGCTCTCCCCTTCCTCGCTGGTCTCGTGCACCGACCTGCCCTCGGTGAGCAGCTTCTTGACGGTGCCGACGTCTCCGTCGGTGCACGCTTCCACCAAAGAGGTCTTCTCGGCGGGGGGCTGAACAGTTCCGCCGTTTCCACCGGCAGTCTGGGGTCGACCACCGCCACCCGCTGATCCGTTGCCGGAAGTGCCGCCCGCGTTATCGCTGCGCATGCGCGTGAGCGCAGCCGCGGCTTCGTCCAGGGCGCAGGACACACTCGAGGTGAGACGCCGCAGGACCTCCGGGTCACCCAAGGCTTTGCCGTCTTTGGCGGTCAGCTGGCCTATGCCTGCCCAGAGAGACCGAGTATTTTTCTTGCAAATAGTTCAAATGTACAGATTTTTGAAAGCCGAGAGGAGGCATGCGCTTTTGAACTACCTAAAACCCGAGGTTCTGAGAATACTACTAACCTGCGGCCTGCAGGAGGGCCTCGAGTCGGGCCTGCGTTTCAGGGTCGACGGCCCTGTCTTCATCCGGGTTGAGCAGGAATTTGGCCGCCTCCACTTGGGGGTCGTCTTCGAACTCCTGATCTATCATGAACGACTCCACCTGTTTTCAAACAAGCACAAGTGAATCGAACCATTATTATCATAAATCCGATTTGAACCAGTGACAGAAATAGGAAGTAACACGATTTTTTTACTCAAATATAAGGAAAAAAACGGCAGCTGGCCCATTTTTTTTCTAGGAAAACGCGCGCGCGAGGGGGCAGGGAGTCAGGCGACTAAAATGCGTCTCGGTCGCATATTTCGTCTTATAGACAAACACACTCGAGACCCGAGTATGTTGCGCCTAAAAATAGCCGTCAATGAAAACGTCCCAAACAAAAACGAACGCGTCCCGCCATTTTTTTTTATAGAGGCAACCCTTCGAAATTCTAAAGTAGTCCATTCAAGCGGTGCCAAAATATAATACCTTAATAACTGGGTTTAATGGGAGGAAATTTATATTATTTAATAAATTAATAAGAAGAATTTCTTCCAATTAGACCCCGTTTTTGATACCTTTATTTTTATTACATTTTATTATTTATTATTAAATACATTCATAATATGAATTGCCTCTTGTTAGACTCCGTTATTAACACCTACAGTGGTGGAAAAAAGTATGGAAACTGAATAATGTCTATATTATTAATACTTGAAGTTAGAGCTTTTTTAATTTCCATATATTAAGAGACGCCTCTGATTGGCGTTTTTATCCGTTTAACAAATGTAAAGGAATGTGCATTACAGTCTACTTTGCCCGATCTCGATTTGAGACAAAAAATTGTATTTATTTAAAATGGGATGGGGGGGGGAATGCAAGATATATTTAAAAGTGCTGTGACAAAAATATGAAAGTTGTGGGGAGGTGAGAAACGCGTCCAAGTCTGCAAGACTAAGTAAAACTAATTCCGGGATTGATAAAATCGTTTCAATAATGTTCAAACTTATCTAAAAATCATCCAGTAAAGGCAAAATAAAAATGAAATCAGTAGAACCAGTAGAACGGTAAGAAACCATTTAATCAATGGAGGTCTTCATTTAAGAGTTGCTAATCTCAAAAAATAATCATTAGTGCTTTAGTCAAGAGGAAATTCTTCGATTCATTGACGTGGATATGTAAGGAGACCGCTTGGCGCAAGATTCAAAGCAAAGTATCAAATTCCGATTGTGAAACACGGTGGAGGTAACATAATGGTGTGGCGATTTTTCTCAATCTGAGATAGGGCCAATTATTCAAGTACAGGGTAAAATGGACCGATTTCAATACAAAGTGGCGATTTCAATGTGCCAATGATCTGAAACACGCATCCAAGTTAGTGAAAGCATAGTTTAGAGAGATAAACATAGCTCTTCTTGAATGACCATTCCAAATGCGAAATCTAAATTCTATTGAACATCTTTGAGATGTGTTGGATCGGCGTATTAGAATGCATTGCATTCCGAGGCTATGCTAAAAAATAATAAAAATAAATTACATTTTTGTAAAATATTTTTTCATAGAATAATAAAAGTTGCCATATTTATTTCCAGCATTTATTTGATTTTTTCAATTTCAAAATATGAATTGTCAATGTCAGCGGGCAAATAACAGGTGTCTCCAAGCAGCAGCATCGATTTCGCAACCCAACATCGCCTATCGGGATGCGAAACAATAAACCCATACCCAGAATAATCTAGCCGCCTCCAGATTAGGTAGGGGAAAATTTTAAATTTGCACGAAACCGCGGGTTTGCAAAACGCGTCCAGTGAAAGTGCCCCAAGTACAAACGCTTCGGCGGCAATCGATTTACTGGCCGTGCTTGAAAAAAAAATCAAGGTGCACCTTCTATCGATATCGCGGACACAAACGTACACAGTCCGCGTAATGTCTGTGGCAAATTCGACCGAACGTCGACACGGCCGAATGCGAAAACGTAGCGGCGACGTAGTTTTTGTTTTCCGACACCCGTCTCGGTATTGAAGTTTCGTGGGGTCGTCCATCGCCGCGACCCAAGGAAAAATACGAGCAGGAAATCCGAGAGCACGCAGTCGGTATCGGTCCGCACCTCGCGAAAAAAAAACAACATGACGTGTTACCTGGACCTACCGATTTATATTTAATTGGGGAACTTCCAAGCGGCAAATGGCCATCCGCGATTTTCGCGGCGATGTGCTCCCAGCACGACTTATATAATTAAAAATTTTATATTCTGCGCTCGGAACAAAAGAAAACCGCGTTTCGAAAATAAAAAGGGCGAGCGACTCGACGAACACGTAAATGGTTACCACAAGATGTCTCTCGGCCATAAGTTCATTGATACTTGGGCCCGGGGCAGCAGCGGATTAATTGAGCGTGTGCGAATCACGCCTCTACCTACCTCGGAGACGGAATCCTCTTCGCTTTCCGACGTTTCCGACATGAATCTGCGTTTTTCCGAATACGTTTCCGTTTCAGACTTGGTCGGAGTCGAGTTCGTCGATTGGGGAGTCGACGAAGTAGTAATGTTCCCTGCTATATCGTGCTGGTTGTTCACTTTATCTAACTTCGATTCGTCGGCACCCGTATGCTGCGACTCATTCTGCATGTTTGCATTTCAGTAAGACGGCGCGATCCACGCGTTCTTCGCGAAAAACCGATTAAAATCACTTTACGTACACCGTTTCCACACACAGTTTAATTCACATCACAATCTTTACGGTCGCCATTTTCTACTATGGCCGCGCACGACAAAAACGGAGTTCCGTATTTTTGTTCCCACGCCGCCGCGCCATCTACGCCCGGAATTCAGAGAATACGGAAAAGAGAAAACTGACATTGTCTGCGTTTGCGTTCGCTTGATTACAAATAGAGGACACTGTCTTCAGATCCCGTTTATTATTAAAATCCAAAAAAAAAGTCCCGAAAACGAATCAGTATAATACATAATCAGGAAGGGAAATATTAAATTAACTAAATAGGATGAATGGAACAACTAATAAAACTGACGCAACAAAAAGCCATGTTGGAATCCATCATTCTTCTGCGAGAATCAAATTAGGCAACGCGTTAAAGAAGAATTGAGTATCATTAACCTAAAACGGATTCCGGCAAAAATATATTTTTGTAGAAGTTTTTATCGTAATTTCCTTATTTTTTCCACTAAACCGCGCTTTAAAATCGTTATCTAAACTTCACGCAATGCCCACAATAGGAGTCAAGAGAGATTTGTTATATAAATCGTTGGGAAAGACGTACAGTAAGTTAACGTTTGTTGTTAGAGCGCTTCATGGTGGTCCTTTTCGATTTTTAGCAGACGAACAGTTCGCGAAATTATGTTTCGAGTTTGGGTTAGAGTTGGACGAAGTGGTAATATAGTGAACGAACTGGGTTAATATTAATAAATAAGCGCTGTAATATTACAGACTACAGAGAAACAAATATTGACCAAGGAACGGGGGGAAGATTCGCTCCTCGCCACCGATGCGTCCGATGAAACTATATATCGCATAGAAATTCCGGCGAATCGGTACGATTTGCTCTGTCTGGAAGGTTTAGTTCTGGGCTTGCAAATATTCCAGGGCAAGTAAGTCTGGAAAATTGAATATTTTGTGCAATATTTTGATATTAAACAAACGTAGAATATCACCGCCACGTTTTAAAGCGCTACAGCCCCTTGAAGGCAAGGTGGAACAACTTGTCATCAAGTCAAATACTACACAAATTCGCCCATACGCTGTTGCCGCTATTTTAAGGGGCGTGACATTTACCCAGGACTCGTATAACAGTTTCATAGACTTGCAGGACAAATTACACCAGAATATTTGCCGTAAGAGGAGCTTAGTGGCAATTGGTACTCATGATTATGATACTGTGAAGGGACCTTTTGAATATGATGCAAAAGCTCCGAAGGAAATTAAATTTGTACCTCTGTACCAAGAGAAAGAATATAATGGGGAGGAATTGATGGCTTTGTACTCTGTATAATAAAATTTGTTTATTGTAGCTGTGGATGTTGAATTGGTGTCTTTTTACAGACTCACGCTCAACTAAAACATTACCTGCCTATTATTAAAGATAGTCCAGTATATCCTGTGATTACAGACAGTAATGGTATTGTCCTCTCCCTTCCGCCGATAATAAATGGCAATCATTCAAAAATCACACTGAAAACTAAGAATATTTTCATCGAGTGCACAGCCACCGACCTGACCAAGGTATTCAGCAAATTTATTATTTTAGGAAGCTATCAAAAAGAAAGGCCTTGTATCATTTTAGGCCAAGATTGTCTTGGACACAATGGTTTGCATGTTTAGCGGGTACTGTTTGGAAAAATTCACTGCAGAGTATGTGCAAATCGTAAATCCCGACGGAAACACAATTTTGTGTCCAGGGTTGAAATATAGGAACGAGACGATATCCTTGAAAAAAGCAAACAAACTGATTGGCATTAAGTTTGCACTCGTGTTTGTACAACTCTGCCTAAACTAACAACAATAAATTTTTAGCGAATCCGGCGACAAAGTTGCCAGGCTTCTTTCGCGAATGTGTCTGGAATCAAAAGTGCTGCCCTCCAGGAACCAGATCAAGGTCACAGTTCCACCCACTCGGCACGACGTCATACACGCATGCGACGTCTATGAGGACGTCGGTATCGCCTACGGCTACAACAATATCAAAAAAACCTTACCCCAAACCAGCACTATAGGTGAACAGTTGCCGATAAACAAACTGTCCGACTTGCTGAGGCACCCAATTGCGGAAGCCGGTTTCACGGAGGCCCTTACGTTTACCTTGGTGAGCCCAATACCTTTCCATTTTGTTAATTGCATTTAATCCACAATTTGGCACTATAACAATAACAATAATTTGAATAAGAACTTTTGCACCTCATTTAAAAAGTTCCCTTTATGTCATTGGGTTGTTAACGGTTAAGTTAAAAAGTTATATTAATTATTGGTTTCTTTCGTTTGCACTTGGAGTGAATCACAATCACAACTTTATAAGAAACATTATTTTGGCCGATATTTTTGATCATCAATCTCCCAGTGAGGTTCTAAGCAGATCTTTTAATTTAGAAATAATGTTGGGGTGCATGGTACATGTTCCACACATTAAAAGAGAATTTAGTTCTTCTGCAGCAGTACTAGGTCGTCATTATCGCCAATATTTAGATAAAAAATATAAATGTTTCTGCTACAAAAATAAGTAAGAAAAAAATGTGTCAAATAAAAAATACTTAAATGAAATACAGATAAATCATGTTTTTTTGATATGACCCATAATATTTGCTATTTTCCAAACTTATCGTATTACTAGTGACAACAGCACCCTCGCTTTAAACGTTACTAACAGGTACCTTATTCTGACGTAAGAAGAGTTCTCCAAACTATATACCGTTTTTACGTGATAATCCGGTATTAAACTTTGGTAAATTTTTATGAATGTCTACCTCGCTTGGGTTTCTCTTTGTAATCCTTAATAAATAGAACTGTACTTCAGTACTTCATGCATACAAATGCTGAAAGCTGACGGATTTGTGTGGAGTCCATTGATCAATGCAGTGAATAATCCATTCTTACTTTAAAATGTTTATTATAAATATAAAAGTTAAAAATATATATATAAAAAATTGGAAAATATAATACAAACAATACAAAATCTACATAAGATTTTGTATTGAAATCAGTTTAAGCTTTCTAATTTGCTTTTAATATAGCTAACATAGGTGATCGACCTACCTATTGGGGAAATTCAACTTGAAATTGAGCGACCTCAAGTAAGGACCGTTTTAGGAAGATTTATAAATAGTACGTTAATATGAATTAATATAAAGTTCGGCTAACATCTTCAATACGGCCCTGCTTGTGGTCAAAACCATAAAAGGTTGTAGAAACTGTATATCATTTGGAGAACTCTTTGGGCCAACTTACTTCACATTGCTTTAGACTCCTCTATATCTCTTTGGTTCAGTCTAGACTGGATTATGCATCTGTGCCTCCATATTATGCCTGCTGTATAGGTAACATCTAAGCCGTTTAGAAAGTATTTTTAAGATTCTTGACTTCAAAGGCGCATATCAATATCTATAATGGGTATTAAATCAACTACATGCCTTCAACCAGAAGGTTCCAGAATGATTTATTTTTTCTCTTTAAGATTTTGAATGGGTGCCATTATTGTCCTGCTCTTTTACATAACATAGAATTTGATACTTTTACAGAAACTGTGACAATTCAATGTTCCGCATACCTTACCATCGCGCAAATTATGGAGTTTTTCACCCCTTACTAGAATGCTGCAACTGTCTAAAGCTTGATCGTTTTGTCGGCAGCCTCCCCTCATTTCGTTCTGATGTTATTGTTATATTTTGTTCTTGTTTGATTGTAGCCGTTATACTGCTCTCTTTCTCTCTATTTACCTTTAATTAATGTTAAACATTTGTAAATTGGTTAAACCGTAGATAAATAAATTAAATTAAAATTATTCATTTTACTTGGAAGTAGCTCGGTTCTGAAGTTGAAATAAGGACGTTTTTATTTTTTTATAATTTATTTTAAGTGTTCGAGGGACGACGTTTCCACAAAATTGGGCATCAAATCGATTGAGCAGGTTCCCGCGGTGCACATTTCAAACCCGAAGACTCTAGAGTTCCAGGTGTGTCGTACAACACTGTTGCCCGGTATTCTGAAGACCATCGCGGCAAACAAGAAGATGCCGTTGCCGCTGAAAATATTCGAAGTCTCGGACGTCGTTATAAAGGATCCGAAAGCAGGTCTGTCAGCTTAAATTTACAGAAGCGTCTGCTGTCCTGCCTGTGATCTTGTTCCTTGCCTTTAGAGGCATGTAAATGTAACTGATTTAAAATTTATATTCTCAATTTGTTTTGGTTGGTTTTGAGAAGTTTTAATGATTTAATGATTTTACTTCAAGAGCCAAGATAACGGACTGGCTAGGAGATAATTAATATTACCTTTTTACCGACTGTTCGGGAATTCCCGATGCTCATGCGCCACTGCCAAAATGTGTAAAATACGCCGATGCACCCGGAGCACGCAGCGTGTAAAAATTTAACAAGTCTTGTGATGTAATTTACGGGCTCCTGGTGTGACGGCTAGATTTTAGTGTGCCCGTTTTCCATCAGAGGTCGGCGCCCGCAATGAGCGACGCGTATGCGCCGTGAACTTCAACAAGAACGCCGGTTTCGAGGTCGTCCACGGCCTGCTCGATCGAGTTATGTTACTGTTGGAGGTGCCCTGGTCGCCTGAAAAGTCAGACCATGGTTATTATCTAAAGGCAGTTGACGGTAAGCTTGAATTAAGCCACGTAATGCGTAATCGAAGCTAATTCTCGCAGACCCGACGTATTTCCCGGGACGGTGCGCGGAAATCGTCTATAACGGAAAGCGGTTAGGAAAGATCGGCGTGTTGCACCCCTACGTGCTCGCGCAGTTCGAACTGAACAATCCGTGTTCAGCGGTCGAGTTCAGCATCGAACCATTCTTGTAACAAGCCGCAATAAACGTGGTAGTTAACATGGAAATGTGTTTTTTGTATGCGCATCGAATGGAGGAGTTACAGATATTTGGAAAGCAAAAGAACTTTTAATTGACGGACTATGTTTCTAAACAACTGTCCTGAACAGCAACATGTTTTTTATCGAATGCACAGAATACGTAAGTAGTTATTATAGGTCACTTTTGCATCGTCTCCGTCCCTAGAGGTCAGATTTCCGACGTCACCAGAGATTTTTAAAGTGTCAACTATAGCTATGGCTCCGTTTGGATTTTTTAAATTCCGGGTTTCAGCTGGCTACAACCGACTATTTGTCCGGTAGATCGTCTTGGATGAGGCATTTTTACGGTAGTCTTTTCTCTAAATATGGCAAGATCTTATTAAATCTTCAGGCAAGAAGTTAGTGTATGGATATCTTTGTTTAGAGATACAATGGCGTAAAGCTCGGGTTAGTAGGTGAAATATGGACGCACGAAAAGGTCGTAGGCACCTAAGGTGCATCAATTTTTGCAGTAGTAGACCCACTATATGTTATATATTATCTGATAGCTGTATGGTGTAAATCTTTATAGAATAGAGCGTTTTTTTTTAAAGTGCATGACCAAACTTGGGAGGCGACTCTAGTGATTTAAAAGATTTTGTTAAAATTTGGCAGAATAAACACACTCTAGCCAATATTTTGCCACTTAAGTAATGCTGCTTTTTTTATTAAGTTTGCTTAACATGGTTTTGGAATTCCGTTTTTATCTCGGAAGCGTAGGGAAATCCGAAAAATCCAGGAGACAAAAACTTATATTTTAAATTAATTTGAATAAGAAAAAAGAAAAAAAAAACTGTAAAATCGGGAACCATGCATTTGTCGGATAAAAAAAATAGAACGGTAGTGGTTTAAAACGAATAAATCACTTAATTGATTATTAAGGAGAAATCAATATACGGCCCCCGCTAGATCAACCACAGGATAATCAAGCGAAAATCAATTATTATCAATTATAGCTGTTTAATTTAGACACATCAATAATATGTCGACGTTCTTCGATATCTAGCCTCCATTGCCTCTTTTTTTTTTCGGTGGTGTGGTGTCCAATTCATTGTTTGTTTAGGTAATCTGTCGTCGTTCATACGCTGTACATGGCCCTACCTGATCAGTTATTTTCTTTCAGTGTCTCTTTTGGTTCTTGATGTTCTTGCTGATCTTTAATTTTTTATGTTAGATATACATTTTTACTCAAGGATTCCATTCCTGTATCACTCTCGTTATTTTTTTGTCATCTGAACCCGTTTTGTCCAGTGTAACCTCTAGGTAGTTGGTACTCTTGACAAATATGTACACACAAACTTTCCCGACAAGGGCAAAAACGCAACATGAGAGCCTTTTAGCTCCTAAAGGGAGCCGACATTTGGTCATTTTACGAAAAAGGATAGAGCAAAAAGGAAGTTACGACGCAAGTCCGACCATTGAAATCCTTAAAATAAAAACACCAGTTAACGCTTTTCTACAAATATATTACGAATAATTTTCGATATTAACAAAATTCATAACACAGAGATTTCGGTTAAAAAAAATACCGAAGATGGCCGTCCCGACAACTAACGGCAACCGACCGGGACGCCACCTTCCTGTACACTACTAAAACAATCGTGCGTCTCTCGTGTCCGCCCCACCCTGTCTTTTTGCATCAGTCGAATTGTGCGCGCGGCACGCCCACCCCTAGCGATGCACCGAATCGCACTCACACCACGAAACGTACAATATTTTTAAATTTTAATTTTTCTCCTCCTTCTTCTCCTTCGGCTCGTCCGTCTGCTGCTGCTGTTGCTGTTCGCCGCTACTGCTAGCCCCGTCCCTCTCGGACGCCATCTGAAATCCCGTCAAACATTTCCGACTCCACCCCCCACCCGGTCACCTCATCACCGTTACCTTTTTGTACACCATCTCAAACAGCTTCAGCGACGATTGCTGCAGCTGCGTGGTCGCTTTGCGAATCTCCTCGGGATCGGCGTCGTCTTTGCGCGCCAGCAGCTCCCTCAGTTTGGCCAGCTCTTCTTGCAGTTTGTTGCGCTCCTCCTCGGGCAACTGGGCCTGCAACACGCGAAAAGTAGTTCAAACGTACCGTACGGTTTGCTGCGCCGAGCGCGCGTCCTCGCCTTGTATTCCTCCATTTTGGTTTCGGTGTCGTGAGCCACGCCTTCCGCCTGGTTGATCGCCTCTACCCTCTCCTTCTTGACCTTGTCCTGTTGCGCGTATTGCTCCGCGTTCTTCACCATGTTTTCGATCTCGTCCTTGCTAAGGCCGCCCGACGACTGTATGACGACTGAAACAGACGCGATATCGTGAACGTCGCGGCCCTGAGGACGCCCAAAAGCGTGGAACTCACTTTGCTGCTCCTTCCCGGTACCCTTGTCCCTGGCCGACACGTGCACGATGCCGTTGGCGTCAATATCGAAGGTAACCTGCGCATACATTTACCGTCTCGAAAAAGCAGTGCGGGTAAAGAAAAGAAAAGGTTTCTTTTTGGGAAATAATGCGTTTTACTACCTCGATCTGGGGAACGCCCCTCGGCGCGGGCGGGATGCCCACCAGCGAGAACTGACCGAGCAGCTTGTTGTCGCTTGCCATTTCACGCTCGCCCTGATGCACCTTGATTTCCACCTGGGTCTGGCCGTCGGCCGCCGTCGAGAACACCTGCGACTTTTTGGTCGGAATGGTGGTGTTGCGGTTAATCAAGCGCGTAAACACACCGCCCAACGTTTCTATGCCGAGAGATAGGGGCGTGACGTCCAGCAAGAGGACATCGGTCACGTCGCCGGCGAGGACGCCGCCCTGGACGGCTGCCCCGACGGCGACCGCCTCGTCTGGGTTCACCGCCCGGCTGGGTAGCTTGCCGAATATCTCCTGCACAGTACTTTGCACCTTGGGCATCCTCGTCATACCTAAATTTCCGATTTTTCCGATCCTTTTCCGAGTTTATAGTACCGTCCTTACCGCCGACAAGCAAAATCTCACCCACGTCGGACTTGGTCACCTCCGCGTCCTTTAACGCCTTCTGGCACGGCGAAATCGTCCTCTTGATCAGGTCCCCCACCAAACTCTCAAACTTCGCCCTGGTTAGCTTGAGGTTCATGTGTTTCGGTCCGGACGCGTCCATCGTCAGGTAGGGCAGGTTGATGTCCGTCTGCAGGCTGGACGACAGCTCGATCTTGGCCTTTTCCGCCGCCTCCTTGAGCCGTTGCATCGCCATCGCGTCCTTGGTGACGTCGATGCCCTGTTCCTTTCTAAATTCCGACACCAAATGGTTCACGAGGAGGTTGTCAAAGTCCTCGCCGCCGAGGAATGTGTCGCCGTTGGTAGATTTCACCTCGAACACGCCCTTTTGGATCTCGAGGATTGATATGTCGAAGGTACCGCCGCCCAAGTCATAAACGGCGATGCTACAAGCCCCGTTCCGAGTTACGCCCCTTCCCCGCACGATAAACGACGACGCAAACTTACACTTTGTCTTCGGCTTTATCCATGCCGTAAGCCAATGCGGCCGCGGTGGGTTCGTTGATTACCCTCAGGACGTTGAGGCCCGATATTTGGCCCGCGTCTTTGGTCGCCTGCCTTTGGGAATCGTTGAAGTACGCGGGCACAGTGACGACAGCGTTTTTCACTTTGGTGTTTAGGTAACCTTCCGCGGTTTCCTTCATTTTAATTAAGACAAATGCGCCGATTTGACTGGGAGAGTACATTTTACCGTCGGAACCTTGGACCCACGCGTCTCCATTACTGGCTCTCACGATTTTGTATGAAACGTTGTTCCTGGTGAAGAGGCAACGTTTTATCTTTTCTCCAGAAGAATTAAATAATTATAAAAAGATACAAAAAATTATGATGATTTCATCGAAAAATACCCTCAAAATCCACCTATTAAAAATCAGCCGCCGATGTTATTCCATAACCATCCAAATTACGAACATTTCCGCGATACATAATTTAATTTGACTATGGTAAGTAAACTAAATTACTAGACTAGCTAGGTTTGATTAAAAAATAGTTAATTACTAATCTCACTAAAGAAAAACAGAAAAAATTCCCCATAAACCATCTAATATGAAAAAGATATAAAACTCAAAAATGAATACTGGCAAAAAACTTTTTGAACACTTGGCAATAATTTGGAAAAGAGATTAAAATACTGATTTTTTTTTTCAAATACTTACACTACCAACCCGTTTATGAAATTAATGTAACCCACCGCTTTGACTTACATATCTTTTTTAACTTCGGGATCCTCAAATCGTCTACCAATCAGCCTCTTGGTAGCATAAAATGTGTTTGCAGAGTTTGTGACAGCTTGTCTCTTGGCAGGCATGCCGACCAAACGCTCCCCATCTTTGGTAAACGCGACCACCGAAGGCGTAGTTCGGGAGCCCTCAGAATTCTCAATAACTTTTGCCTGTTTGCCTTCCATAACCGCGACGCAAGAATTGGTAGTCCCCAAATCGATGCCGATCACGGCCCCCCTAACCCCTTCAGACTTGTATCGCATCTGGTCGTATCTGGGTTTGGCGATCAAGCCGGGGCTTATATTCTAAAAGGCAAATGATATTTTGAAACAATTAACAAAAGTGCGAAAACTACTAATTTGCGTCAGAACCTACCGTGTTCAGTAGATGGCCGAAACCATTTTTACTTGTGAAACCAACAGGTTGCCTGGTGCATTGGACCGCGGCTTTACTGAAAACTCGCGCCGCGCTCAACATTTTTCCGTTTTTGCCAAAAATTTATAGATAATTTAAAAGTCGTTTCACGTGCGCTTCGCTCTTCGAAAATGGCTGCCGGCGAATTGACGGCCCGCGCTTTAGGAAATCGCCGTGTCGCGGCGCTGTTGCCAAGGCACTGTGATAATTTTAAATTTTAAAATCTAGAATATTTCTGTCTAGAATTTTCACGCATCAAGTTGTGTAACGACGGTGACGTAGCCTTCGGCAAACTTATTTGACAAAAGAAGCCGAAATTATACCGCATTTTTCTCTGATGAGATGTAGTCATCTCCCAAATCTGACGTCCTTGAGAATGATAGTGTAACAAAAGTCTTTTAATAAAACTGCGTGATAAGTGCTACTTATTTATTATCTGAATCAATTTCGTCTCTCAGTTCTTCTTTTCTAAAGCCCTAGAGCCAATATTAAGGAAATAAAGAAGAATGTCCGCCTCTTTTGATTGTGGCATATTGCCATTAAGCAATGACGAAAAGGTTAGAAAAGATAGTGAAAATATGGAATTTAGGCAAAGTGGATTACGCCAAAGCTCTTAAAATACAAAATGTGGTAGCCAGTTGTCACGGTAACACCACATCCGATAACGTGTTATTATGTTTGGAACATTTGCCGGTTTATACGGTGGGAATTCGTAACCTGCAGTATAGTCACAGAGAGGAGGTTTGGTTGAAGGAAAAAGGAGCAGATTTTTATAGAACGAACCGAGGTGGCCTTATTACTTTCCATGGCCCGGGTCAGCTCGTCGTTTATCCCATTTTAAATTTGAAATGCTTCACGCCTAGTATGCGATGGTATGTGTGCCAAATTGAAAGAACCGTCATCAATTTGTGCAAAAAATTCAACTTAGAAGCCGAGACGTCGCCTCACACCGGCGTTTGGATCAAGGACAACAAGGTACGTGCGAGTTTTACATACTATTCAATTACTTTAGGCAAAATGGTGTACCTAGGTTTGCGCAATTGGCGTCCATGGTAGTCGTTTTGTAACAACGCACGGATTAGCAATAAACTGCGCCACAGATTTGAGCTGGTTCGATCATATAGTACCTTGTGGCATCGAGGGCAAAGGGGTAACTAGCTTGTCTAAGGAACTAAACAGAGAAGTCAGCACCAGTGAGGTGCTGCCTTTGTTCTTGGACAGTTTTTGTGATATTTTCCAATGTAACAGGGTTCCTATATCTTCCACGGAGGTGAAATGTTTTCTGAATAAAATACAACATTGATATTTATTTGTACAAAAATATAAAATAGTATAAATTAGGTTAAAGCATGAGTTAGCATTCGCAATGGACAACCTTCCTCATCGCGTAGCCCGGCAATTGCACCCCTCTCAGGAACGTTTCCGCGCAGCCCTGAAAACAAAAAAGTGAAACTTGACAATTATACAACCTTTTTTCGCTTACCTCGCATCCAGGACAAATGCCCGAGAAGGCATACAAAAAAATGTAGACTATCGCGCACAACACGGCAATCGGAAAAGCCAGTGTGATGAGGATCAAAAGCCAGAACAGGAACCCGCAACAATTCATGTCGAATCGAATTTGTAGCGATTGAAATGAAATGTTACTCGACACGTTCTACCTGAACCTCAGAATAAGCATTGCTTTGGAGAGGAGGAATTTAAGAACACCCGCGCTTGTAAGTTCTTTTTTTGGGTATACGAAATTTGTCACACTGGCGTAAGCGTATTGGGAATACTTATATGCCTGTTTGACTGCAGATAAGATAGCGGTTAGGGTGAAATTTTAAAAAGTAAAATCTGTAATAGCTAAATATAGTCTTGCGTTATCTGTAGTAAAGAGGACGCATTTATTGACTCTAGTTACAGAGTCTTTACGATAACAATTTCCTTGTCCCCCTTTCAATGATAACATGTTTAGTTTAGTCAAAAAGTTATTGCAGAGGTTTTTTTTCACTGCGTGCTACCAGTTATATCGTCCGTAAAAGCAAAAATTGCGGCACGCCACTGTGGTTCGTGGTTGCCGGAACATCGAGTCATGTTTTGTTCGCGGGATTTTGGACGCATTTGGAAAATTCTTTATGCGATTTTATCGCGATTACGAATGTCGCGATAAAATTTGGGTATTTTGCAGAGGTAGTACTTAAAATTCCATTTTTTTATGACGTTATATCCTGCTTACTTTATTTACTTTAAAATTGATATACTTAGAAATAAGTCTTCTAACATTTCGAAAAAATATAGTATTCAGAACATAGCAGTATATATTTTTCAGGCTTATTTCTTATAAATAGTATTATGATATAATCAGTTTATATGTAGATGGGCCACATAGGCGCATATTAATGCACAGGGTCATTTGAAATCTCGTTTTCAACCGATAAGCGGCGTTCAAAAACCAACATGGCCCTTGACAGTTTTTCAATTCGACAGGTTATTTTCTTAAAGTATGCACAGATCTCATTTTGGGGTAACGAGTTAAGTGTGCGTGGAAGTCGCTGATTAAAACGAAATAGCGTGTGGAATTTAAATATACAGTTATTAAACAAAGATCACGATTGCGTTAGCAACGACACGAAGAGTTTTCTTAGCATAAGCTGGTGTCACCAATATGGCATCATCATATCATTTCTCCTGATTTCGAGTAAAGTAATTTTCTAAATTGCGGTTTTAATACTTCGATGCGATTCGAGTATGACAACATACGTAGGAATGAATTTTTATCTATGGCTGTAACAAGTAAAACGTGACTTGTGCGAGGGTAAAAAAAATTTATTGACTCTATTTAAAACAACCGCGGTTGTCAAACCAGTCAAATTCGGTGATCTGTGACTTACAGGGTTCTCGAAAATGGCGGTTAGTAAGTCATGCGCGATTGTGTTGGCTAGGCAGCCGTTTTCGAAATACCTCCAGTGATACAAGGTAGGTGGAACATTCATTAAATACTTGAATTATTGAGAAGTTTTGGACTTTCAACCAGTGGTAATTTTTTATAGTAAAACAAAAATAGTTCGCGTCAATCCAGATTTTATTTGTTCTGTCTACACGAACGTCGTAAAATACATCACACTATAGGTGGAAAACTCTTTTCTTTCCGAAACTTTTTCTTCGTATGGCATCCAGATACTCCTTTTTGACCTCGCTTGACCTCAGCTCCAGTATGAGCTTGACCTTTTCGATTATTTCATCCGCAATATCCTTATCCGCTTCGAAGTCGAAATGTTTGAAACTGGGCGACGTGTGAAAAGTGGGTGGAAAACTGGATCCTACAAAACGGCGTCGTATCGCAATTTATAATTTTTTTTCACCTACCGGGCGAAACTGTGCCTCGATCATTTCCTCCAAACGCGCTGGAATATAAAATCCTGAAGGTGCTTTTGGGTCCTTTGCAATCGAGGACCTCACACCACGCAACCATGTCCATGTGGTAGCTAACTGGTTTCTGCTTAACCAGTTGAAATTTTGAATGGGTATGGGCCACGGGGTCGATCTCCAATTTTTCGCTGCTTATCCCTAAAAATGTTTAATAGATTAAGCATGAGGTGAGGCGCAAAAATAATTGGGCTCACCCAAATGAACCTCACTCTTCTGCCTGACCTTGTTTATGATATTCACCCTGTAAGATTTATATAAAGGTGCTTCCATCGCCCTGTTGTGACCATCCATTAACATCATGTCATTAATTTGTTTGTTTTCTTCCGCTTTCGAAGCTGAGGTGGTACGTTTTTTCCCACCTAAGCTTTCTGGCGAAGAGGGGAGATCTTCCATGCAATCAAAGGAGATGTTCCTAACAGGTTCCTTGTGTTCCACGAGTCCTATTAAACACTTATTAGGATTCTTAATGCTTGAAGGAATCCATTATGGTTACCTAAACAAGTAAATCCAAACTTGGCGATACATTCTCTGGAATCCAAGGCGGGAAAATCTCTGTCGACTTCACCATCTTCCTCTGTTATGAATAAACCATAATTGGAGACGGATTTTAAAGTCGCCTCTGCATATTTTGTACTAAAATGAACAAACAACATTTGTTTTTCAGAAGTTGGGTATTTTTTGTGGAATATTTTTTGTATTCTTTTAAAGTGGCCATCTTTACCTGACTTTCAACAGGATCAGTCCAATCAGTTCAGATATTTTCGCCGTGGCGACACAACAAACCTCAATCGGATAATTTCGTTGCTCTTCCGGCAGCATTGTTAAAAAAATTCGATACTTCCTGGTGGCTATGTTGATCTGGCCAAGTCCTACAAACAAGATACTCCAAATTCTCAATATTTCCGTGCGATTTCCCGCTTTTTACCGTCGAATTTCGCGTAGTCCATATAAGGATTCTGGGGCATATTGGTAAATTTCTTTAGAACAGCAGTCAGACTTGACTTTACTGCCTGTTTCGGAATTGGTTGCGCTTTTTTAACAAACAATTCCGACGCGCCATTGTCTCCCGCGTCTTTTTTCATTTCCCATTTTAGGTGTTTCATTTTGGCAGCTTTCCTCGAATAGTACTCTAATTTTTCTAATCGGGCGGCCGTCATCGAGCGCTCTCTAAGTCCAAATTCCATATCCATTTGAATATTGTAAGAACCGACCTCGTCGTCTTCTCCTTCGCTCGACTCAGGATCGGCATAAGGTTCTTTGTTCAAGATACGATCTTTAACTCGCCTGCTCTCGCCTACCATGACGACTTCGCACATACCTACATGGAAATTACCAATAGAATGGACAACTTTCATTCGTTTATTTCTTACCCGTATCATCTGTCGATATAAACGAATTTCGAATGTGGGAAAGTAGCCAATATTTGTTATCGTATAGAGCCATTACTTTGTTTGTTTACAATATCCAAGATAAATAGGTTAGATTCTTCTCCTTTTTCTTTTTAGTGGGGAGCGTGCCAAGTAAAGCGTCACATTCCATTTTGTGTTCTTTGATTTGTGCTTAACTTCGTAATGCACCTATGGCCTTTTTTGAATAAGAAGTGTGCTTTCCGGGTATAATTTAAACCAGGATTAATCTCACCTCTTTGAAAGTGGCTATAACGGTTTCAGTGGCACAGAATGATTATTTCATAAATAAAAATTTTCCTGTTATTTTCAAGTGGTTGCGGTTTTGATATTTTAGAAAATACGAACGCACTTATCTATAAAGAATTGTCGTTAGCCAGATTGGTCGGCAAGGAACGTTTCGGTAATATGAGCGTAGTTTCTGTAATTCATTTGCTTTCGCTGTATTCAAATAAAAATTTTAAAAGTTTAAAGCATTTCTGCCGGCAAGTCCGATATTAAAATCGCCGGCCTGGAAATAGGTAAATACCGTCAAAAGATTTATTTATACTTTGAATAGGCATTACCGTTCCAGATTTCGACTAAATTTTTCGTTTAACGCAAATTACACAAAACCTGTCTTGTTTCATTCAAAAAATGCGCCGTCTAGTACTGGCAAAGCTCCAATCTCCGCCCCCTACACCTTCGAAAGACAACATTGCGGGTTTAAAAATAGCCACGTGCTGATTTCTTTCTGCACTCGTTTTCCGATGACGAATCAGTCGGGAAAATGGACGGGAGACGATCGCGCGGCGTGTCCAGAGCTCGAAGCCCCGCTATTTCCTACAAACACGACAGGCCAAGGGAGAAAATCAAAGACTGTTGTAGGAAAATAGTTGCGTTCATGTGCACACAAGTGGGAGTCGGTGCACTCATTTTGTGCTACACCATGATCGGGGCGTTGGGGTTCATGAGGGTGGAGCGGAGGTGATTCCTCTGTTTTGATTATTTTGTCCAGACAGGGTGATGATTAAGTATACAGATATTGTAGGTTGTAATTTTACTTAGAAAACTAAATTGTGTATTAAAATAAACAAATTGTACTACTTAATTAACGTCCTGTTTATCTTCATTGTGGTGAACTATGGATCTCGTTGCACCAAAAATTAAAAGTTTAGGTGCGAAACAATACCTAAGAATTGTTTTTATACTTCAATAATTCCTAAATTAGCGGAAATTTCACTTCTAAGGCCCAAAAATCGTTTCAATAACTGATATCCATACTACACCATTCTCCTATTTGTTGACACAGTACAGAGAACCCTCAGCTCCACAAAGTCATGGCGATGCGAAATCGCACGGTGAGGAGTCTGTTTAAAGTGGCGGTGGTGAACAATGTGTTCAATAAGTACACGTTTGATAGTGACGCGAACAAAGTGCTCAAACAGTATCAATCGGACTTGGTGCAGATTTTCAGGCACGGTACGTATTTCCAGGCCCGTCCACGACGCATATTGAGGCACAAACGGAAAATATTAGGTAGCTTACAGAACCCAAAATATTTTTGCAAAAACATTTTAAATTATCTCTGTATAACGTGCAAGGTAGGGCACCGATGTAATAGATTTGATGTATTGAGGTGAGAGGTATTTAATTCACAGGTTGAAAATTTAGTTGCTTACGTTTTCCGACTTGTTTAATCATTTTAAAATGTTTTCAATGACACAATATTGTCAGTTTTATTATAATTGTTTTGAAGTAATCTTCTTTAGGTGCCATGCAGATTCCTGCTTAGGCGTCCTCTTCTTTCATTATCATATACGAGTATATTTACTGCAGCTTCCTGGAGCGACTGAAAGTCACTTATACTGGTGGATATTTCTGAGCTAAGACAACTTTTTCCTTCGGATGCCTCGTCTTCCACTTTCAATCTTTCCCTGTAGTATTAGGCGTTGAAATTCATATCGCGCTCCCCGTATAATGCGCCCCAGGTAAGAGACCTTTCGTTTTTTAATAGGTTCGAAGAGTTCTCGGTCTTTCAATCCATCCCCATTTCTGACACGTTCCGTCCAGGGTATCTTAGCATCCGTCTCAGAGTCCACATTTCAAACGCTTCAATATGGTTGATAGAAATAGCTTTAAGCGTCCACCCTTCCGCTCCGTACAGAAGAACCAACCAGACTTAACATTTAACCATTCTGTACCTGAATTTGAAATTTAGATTCCGGTTAGGCCCCTCTGTAGGTTTGTTGCAGATCGTTGGCATTATCGGTTATTATTGCGGTGTCGTCAGCGTAGCGTATATTATTAATTGTAATACCATTAACTGTAATACTTCAGATATTTCAGATATTATTTCAGCGAAAGCTGTCTTCACATAGAGATTGAAAAGCATTGGGGATAGAATGCCGCCCTGCCTGACACACTTCCTTATTTCAAATTCCTTTGTTGTTGCTGAGTTTTGAAGACTTATTTCAGCCGCCTGGTGCCAATGTAGATTAGCAATCAGTCTTATATCTTTGTCGTCCAATCCAAGTTCTTGTAGATATGTTACCAGGAGTTCATGTCTGAAGATGACCTCCGTGGTTCCAAACCCTCTCTTAAAGTCAAACTGACTGAATCCGCTGACCTATTCGCATTTTCTGTAAAGTCTTGTATGCATGATTCGAAGAAGAAGATTGAAGTAATACAGACCTGAAAATGAGTATTTTGTTTTTTTTTTTTAAGTGAATGGCTGTAGAGTTCGAATGGTTAGAACCTAGTGCAAAGCCGCTGGCACTTTCCTGGCTCAACTTTTCATAATCTATTCATTGCCTTTTTTTTTTCGCAAACAATTGTTATTAAAAAACGTAACTTTTTTAATTATTTATTATTGATCCCGTTTTCTTCAGATCAATAAATTTTGAGATCTTGTCCCAATGTTCTGTTTTAACGTCTGCAACGCTGTCTGCTGGTTGTTTCAGTAAGTCTGATTATCGAACCTGTTTATTATCCCGGTGGTTGTCGTAGGTTACGATGAGCGGCCGCTCGAAGAGATCTGGACGTTTCCGGCGGCGCTCATGTTCTCACTCAGCATAATCACGATGGTGGGCTACGGCAACATGGTACCGAAAACCTCGGCGGGCAAAATACTGACCATGGTGTACGCGTTGTTCGGCATACCACTGTACGTGTTGTATTTCAAAAACATGGGCAAAATATTCGCGGGCTGTTTCAAGTGGGGCTACAGGCGGCTGTACGAGTGCTCGACGGAGAAGGACGACAGCGCACCGCCGAAAAGGATCGTGGTACCGTCGACAGCATGCCTCTGGGTGATACTGGCCTACATTTTGACCGGTCGGTACCGTCGCGGTGTGAAATCAATCGTTGTAAGGTTCCTCTGCGCAGGCGCAGTCATGTTCAGCGAATGGGAACAGTGGGGGTTTTTGGACAGCACGTATTTCTGCGTGACCAGCTTGTGCAAGCTCGGCATGGGAGATCTCGTTCCCGGTGCGGATGTCTCCGCCTCCACTCACGGTAACCAAACGAAATTGGTGATCAACTTCATCTATATGCTTTTAGGTGAGACGGTGACCTTTTTAGACCTTTTATTTCGAATATATTTGAACGTATTTATTTAAGGACTCGGATTGGTCGCGATGTGTTACAATCTGATGAGGGAGGAGATACGCATCAAGGTCAACGAAACGCAGGAGGATTTTAACCAGTGCCTGGAAGATACTAAGTTGAGGTTGCAACGGTCGTGCCGAAAATGCAGAAGTCAGAAAGCCGAATACGACGACTATTGAACCGAATTTAATAAAATAATGTTGTTCAAACCGGCTCGTATTATTTTCACCCCTGAGGATTCGCGGCTTTGCAGGTAAAAAAAAAACGTTCTGCTTTGTTGCAGCACATGTGATCCGAGTCTGGAAAATGGGCAGCGAGGTGCAGCCCGGGCGGCCCTTGCGTTTGCTGCAAGTGGAAGGATTCGAAGCGCGGAAAAATGACGTCGTGTACTGCCCGTCCGGAGCGCCTTCGACTCCGCCAACCGTTGCGGCCGTTTTTCCCGGGGATGTTCAGGTTACTATCTACCGGGTGACACAAGAAAATGGAAACACTCTATAACTTTTAAACGGCTTGCGATAGCGGTTTGAAATTTGGAAGGGTTAATATAGACTGAATGTCCAATTTTTTGACAATATGTAGTCAATGGTTGCACTTCCGGTTTGAGCGGAAACGGCAGTAACTTTCGCATTTTTGGATTCAGGAGATCATTCTACGTAGGATAGGATGGTTTTTCTCACTTTTTTTGTTCTTTTAACTTTCTATTTAATTTTTGCAAAATTTTGTCTAGGAGGCTGTGGACCAATACTATTTACCGGATCACCTGATCATGGAAAAATTTCTTTACTTGTCTGATGACAAACAGCATTTAATGTAATGAACTGTTAAATTTTTAGAATAACCTAGTTTTTTCTAATAGCGCCCTAGTGGGAACAAAAACTTTTTAAAACCGATACTTTTTTTGCGATATTTTGACACCAAAATTTTCAAAATCCGTTAAAAAATAAGCTCACAGGAAGGAAAAAACTAGATAAGTAAATATATTTTTATAAAAACAAAATATTACTTAGGTGGCTTTGGTTCTATTCATTATTAATTGTCAAGTCGGTAAGATTAAAAATGTAAAAGAAACTTTCGACAAGCTCATGCAGTGGAAAGAAAAAAAACAGATTAGTATTTAAAAAAAAATTGAAGGGAGTTTCTTCTAGAGATTCAAGGATTAGATTTTTTGTTGAAAGTGTTTTATCGTGGCAAACAGTTGATATGCTTCGGAATACAGGAATACAATCAAAAACTAATTTAAGTATTGTAGAATTTTTTGTTGAAAGTTTTTTATTATGGTAAACAGTTGAAATGCTTCGGAATACGGGAATACAATCAAAAACTAATTTAAGTATTGTATGTATACGTACACTCACCTTTAACTGGAAACTCAAAATAACCAGAGAATAGAATTTTTTTTTTCTTTTCAAATCTGTCACTTTTTATGATGATTCAATATAATATTTTGAAAATCTGTTAGAAAATAAAACTTCGAAAATGTCGATATGAAAGTTGAACTAAAAGTTCAGATTTTCACGAAATTATATATTTTCACACGACAATTGTTTTGACAACACCGTGTCTTTATCAAATGTAATATTTACAAACTACCTGCTCCTATACATATATACCGAAAAATGACAATAAAACCTTAATTAATGTTGTTGTGAGAATTTAAGTTCAATAAAGGAGAGGTATTTAAATCTAATTGTTCGTTAAGCAATACATTTGAATGTCTCATTTTGTTAATCTCCATGGCTTCCCATAAATTTAATTTTCTACTTGTGGCTGTATATAAAATATCAAAATTGTCGTCAAACATGTGTTTTTCTGTGTTTAGTGTGTAGCATAATTAGAATCTAGACTATTGATTTTAAACACTCTTTTCTGTTCATTGATGCGATTCTTGAAAGATTCTACCTGTTTGTCCAATATAAATTTTCAAGATCCGCATTTCAACCTGTAGACAACTGAATTTTTATATTTTGGACATTTCATTTTATTGTTTTTTAAAAATTTTTCTATTGTGTTGTTAGTTCTGAAAGCTATTTTTAAACCACATTTTGACAAATGCAGCTATTTTGTGTTCTTAGAAGGGTGATTTAAGCTGTTATGTATGACTGTGTCCGTGTTTGAAGGTTTATGGAAAATCTAATTTGTTTTGCGTTTTCATAATAGTTAAGTCTAGCAAAATTAATAGAGTTATCCTGTTCAATCTCGATAGTGAATTATATACTATTATATAATGAGTTGATGTAATTTAAAAAAGAATATGATCGTCTTTCCGTTCGAACAAAGCAGACATTATCCACCTATCTATACCACCATAGAAAACTTTTACCTAAAGGATGTTCTAGTATGATATTTTCCAAATTGTCCATAAAAATCTCGGCTAACAAAGGACTAAGTGGGTTTCCCATAATGAAACCTTCCTTAGAGATGTAAATCTGTCCATTAAATTCAAAATAATTTTGGTCTAAAGATACTATTAAGCAATCTAATAAGTTTTGTTTCACCAATGGGTTAACCTGTTTCCAAGTTGACTGAAATCTACTAAATCTATCACATCCATAGGTGGAATACTGGGAAATAAGTTTTGTACATCAAAAGACTTGTTGCGTTAGAAATGATTTTGATATTTTTCATTTTGTTGATTAATTCGAAAGAATTTTGTATTGCAAATTTTGGTGTAAAATCTGTGTGGAACGTTAATACACAGACTTCTTAATACTCCACTCTCAACAGAAAATTACAACAAAGAACTTAATGTCATTAGACAAATTGCACTGAACAACGTCTAAAATCCGTCCATTATAGATAAAATTATAAATATAAAACAAATCCAGACAACAGTAAACAATTACATACATAGTAGCACCCAGTGAAAAAGTTTCAAAACATTCGTCAAAATGTGTTTTAAAAATAGCTTTCAGAACTAACAACACAATAGGAACATTTTTAAAAAACAACAAAACCAAACGTCCAAAATCTCAAAAATCAAGTGTCTACAGAAACTCATTAACGGATATAAAAGAGCGTTTAAAAACAATAGTCTAAATTCTAATTATGCTACACGCTTAAACACAGAAAAACACATTTTTGACGCCAATTTTGATAAATTACATACACCCTTAAAAAATATTAATTAAGGTTTTGTCATTTTTCCGTGTATATAGTAGCAGGTAGTTTGTAAATATTACATTTAATACAGATTTGAATGTGGTATTTTAACTTGTTGTTACAAGTTAGACAAGTTTTAGCTTGACACAAAACATCACATTCATTTATTTTGGAACCGGAGTTTTGTATTTATTTGAATTAAATAAATGCGATAGATATTTAATTAATAACCAATTTATTTTAAGATGAAACTTTCATAGAGTGTTTTCAAAATGTCCTCCTTCTTGTATACGACACTCCCTGGCTCTAAATATTACATTCGCTGTAACGCTTCCTAACATTTCTGGAGTTATGTCAAATGCAGCCAACATCCTCCCTTGTAATTCGACAAAATCGATAACCAGATAAAACTGTACAAGCTGCCTAGGGTGCTATTTGAAAAAAATAGGTTATCCTAAAAAATTAATAGTTCCTTATATTAAATGCCATTTGCCATCAGAAAGTAAAGAAAGGTTTCATTTACAATTTCACCCATAATCAGATGGTTCGGTAAATAGCATTTATAAATATTTAAAAAAAGGATAAAAACCGTCCTATCCTACGTAGAATTATCTATTGAATCAAAAAATGCATAAAATATAGGTTATGCCATTTAAAATTCGAAAGTTACTGTCGTTTGCGTTCAAACCGGAAGTGCAACCATTAACTACATATTGTCACAAAATTGGACAATCAGTCTATATTAACCCTTCCAAATTTCAAATCGCTATCTCAAGCCGTTTAAAAGCCAAAAATAAAAAATCGCGGTTGCACGGGTCTAAGAAAAGACTCACAAGATCCGGTGCTATAAATCTTTATTCTTGGTAATTTTCAAAAATATACAGGGTGCGTGCGGTATTCGCAAAAAACTGAAAATAGAGTTGCTCATTTAATAAAAATTGGCTATAACTAGAAGGCTATTATCATTCATTGTCTTACACTGCGATATAACCCGTATGGACAGCTAAAAGTTTTGTATTATAAGGTTTTCACCTATTGTACAGGGTATTCCGGATATTCCGTGTTATATAAGACTAAGTGTCCTAAATTTGCAGCTATCGACTTCAAATTTGGAATAGTTAATAGTCCGTACCCATATCTAAACAGTAGAAATTGGGTGGAATGAAATATTACCAAGTATTTAAAAAAAAAAGAAAATGTTTCTTTGGTTATTTTGACTTCCAGAAAAACGTGAGTTTCTGAAAAACTATTCAGGCATTTTTTCGATCATATGCAGGGTTTTTCAATTATGGACAGAAATCTAAAAGACCGTGAAATTTGTACTTTTTAAAAATTAATTATTAGGCGTAAATCAAAATTGGTAAAAGATATCGCGATCTCTAGACGTGCTGAAGTCATTTACTATTACGATGTACTGCATGGTTCCAGAAAAAAAATATTTTCTTAAAAACCATTTACGCTATTGGAAAAAATCATGAACCACGAAACGCGGGAGATTCAGGGCTACCACCCCCTCCTTTAGCATTTTTTCGATAATATACAGGGTGTGTCTCTAATGGGCAATAACTGTAAACTTGCTGTTGATGTGGATAAATTATTAGCCGTAATTGAAAAATTATTTATTTATGATAATGTTTAAACCCAATTATCCCATCTTAAACAATTGTTCATTTACCGCTAATAATAATTTACCCACGAAAACGGCAATTTTGCAGGGTGTTTTAGGTTTTTGCCCATAACCGACGCACACACACATAATCGAAAAATATCCGAAGTAAGTGTTATAGCTCGGGATCTCCCACATTTCTTGGCCAATGATTTTTCCAATACGGTAACGGTTTTTGGAGAAAATGACTCATCGCGTTTAGATTGAATGCAAGAAATAGTGATTTTCCTACGGATTTTTTCAAATATCTCCCCCATTTTGTGCGATAAATCGAAACCTACAGTAAAGAGTTAAACCAAATTGATTCATAATAATTTATTCCCGCAAAAAATAATTTTCAGGGTCTTTTAATATTTTGTCCGTGGCTAAAAAATCCTGTATATAATTGAAAAAATACTTCAAAATAGTTTTCAAGAAATAACACATAAAAAAATTAAAATTGTTTAAAAAGTACATTGCGGGTTGGATTGCATCCAACTTCTACAGTTTAGATCAGTGATTCCCAAAGTGGTCTATATCGACCCACTGCAAATAACATACACTGATAGTATCTACTTACTTGCATTATACAATGTTATAATATGTAATATAAATACAGATTCATTTATAAAATGTAATGATTAATTTGCAGTTGCAAGGCGACAGTCTAACCCTAATTAAAACAAAGTCCATCTTATCAGCGATTGTTTTCAGAGTTAAACCAATGAACCGAAATATTGAACGAGGCGAATTTTCCCACTTCCCTAATTTGTCACAGACAAAATGAGAGAAAAACCATGTTTCAACCTACGTTCGACATTTAAATGCCCTTTATTTAAATTTTGAAACTAGTTTTGAGGATGTTTTGACTATGGTAATACCACCGTGGATAATTAAAACAGTGATATAGAAGAAACGAATATCCTAATACAAGAACTGATAGAATTAAGTACAAATGAAGAACTTAAAGTTCAGTTTAAAAACGGATATCAGCATTTCTGGCTGCAAAAAAACATACTCGTATTATGGAATAAATTATAAAGAATTTATAGTTTCCTTTCCATCGTCATACCTAGTGTAAAAGAGGTTCAGCACTGTCACCAATCTTCTAACGAAAAAAGGAAACAGACTGGACGTAATTAGCCGAGGAGATTTAGGATTAAACCTTACGAAATTGACGCCAAATGTTGATAATTTATTATTAAAGCATCAGGTCCATCCATCCCACTTTTTGCTTAGTTTTTTTTTTAAGTTACGTTTATTATATATAACAGATACAAAATTTTATTTTTTAAGTTTTAATAGAAATTAAATCAATAAATGTGTAAAACTTAACATGTGTTTTTAAGTTATTAATACTGAACTTCATTATATAAAATCGAGAAACATGCCAAGGGGTCTACGACACAAAACACCACTGGTTTAGATGTAGGTATGGACTTTCACCACCCCGAAGAATGGGAAGTCGATATTCGCAAATTTGAGACACTTATTACATTTCTTAATATAGCACGGAGTATCCCACAACCCTGTGAAAACTTTAATTACAAAATCTTTTGCTCTCGATACAGGCCATATCGCCATGTGATACAAACATAGTCCATATGGTCAATTTTCGTTAAAAAAGGAACACACTTTTTTTTAAGGAAAATCGGCGCAGGAGTAAAAGTATGTGGATCTGAATAGCCTGCGTCCTTTCGTAGAATTTTTTTGATCGCATAAACGGCTTTCGAAAATTGATTTTTTTTCTTGGACCCTTACAAATGCGGTTATTTTTTAAAAATACTTTTAACATTCCGTACATTATTTTCTTTGGACCGCCGTACGGATTTGCCACTGAGATTTTATCAAATCCCGTAGGATTTTACAGAAAACATGGAAGCCCACAGGGACAACAGACGTCATAAGCAATGGAATTTGGAGCGCACGGCGCAAGTGATCCAGAGGCATTTCCCGGAATGTCACGTTTTGGTGATCAAGCCATCCAGAATGGACTTTAAGACGTTCAGCTGTTTCCAAAACTTCGTAAAGAGCGATCAGCTCGGCGTGCCGGATCATACGCCCAATCACAATTCTCTTAGACATCTGGATCGTTTGATCAAAAACGCTTCCTGCACGCTACAAGAATCGAGCGATTCAGAGCTGGAAGAAGCACTACGAGTGTCCGCGAAAGCATTGGGAGAGTCGGGCAACGCGCCCGATGGCGTCTCGATCTGCAGGAACAATTTCTATGGATGCCCGTTGAAACTGATCGGGTTTAGTAAGGGTTGCGTGGTATTAAATCAGTTTCTACACGAGTTTCACCATTTCAAAGTGGCCCCAAAGGAGGACGAGGAAGTTTTTGGCGTAATGGCCAGGATCGAGGACATGTATTGGCTGGATGGCGGTCATTCCGGAGGTACAAACACTTGGGTCACTTCCAAAACTGTTCTCGAAACTCTAGCATCTTCGAGTAAGTTTGGCAGCAGTGTAGAAGCGTATGCGGCAGCAGCGGTATCGTTTTTTTTGTTATTTTAGGTATAAGAGTTCACGTGCACGTGACTCCTTACCAGATAGACGACGACCGGCGTCCGTGGATTAAAAAGGAGGAGAAAACGTTTTCGGACACATTGGTTAAGTTGGGGTGTGACATTAAACGCTCTGTTCATTTCGAGGGCGTTCCGCCCACTTTGCTGACTCATTTCGAGGTCCTCAATGCGTTTAGTTAGATCGCGGTATGTTGAATTACCGGGTGAAGTAAAAATCGCAAGTTATGAAAAATGTTTTTATTCACAAAACTTTGAGGTTGTTGAAATTCACAGTAAAATTGAAGGTAATTGCTTAAGGTGAGGACGTCAAAATTAAGCTGGTGGTCCAAAACGTATCCGCCCTGCGGTTAAAAAGTTTCGACAATTTTGGAGCAAACAAACGATTTTTGCTGCTTTTTTTTGTATGCCGTCGCCACACAAAAATACAAAATACGTAAAATTAATCGTTAAAAAAATACAAAATCACTTAATATCTTTGTCTTCGACCCCTGTCATCTCTAGGCTTGTCGAAGCGACCTCTGCTCGGCCCGCCTCCATAATTCCTGCCGCCCTTAGGACTTCTGCTCCGGCTCCGGTGTTTCCTCTCCCGCCTGTCATGATCGTTTTTATACCTAAAAAACCCCCGATTGTGTTATAAGTATGGGATACCCAATTTATTAACGCTACCTGTCCCGCCTTTCATCGCGACGGTCGTCTCTCAAAAAGTCGCGCCTAAGGTCTTCCCTCACCATAGGTCTGTCCCTCTCGAAACGTCGATCTTCACGGGCTCGCTCATGGGCTGCTTGAACTGCTTGCGGTGGAAATCTCGACTGGATATTTGGGAGCAAAGTCAATGGTTGATTTAAAAGCCATAAAACAATTGCGGCGAACAATGTTAGTTGCGCGGTTAACGTTCTAAACGCACACTTGCCACATTTAAAACAATAATTGATTTAAATACTCAGTTAATTTGTTAATGTGAATTGCGACGTTTGTTGATTTGGCGACACATTTATTTTTAGCTGAAATTTAGTTTGACAACATCAACAAATGGTTCGAGTAAACTGCTCTTGATTTCATAGACAGCTACAGAAGAAATTTTGTGGAACTCTTAAAATAGGATTATAATAAAATTTTAAAAAATAATTCTTTGCAAAATAGCCGGTCTCCCTCGAGTATCCTTCTTCGCTACTTTTGGTCCAATTAAATTAATCAAGTATTCAAAGCATGTTGGGGACCTTCTGATATAGTTCTTGTAAAGCCTACTCAATGTTTGAAATTCCAAACTCAGCAATAAACTATACTATATATAAAAATTAAACTATGTTTATTGTAAGCTTCCATAGTACATACATTCCAAATTTATACAGTTGTTTTTTTTCTCGAAGTCTGTTTATCTTGTTTTTATTTTGTTGGAATTCAGATAAATGACATACCTCATTTTTTGTAAGTTTTATTGCTAAATGTATCATTTGCACCAAAAATTTATGGTGTGGAACGCCCATCTAGAAGTGTGATCGCCGACGAGTGTGCCCAGGTGTGGACCGAGGTTTGGTGTATCGCATATATCCTGTTCCCTATGATGGATTATTACAGGGAGGCAAGTCAGCACTTAAGAAGACCTGCTTTAAGAAAACGGTCTGTGACAAGAAGATTGCTACCATCTACTTCAGCTCCAGAAAGCAGATGAATTCAGAATGTCAACTGATACTATTCGTCAACGCCTAGCTGAGTCTGAACCAAGAAACCCAGCGCGAGGACCAGTTTTAACCCCAGAGCATCGTAGAGCAAGGTTAAATTTTGCTAGAGAATACATCAATTGGACTGATGATTGGGAAAGAATTCTTTGGTCAGATGAAATCATTTGTCTATGCAACTCAGACAGACGTACCCAAAACCAAATGGAAGATATGCCCAATATAACTTCCCAAACACCAGATTATTTGGTGGGCTGTCAGTTATGTTTTGGTGAGGAGTCAGAGGGGATCAGATTCTGCAAAATTATCTTAAAGAGGTTGGAATTGAAACTATGGATTAGTCTGCAACCAGCCCTGAACTAATCCAGTTGTTAAACCAAATAAGAATGTTTGGAGTGATCTACAGTGCTTTTAAGAACCTAACCCTCCTAACATATAAATAATTGCAATCAAAACAAGATAAAGCTGGAACTCTTAAGCTGTTATCCAAAATAGAGAAGTATATACCGGTTACTAATTATTTATAATTAAAGTTAGCAGTTTTTTTATTTTTTGAATTATCTTGTTTTTCTTATTTATTTAGTTCCTATCTTTTGTTAATACTCTTATTAAGTTAGAATAAGAATGAACTTATTTACGACATAAAAATATAAGTATTATGAAATAAAAAAAATTTTTCAAATTGTAGTGGCACGTTAATTTTGCACGTTATATTTCCACTTTATTTGTTTCTACTACTGCATAACTCAGTTTGCCACCAAGGTCTTTTTTGTCTAGGCTTCTAATTATTTATATGACAGTAAATAAAAATATATGCTGACCCAGCAAATCCAACAATAAACTATTTTTACTGTATTTCTACTACTGTAGAACTCTAGAAACATATACAATGTCTCAGCAATCTCCATCTTTACTGTTATTATATACTACTACTATTAATTAAATCTTCATGAATTAGTAATGAAATATGGAACTGCAGAATGTTGGAGAGCATCTGCCTAAATATTGTTACAAAGAATGTTTTATTCAATGTCTCCCTAACATTAACATTAACAAAAATACAACTTTAAAATAATAGTTATTTTTAAATAACTATTGAACACAAATGTTTTAGCAATTTTGAATTTATGAAACAGTTTTAACAGCAACAGTGTTAGATTGTTCAGTAACTTGTAACTGTAACTTTCTTTTATAATTGTATCGCTAAAGGAGTGAGGAGGCCAGTGCATTTTCATTTCGTTCAGGTTGGCTGTTAGTTTGCAGACATTTTATAAATAACTTGGGTCACCTTTGGAAAGAATGTCATTTGAAAACACTTACCTCGAGGTGTTTTTGTATCTTTTGCTGAATAGGCACTGGTATTCTCGGGAAGAGTGTAGAAAACCACTCTAGTTTGACAAGCCACTGCCGCAGCACCTGACCCATGGTCATGGTTTGTCCTCCGCCTGCCTTTACGTCGAGTTCCTGCAACTCGCGAAAATGTTAACAACCAAGAAAGGCACTACTAAAAAAATCAACTCAAAACACTAAGGCGATCGACCTGCAAGAAAGTAACGAAAGATAGGTACCACTCTACCTGTCCGTACGCACCTCCTCATCTTCCAAATACTGTTCGTACCATTCCAAAAGGTGGGCGGGAGGTAACACATAACGTATGTACATGAATCCTAAGGCTCGGATGTAGGGAGAGTCACAATGAGTGATTAACCCGTTTAGTTGCTTTCGTGTTAGTTTAAGTGTAAAAAGTTTGTATAGCAGGCAGTAAGCAGTTGATACTATCCCTCCTGCCCCCACCCCCCTTACTCCGCCGCACATTCCAGTTTGTCCTGCAAAAGTTGGGTCACATGGCTTGCCTTTTCCACCATTCTGTTACCTGCAAGACTAACCCGATGTGCGTCTCGATCCTTTCTCCCAAGGTTCTAGGTGACTGACTTTGTAATATATCTCGTCCACTACTTCGTGGTATGTTTTTAATTCATACAAATTTACTAAAACCAAAAGCTGCTTATGTATTTGAACTAAATATAACCGCCAAACCTTTAAAGTAGTGCGAGCTCTGTATGTTGGTCAAAATCAACGGGTTTAAGTTCATCGTCCGCTCGTTGCCGTGTAACGGCAACACGTTGCTCTGTTTTTTGGAAGTCGTTTCTGAAAAGGAAAGTTTGGTGTTTATTCGACAACACGCATACCTGAAAATAATACAAGCCGTTACCTTCATCACTATTATTTTGTGAATCCATTTGAAGGAATGATTGGAACGTGGTTATTTGGTTAATTAATCTACGGTTTTCATTTACTAAATCGTCAAAAATTTTAGATTTTTTATCACCAGCTTTTTCTGAGCCAGGACTGTCAAGATTTTGACAGACTGAAAATGTTTTGGCAAGTTGCTTTAATAATTTTCATGGAGTACATACAAAATTAGAGCGTTAATGAAATTGGCTGTATTGCGGTTTTCGGAAATATTGTTGAAGAAACAATGTTTTTTTCAATATTTTTATACTCGAAAACGTAAATCGTAAACAGCGGCTTTTAATTATATAATTTTTTGTTGATTGAGAGACGTGTTTACAAAGTCAAAGTTATGTTTTCTGTGACTATGGATTTATCATTTGCTACTGCTAATCTATGCATTCCGTAATTTTAATGTTAGACGTGGCCCGTAGAGGTCGCCGCGGGCTTTTTTGCGTTATGTTTTTGAGTACGTTTGTGGGGTGAAAATTGTGTAAATTTTAGGAGTTTCTATATTAAGGGTTTTAAGTTCTTCCTGTGTAATACTAATCGAAAGTGCAAACCAATGTATGAGGCCGGAAATGGCTGACGAACAGGTACGTTTCACCCCCTTAATTACCGCTTGATTTTTGTTATCGGAAGCTCTTTCCTGGTGTCCTTTTTTTTTCTCTTAATAATTGAGTAAGTCCTGTGCTGTAATTAGTTTTTTTTGTTTTTTGTTTACGACACTATTTGATTCAAAAAACGAATTGGGAATTGTTGGCGAAGATGGTTATGTTTATAGGATACAAAAGTCATCCTGACAATTGGACATTTTTTTCACAATTTTTTGTAGAATCCTATAATTTGTAACAATAACAACAGGCGAATATCGAATATTCAGCCAATTTAAATCGTAATAGTGAATCGTGAAAGTTGATTATCAAAATACATTTCTCGTGTGCTATTCATAATGCTTTTTAAGGGGCTTTGTTTAGTGCATCTTTTTATTTCTAGACTTATAAATAGTAAATAAATATTATCAATTAATGGGCAAGGTATCCAGCAATCTTATTTTATATATTCTAAGGTCAACAAGATGCAAGCTAGATAATTTAGGTACTTAGTTATATTTTATTGGCATTACCTTTTGTTTTGAACTGTGCGACAAACAAAAGTACTCTATTTAATCGACGTTCTAAATTAAGTTTTTTTTTTTTATTACATGTAATTCTCAGGAAATTAGACAGTTGGAGCTACTTTGCAAGCAGCTATACGAGTCGCAGGACACTAGCGTCCTAGCGGACGCGGAAACTGCGCTGGTAGTATTTCAGGCCAGCTCCGATGCCCTGACCAAGTGTCAGGTGCTTCTCGACCGCGGAGACTCTGCTTATGCCCAGTTATTGGCTGCCACCACCCTCACAAAACTAGTGTCGCGGAGCGCCCAAGGCTTGAGCCTGCAGCAACGGGTTGATATCAGGAACTATGTCTTGAATTATTTGGCCAACAGGCCCAAGCTGCCCGGTTTTGTAGTGCAAGCATTGGTAACGCTGTTTGCCCGCATCACCAAGCTGGGCTGGTTTGACACCCATAAGGACGATTATGTGTTTAGGAACGTCGTTTCTGACATTGGAAAGTTTTTGCAGGTACTCCTTTATTTAAGATGCCATATTTGCTTGAGACATTTTGCTAGTATTGCTGAAGTTTCAAAAAAAGAAATTTCATAGGATAAATGTACCTCTATTCTGGATTACTAGTACTAGTCCAGAACTATATAATTTTACCCTGTAGCAGTTTCTGAGAGGATTTTTGTAAACATTTTCCACAAATCACTTTCATCTAGGGCTCTGTGGAACACTGCATGATCGGCGTTCAGCTCTTGTCCCAGTTAACGTGCGAAATGAATCAAATATCCGACGTAGAAGCCAACAGGTCATTAACTAAGCATCGCAAAATAGCGTCATCATTCCGTGACACCCAGCTGTTTGAGATTTTTAGACTTTCCTGTAATTTGCTGGGAAATGCGAGAGAAAATTGCAAAAATCTTAACTTTAGTGACGAGAATCAACACGGGCTGATGACTCAACTGCTGAGACTCGCCCAAAACTGCCTGACGTTCGATTTCATAGGTATTCGCGTGCGCGCCTTTCACTGTGTGTTGTCATTATTTTATATCGCGCCGCCTTCAGGTACTTCGACGGACGAGTCTTCAGACGACTTGAGCACAGTGCAGATACCTACAAGCTGGAGACCGGCGTTTCTCGATTTTACGACCCTTAAGCTATTTTTCGACTTGTACCACACACTTCCCAACACGTTGTCCTCATTGGCCTTGTCGTGTTTGGTTCAAATAGGTGGGTAACGGCCAAGGACGGCAAATAGAGAGGCGATGGTTACTTTTTACAAACTCAACGTGAGGCAAATTCTGACCGAGTGTGTGAGAAGGCGGTAAATGTTAGAGTCCAGGACTTTGTTGCCAAGTTATACCTTCTCTCTCTCTCTCCCATGTACTCTTGCGTTCAATTTATCTTGATAACATTTTGATTGGCTTTAACTTTTTTGTTTTTAGAGATATCAGGGTAAAGAAAAAAAACAAATATAGGGTTAGTAGCCAAGTTTTTTTCCAAGTGATGTATAAAACAAAACTATCAATTTTCTGACATATAAGCCTACATCATATTTTTGAAATGGAACACACTTTATATTATATATGTGTTTAATAGAATATCTTATTCTGATTACAATGATGTAAAACACTTTATATTTTAATTCACTCGTTCTTAACAAATCGGCAAAAATAAGACATTTTTATATAATTTCAAGGAATGCCCCGACTGACAAATAAAAATATGTTTATGTTTGACGTATTAGAAAACCAAGTTGATGGTTGAATTATTGTCCAAATCATTATTGTTAAAGTTTAGCATCCGTGAAAGGAGCAACTGCAGCTCGTCAGTATATTAGACTTTGTCCAGGGCGCCCAGCTCCTTCAAAACAGATATTTTCAAGACTGGCTAAGAAATTTGTAGAAAACGGTAACGTATCAAATGCTAAAAAGGTATGCCGGAATCATAATGTTTTAAATGAAGAAAATGAGGCAAACATCTTAGGATTCTGTAAAGCACATCCAGTTTCCTCTATTACTGGAGCATATGAAGAAACAGGTATTTCTCGTGGAGCAATCCACTCAGTTTTGAAAGAATATAAATATAAAAGCATTTAAATTTCAAAATGTCAAAGAAGTTTGAAGTTTTGTTTGAATTTTTTAAATAGACATAATGACAATAATAATTTTTTGAAAAACATTTTATGGATTGTTGAAAGTTCGTTCACTACAAGAAAGGGTTGTAATAGACAAAATACACGATATTGGTCTTTAGATAATCCTAGACAAATACACGAAATAAAAACCCAGGTGTACTAATCAATTAATGTTTGGTGTTGTTTTTTTGTTTACCTTGATATCTGTAACAACAAAAAAGTTACAGCCAATTAAAATGTTATCAAGATAAATTGAATGCACGGTACATTTTTTTAAAATAATAATATATATACGTATGTGTTCTTTCCTCTCTTCTCTATTAAATCATTAACAGAATAACAGATACTAAATAAAATATTAACAAAATACTTGCATATTTCTACATAATTAAAACGAAGCAAGCTACAAGCAAAAGAGCCGGCAACAGTTGACCGCCGTCGAACAATTACCGTCCTTTGGTTTGTGACGCACTGCAGCCCACTCGAGTGAACGATTTGCTATTAGTAATATTGCGCTTACTACAAATTTGAATTTTAAAGATTGTTGAACTTTTATTATTTCTATTCTGCGGCCGCCTAATAGTTCTTTTTAAATGTTTATTTATTTGTACAATTCAGGATTGTACTAATAAAACTCGTTTCGAGTGGGTCAGGTGACGTCACTGCAGTAGCACATCCTATCTCTTAGTTTACCGTTCTTGGGTAATGGCTATGAAGTGCTCTACAGGGCGGTCACCTTTAAAGCGCTTAATATTGGGATAAGTGGAAATATTCTGTTTTTTCAAGATTACTTGGAAAACGACTTGGTTTTTTTTCCTACAAATTCGTAAAACGCATCTTAAAAAAGTGACCGCCAGGTATATGTAAAACACAAATCCCGACGAAAAATGGTCGCGCACGCCGCCTGTAGCGTCCGTGCGGAGGTCTTTGTTCAGCAATACGGAGCGCGCGAAATTCCTGACGCACCTCGTCAGCGGGGTGAAACACATACTGCAGAATCCGCAGCGGCTCAGCGATTCCGCTAACTACCACGAGTTCTGCAGGCTGTTGGCGCGGTTAAAGTCGAATTATCAACTGGGCGAACTCGTGATGGTCGATAATTACCCAGAGGCGATTCAGTTGATCGCCAAATTCACGGTAATATATGCGTATAACTAACCCAGGTGAGTTGTTCCCTTAACCAAGTCATTTTTTTTTCTGTCAAAAAGGTCCAAAGTCTCCAAATGTGGCAATTCGCCCCGAACAGCGTCCACTATCTACTGTCGCTATGGCAGAGGATGGTAGCGTCGGTGCCTTACGTCAAAGCCACTGAGCCCCATTTGCTGGAGACGTACACACCCGAGGTTGGTCCCCTTTATCATTATCGTCTTCCGTTTAAGTATTTAATTTATTCGTCCCGAGTGAATATCAGATGAAGTTGAAAATAAAAAAGTAACCTATGCTTTGTAGCATGACAACAGGAGACCCAATTTCTTATAGGCTCGTAGAATGCCACGCGTTTGATATACAGTTAAATATCAAAATGGGAATTGCAGCAATTGATTTTTTTCGTATTTATTTATTTATTGTTTCAACGGTTACACCATTTTACAAATTACTTACTTTACTTAAACTAGGATATAATAACAAAAAGAAAATAATAAACTATGGACAGTACAAAACTACATATCATTTAGATGGCAGTACTACAAATCAATTTAATAAAATCTGTCTTAATTTAATCTTAAAGCTATTTAAAGGGACACCGAGGTAGTCCATTATATTGTATTCATTTACAAAGGAGATCAGGCATATTCTGAGCATGATGAGTGTTACTACAGGAGAAAAAAAGGCGACTTCCTCTCAATTCTCTAGAAGGGACATGAAAATTAAAACTTGACAGAATGCAAGGAGAATCAATTTATCACGCGAAAGACAAGAAATTTTTTACGGTCCTCCAGAGTAGCCAGTCCATGAGGCCCCACACTTCAATGACAACCATTTGTGAACCACTCTGGCCCATCCTATACCTATTGACTCACCATCTCATACATCTAAAGTGTGAGTTGTCACAATAAGGTTGCATCGCATTCATATCAGATATAGAGTAAAGAAGATAAAAAAAAACATTTTAATTGCCTTATAACATTTTAATTTTTTAAGATATTTTATAAATATGTTCACATAGATATGTTACAAGTCGGCGGAGAAAATTGTCATATTTTGTCCATTCTTACAAATTCTCTTCCAGTTCGGAACACAGCAAATATTTACCGTGATTATATAAAAAAAAATAGACGATTATATCAATATCATAATGTATAAAAACATAAAAAACAACACAAATATTTTCATCTCGCGCGCTAATTTTGAAACTTATAATGCTTATGCGGATATTTCTCTAAACAATAAAAAATACTGAAAGCAACTGGCATTTATCTTCCTTTTCGTGGTGACTGACCCATTCTTTACACTCTCTGCCGCACTGTAGATAGAGTTTTAAATTGCGCTCTTTTTTACCACTGCTGCTAAGGCAATTCGGCCAGCTTCTCGGTAGTGGTGTGCAATAAGCTGTAAGCTAAGAAGGATGCGTCCGTGAACCACATGCATCTAAAAAACGGCAAAGAATTCTAGCAGCAAAATCCAACTGAGTGCAGTGAAACAATATAGAATTAATATGCAAGGGCGACGGAAAATTAGCATTACTGAATGACTCATACAATTGTTGTGATTTTTCCCAATGAAGAGCACATGGCTTAAATCACCAAGTTCTCCACATTCATAGTCTCCGGAGGGTTTAACTTTAATTCTATTTAGGTGTGCAGGAGAGCAGCAATGGTTGCTTCTCGGTCTACACGTAGTTGTGAATTTTCTTCTATTCATATCCAGCTTATGGAAACAGGGTTTAGATGGAGTAGAAAAATGTGAGCTTAAATTAACTCCTTTCCCTAATCCTATAGATTTCCATGTATCACTCCAAGCATTCCAGAGGTTATGCTTTAATTTAGGGAAAAACTCAATTTTATATCCTCCTGTCGATCTAAGAGAGCAGCATTGGCAATCTGGTCAACAATATTGTTCTCTAGTTCTCTAGTATGGCTTGGTATCCAGCATAGTTGGATGTCCTTATTTTGAGTTTTTATTAAAGTAATTTTTAACCTTCAAGGTTAAGTAGTTAGACTTTGCATCCATAAAAGTTTTATTGATATCTTCAAGGGAACTTTTGGAGTCTGAAAAGATGACTGTTTTGCTGATGTTATTGAATTCATTCCAATCAATAGCTTGACCAATAGCGTAAATCTCGGCAGAGCAAATGGATAGATCCCTGTCTTGTCCCATTTTAAGGTTCCTATTGTAATTGTAAACACAAAACCCTACACGGCTTTCTTTATAATTGGGTAAAAACTAAATGAAAATCAGAGTCCAAGTCTCACTCTTCTTACTTTCAAATAATTTGGAATTATTACTATCTTTCCTTAGTTTTAAGTCCTGAATCTGAACAGACCTTAACAGGTTCGGCAGTGGATAAGGGAAACACGGATATACTAACTCCTGTAGAATGGATCAAGCAATGAATCGACTCTTTCAAAAGCATCCACAAGTGCGGAAATACCTTTTCTTCGAAAAAAGGAATAGTGTTCATTATACGTGATGTATAACTGTCTAACCGTTGCTAAGGTTTCGCTGCCAATAGACTGGTAGCTTTCAACAATGATTTTGCCGCTAACAAATCTCTTCTATGTTCCAAGACCATCTCACTTGCTTCCCCAAGCAGTATGTTAGTAGGTGTAAATTTCATATACGCCAGAGCTATTTTCACGGCCTCAAATTGAATTTTGTTTAATTGAGCAATTGTTTTTTTTTTTAACTATCACCTAAAAAAGTGGCTCCATAATGGAAATGGGGGGTTAGAAGCGTAGAAGGATGTGCCCCCCACCAGCTTCTACTTATAAATCGCATCATATTCAACCCGCCTGAAGCTGTCTGTAACATGTTTCCAATTTATGGCTCCCACGACAAATTTGGATCAAAAATTAGTCCTAGTTATGTAATGCAATTTCTCCGTGGCATAGTTCGAGTGTTGAGGTGAAGTCTGGGGAGATAATTAACATATTAGTTCTTGGAAAAAAATATAGCTGCAGGCTTATGGGGGTTAATCTCCAGTCCTACAGTCAAAGACCAAATATGTATATTTTCCAAAGTTCTATTCAGGTTACTCACTATTGTTTGAGCATCGACCCCAGTACTCAGCAAGGCTGTGTCGTCCGCAAACTGATTGAAAAAGTCTTATGTTCTCAGGAATGTTTCCTTAATTGAGATGATGTAAATATTAAATAGTAGCGGAGAATGATTGGAACCCTGAGGTACCCCTACTGTAGAGGTTGTGCTGTTTCTGCTGGTTGGATCTCCTTTTAACATAACAAATGCGGTTCACCCACATATTGCCTCATCCAGCAGAGTTATCCCGTAGGTAACGAGCGCGTATATAACCTCGCGCCTGGAATCCGCGGCCGTAGTGGCTCGTGACGGGCTTGAGGACCCACTCGACGATCTGGGGATGGTTCAGCAGCAGCTCGAGCAGCTGTCCGTTATCGGACGGTGCGAGTACCAAAAGACCTGCACGCTCCTGGTGCAGCTGTTCGACAGGGCAGCGGCCACGTACTCGGAACTACTTTCCGCCCCTGCTCAGCCTGTCGAGGTCGCAGTACAAGAAGGTCGTATTCGCCTGTTTTTCTGTGTGATGCCCGAATTTACCCTCTTCTTTCCCAGGCCAATTGACGTGGTTGGTTTACATAATCGGTTCGGCTATCGGAGGTCGGGTCTCCTTCAACAGCAACGAGGAGCACGACACAATGGACGGGGAGCTGGTGTGCCGCGTGTTGCAGCTCATGAACCTGACGGATTCGAGGCTTGCCCGCGGCGGCTGCGAGAAACTCGAACTCGCCATGTTGAGTTTCTTCGAGCAATTCCGGAAGATCTACGTCGGTGATCAGGTGCAAAAGAACTCCAAGGTGTACCGGCGGTTGTCCGAGGTACTCGGCCTGAACGACGAGGCCACCGTGCTCAGCGTGTTCATTAGGAAAATGTAAGTAACGACCTCTAGCGTCGCCACCGGCCTCTAACTAAGAGAGACCGCATAAGTCATTCATAAAATCGCTGGTAACCACATTCCTGAGAGGGGAATTAATTATTGGCGTGTAAGATTATAATAAGATAATAATTTTCATAATTAAATTCTAATATATAACACTAAATTAAACAAAGTTGAAATACTTATAGAGATTATGCAAACCACGCCTTACTTTGCCTTTTTGGCATTCTTAGAAAATCTAAAATTCATCATAATTAGCACAAATACAGAAAACTAGAAAATTACTATACCCGCTTATGAAACACATGAAATGACACTTGAGAATTCGAAGTTCTTTGCGGCATTTTTGTTAACAGTTTTCCTAGGAGCATCGTTCAAAAATACCTTTTCACTTTCAAAGTATTCATAAGTATTTTCCCTGTTTTGTCAAAGATATTACAATTATTCAATTATCTATAAATTTTTTGTACAAAAAATAATATCATTCCCAATACTTAGTGTGGTTTTCGTAAAGGGTTTGGTACGTCGATGCTTTAACTAATGTATTGGATGACATTTTTCAAGCTTGATATAAAAAAATTGACTGTTTTATTGCTTTTACGCTTTTCGAAGGCATTCCATATTGGTCCGTAAACTACGATACTACTGTATGAATGTAGAATCTCCCAATCTCCTCAAATCATTAAGATTTCAATCAATTTTTTCTGGGATTAATTTTAGGTCCACTGCATTTCCTTATTTACACTTTTGATATTTTGAGATCTTTAAGATTATGTAAAATTCAAGCCTTTGCGGATGATACACAAATTTATTGCTTTATTGACCACAACTTAAAATTTAATCCAAGTAAATCATGTGTTATGGTGTTTGGGAATGATAACAATCTTAACTTATTAAAGAGAAAAAATTAAATATAGCAATCAGCAACTCAAAATTAAATTTTAAAAATTGTGCCAAGAATCTGGGAGTTATCTTAGATTCAAAGAGCATCTAAAAAAATATTTCAAAAATCCTTTACCTCCATGAAATTTTTATAATAATAGACATATTTTAAGTAAACAACTGAAACCGAGTCTGTGACTTAAGTAAGCGAGTTAATAAGAAGCTTGTGCACATAGTACAGAATGCATGTCTTAGGTTTGTCTATGGCGTGAGGAAATTTGATCATGTATCACGCTTGTACAATGAGATAAAATGACTCAAAATGAATGAGCGCAATTTCCTTAAAAAAATCCTTTAATATTTTGTAACACTGTCCACAATATTAATATTAGAAATAATGCTAAACTAACTATGCCACAGCAATCTTTCAGCACTCATACAACGCGATAAAGTATTTCAACTTAATTTCCAACATGTTGCTTGATATGTTTTAAATAATTTCGAAATAAAATATAAAAAATATATTCTCTATTAACTGGCTTAAACTAAAATGAGTAATATAGCCCTTACATATCACTGAGTTCCAAAATGTTATAAAATCAATTGTCCACCAATATTATTAACTTAAAAGTTACTATAATGTATATAATTTGTTCGTTCTGCAACTTATTTCCGCAGCTATAATTACAGTGATTAACATAGTATTGTTAAACCACGTTTGTCTCTGTTTCGTTCAGTAGAGTAGCCAAAGGCTATACTTGCGCCAAACTTGCACAGGTAAATGAAATTATTTCCTTTTAATAACTTTGTCATATCATATTTTTGAAATGAAGTCATTATTATTATGAAAAAGTATTTTGATAATGTTTAACGAAATATTAGTAATTCATTTTATTAACTTATATTGCGTTAAATTTATAACTTACCAACGCTTTTGAATACATAAAAACATTACTTTGTGTATAGTGCATCGGTTAAAAAATCCTGCTGACAATGTTATGTTATCTTCAGATGATATTTGCGTCAGATTAAACGAACACGCCCCCTGACGTATACTCTTGTAATCTGATCATTACCTTTCTTCTTCCTAGGTGGCATTTGGAAAGATGTTGTCGTATCTTCTTCTGTACTGTGTTTTCTAAGAGGCAGAATTGGTTTTGTAAATCAGATGAACTTTAATCACTTTTCGTGTAATTCTGAACCCAATACAGATAAAATTCTCCCCCTTGTGAACTATTCAGCTCATTCTCACTCAGTAGCTGGTGACGTGCTATTCCAACAGCGGGTGGTTTATATCAATTGCAGCATCACCAATTTGAAATATTGGGGTCGGAGCGAACAAATCATCAGCAAAACCCTGCAGCTCCTCAACGATCTCTCCGTGGGCTACAGCTGCGTGCGCAAGCTCGTCAAACTCGAGGAGGTGCAGTTCATGCTGAATAACCACACGAGCGAGCATTTCCCGTTTCTGGGCAATTCGGCGGCCATCGCGGAGATGCGGTGCCGATCGATGTTCTACACGTCGTTGGGTAGACTGCTGATGGTCGATCTGGGCGAGGACGAGGACAGGTTCCACACGTTCATGTTGCCCTTGACCGGTAAGCTGTGCGACGGAAAAACGCGTCGTTCGCGCGGCACTTTAAACGGGGCGGCGGGTTTGTTTTGCAGCCGCCTTCGAGAGCATCGGCCAGATGCTGTCGACGGCCGACACGCCCCTTTTCCCCACCGATGACGCGAAAAAGGCGTTGATTGGTCTCGCGAGGGACCTACGCGGCTTGGCCTTTTCCTTCAACACCAAGACGTCGTACATGATGTTGTTCGACTGGATGTATCCTTTAATGCGCGCTGTACACGGAGTGGGCCGACGATTTTCAAATACAGTGAATACAGTTTATAACACTTTGCAATAGTGTTTTTGCTAACTTCCTGACAAGCACGGTGAATAAAATTTACAGCATCCAATAAGCTCACTGAAAACTCTTGTCCATCATCAATTGCTTCTATCACCTTTATCAGCAAAATTTTCCTATAGTGACACTTCAGGGAATGGATTATACCTTGATCGATGGGCTGCAGTTTTGAACTGGTATTGGGCGGCATAAAAACTAGTTTGATTTGGTTCAATGAAAGGTCAGGGGTTAGTTTGTAAAAAAAGCCAGTCTCACCGGTGTTAAAAATATTGTTACTGTCATAATTTTTGCAAATATCAGGCCAAACCATTGTGAGCCAGTTATTATAACAACATTCATATTAGACTTACCGACAATTTCTCCTCCAGAGATACAATTTCTCTTCCTAAAATGTTCAATCCAACTTCTGAAACACAAAATATCTTCCTCCTATTCTACTTCCCATTTCACTTGCTTTTTGCTGAAGAACTGGACCACTTATCGGAACACTTTCTTTTCTTTTTGGGGTAAACCACTGTAAAAGTCCCTTATTGCATTCACTTGACTTGACCCTAGGACGAGAGAATCCTATCTTTGCTTTAGGCAAAATTCATTTCATGACAAATATCACTTTGTTTCATACTACTTTTAATTTTTTGTATATCATCCTATTTTTCTTTCAAAGTTGATGCTTATCGGTTTTGCTTCTCTATTTGAAGGTCTGTCATCAATATTCTCCACAAGAACATGTTGTTTTCTTTTTTGGGTAAACCATTGTAAAAGTCCCTTATTGCATTTATTTGACTTGACCCTAGGACCCCCCTTTGCTTTAGGCAAAATTCATTTCACGACAAATGTCACTTTGTTTCATACTACTTTTAATTTTTTGTTTAACATCCTATTTTTCTTTCAAAGTCGATGCTTATCGTTTTTGCTTCTCTATTTGAAGGTCTGTCATAAATATTCTCCACAAGAACATGTTGTTTTCTTTTTTGGGTAAACCACTGTAAAAGTCCCTTATTGGATTCACTTGACTTGATCCTATTTTTCTTTCAAAGTTGATGCTTATCGGTTTTGCTTCTCTATTTGAAGGTCTGTCATCAATATTCTCCACAAGATCTAAATCACATCTGAGATCAAAAAAATAGCAAAACAAATGTGCTATGTATTTTAACCTTTCTACGGGGAATTACCGTTAAAAACGGAAAATATATCTTAATCTTGACGAAATTTAGTTCACTGTATCCGAAAGTTCATTATATTCGGGTTCATTATAAGGCAGTAAAAATTTACATTTGTTTTTATGAGACTTTTTGAGTGTATTTCAAAAAGTGTTCATTATAAGCGAGTATCCACAATAAACGTGTTTACTATATCCGAACTCCACTGTAACAACCTTGACCGTGAACCCGCAGATATCCCAATTACACGCCGATCCTGCTCCGAGCGATAGAGCTGTGGTACCACGATCCCCAGGTGACGACGCCCGTGTTGAAGCTGTTCGCAGAGCTGGTGCAAAACCGGTCGCAACGGTTACAGTTCGACGTTTCGTCGCCGAACGGTATCCTACTCTTCAGGGAGGCGAGCAAGATCATCTGCAGCTACGGCACTCGGATATTGAACGTGGAGGTGGCCAAAGAACAGGTGTACCCAATGAAGTTGAAGGGTATATCCGTGTGTTTCTCGATGCTGAAGGCTGCCCTTTGCGGCAGTTACGTCAATTTCGGTGTGTTCCGTTTGTACGGCGACGAGGCCTTGGACAACGCGCTCAACGTGTTCGTCAAATTGCTGCTGTCGATACCCCAGGCGGATCTTCTGGTGAGTAGGTCGCTACGTTTTCATTCGACAACGTTAGCTTCGAACACTTTTTCCCGCGTCCAGGACTACCCGAAGCTATCACAGACTTACTACGTCCTGTTAGAGTGTCTCGCGCAGGACCACATGGGATTCCTTGCGACGTTGCAGCCCACCGTGTTCCTGTACATCCTGTCCTCGATATCGGAGGGTCTTACTGCCTTAGGTGGGCTATATGATTATTACACAGGTCCGTACATGTCAGGGACAAAAACTCACATCACTTGTGTCTTTCGCTTTTGCGTCCGAACGGCAGACCTTTAGATGTCGTAGTTTGCTTGGCAGACTTTAGGTTCTAGTAATTAGTAAGACACACAAACAGACCTGTAGATGTCGCACTCTTTGTCGTGCACGCCATCTATGAATTTCTCAAGGCGGTTTCTGTCCTCTAATCCGAAAAGATGGGGTTACCGATAGAAATCTACGTTTGCCTTATGCTGGTATTGGGTTTATCGAAGTTGCTGTTAACCCTTTCGGCACGGCTTCTATATCTGACGTTTTTTCCTCGGAGAAGGACGACATTGTAGCGCTTGACAGACGAGTGACGGATATACCCGTCAGATGCCAAATAGCTAATATGAGCATAGGTTAGGTTACTGTTAGTTCTAATTTATGTTCAGTTTGACTCCATCATTTCCAAACACTTGTTTTTGACAAATCGGCCATATTGCCTGTAGGACAAACATAGCCATAAGGGAACAATACCATTATTTTAATGACAATTTAGAAGCAGGGTGTAATTCAATATATCCGTCATTCGTCTGTGACGCATTTTCATTTGTGTCTGATATATTCGTCACTTATACTGAAAGGGTTAAGCGAATGTGGCTGAAGTTAGATTTGGATTTGGATTCGGATTTGCAAATTTTACAGTGGACCAGTTCGTTACTAATCTTAATTAAAATTAAATATTGGGGGAACTCCCAAAAACCATAGCTATACATCTCTCATCACCCAAAAATAAATTAATTTAATTACTATTTCGCAATCTCGAAAAAATTCCGACGTCCCATATATTGAATTGGACCATTGAAGAGCCACTAAGGAGAGCTTCAAGATGATCTATTACTCAACCACCTTGAAATCGTCGGGAAGATATAACACTACCCCAATAATGAGCTACCATAAAATCTCAAAAAAATCTGACGTCCCAGATGTTTAATTAGTTTTATAGGTAAATCGGCCAAGAAAAAAAGCTGGAAATTATTTTCAAATTCTACTGTAAAATAGTAAAAACGGGTTTTCTCAAAAATACTTCAAACTAACCTATATCAAAATTACTGTTATCGTAACGTGCTGTAGATAAGGAGACTATTTTGTTTGAACAATTTTTTTCTATCTCGTGAAATTAAGGGTGGGGGAAGGGATTGGTTTAGAAAAAGTTGAATAACTTTTTTTTTGGCTAATCCGATTTTGACGAACTTAGTTTAGTTTTAAATAGTATTTATAGAAGCTTCGACTGGCATGTCAATATCACGATATTCATTCTTTTTCGAGTCAGTAGAGGGGGCTTCATGCCAAAAGCAGCTATTTTTATGATTTTCTCGAAAATTTTAAGTATATTGGTATAAATATTTTTAGCTAAGATGAAAGAGCTTAAAAAACACAATAGTGGAAACGGCAAGGCAATATCTTTTTTCCCCTTTGAGATATAAATAAAAAAAATTACGTAAGTATAATAGAAGCAGTATTAGAGATAACCAAGAGATGATATATTATGACGGGATGATAATTTATGGTAAAGGTTCGAAACTGCTTTTATTTAATTTTATATATAAAACATAATTGAGAGGAAATCAGGTTAGAAAGAATTATTCAGAAAATGCCTCAATAAATTGATGTATGGGCTGGGTCCCTTAATAATTGAAGTCCACTCTGGTTTATGATTTCTAACGCTGTGAGTATAAACTTCAAACGAAACGTAACACTAAACAGTTGTTGGACTAATTGTTGTTACGTAAGTATAATAGAAGCAGTATTAGAGATAACCAAGAGATGATATATTATGACGGGATGATAACTTATGGTAAAGGTTCGAAACTGCTTTTATTTAATTTTATATATAAAACATAATTGAGAGGAAATCAGGTTAGAAAGAATTATTCAGAAAATGCCTCAATAAATTGATGTATGGGCTGGGTCCCTTAATAATTGAAGCCCACTCTGGTTTATGATTTCTAACGCTGTGAGTATAAACTTCAAACGAAACGTAACACTAAACAGTTGTTGGACTAATTGTTGTTGAGATATGGCCGGCGTCCTTTATTAATGGGCCACCCGGTACAACCAGAATGATAACTAACGGGAATATGTTTTTTTTAATTAAGATACGTAACGAACTGGTCCACTGTAATATTGGCAAATCCAAATCTCACTTCAACCAATGTCAAGCGGTGCCTTCACGTTCAGTTTTTCCTCCTTGATGATAATGACGGGGGAGTGTTTTAGCATTAGAGATATATATGGAGAGAGATTTGTCAAGATTATAATGGAAAAATAATTTTGGGACCCTGTATGGGGTAATATGTAATAATCCGAATTTGGATGGTTGAGAGGTGCTCAACAATTGCGAAAAGGGGCGTGGCGAAAAAAATTTGACGCGTTGGGTGCCAGTCCGCTTTTCATTGGGTCGGCTTTTTGTCTCTGACTGTACAATGTAGTAGCAAAAGTGTTGCAAACGGAGACGTAAGGCTAATTAGGCAATCACGTGTCGCGACTTTTGTCTTTTTAAGACGTCCGCGGGCGTTCATACTCGACGTAAATTAATTGCTTTTCTAGATACAATGGTGTGTACAGGATGCTGCGCGACTCTAGACCATATAGTAACTTATTTATTTAAACAATTAACGCAAAAGGGTGAGTATATAACGACGATTAGGTTTTGGTCCGCGAGGCAAACTCGTGTGTTCGTAGCGTATCCCGGGAAAAAACAGGTGGGCATGCCCCAGGGGGGCGGCGGCGACATGTTCCTCAAAGTGTTGGAGATGCACCCCGAGATACTGCAGCAGATCCTCAGCACCGTACTGAATGTGATAATGTTCGAAGACTGCCGGAATCAGTGGTCGATGTCGAGGCCTCTCCTCGGGCTCATCCTCTTGAACGAGGACTATTTCGCGCAGATGCGCGAGAATATAATCAGGAGTCAGCCGCCCGATAAGCAGGCCGCGATGGCGCAGTGGTTCGAAAATCTGATGGACGGGATCGAGCGGAATCTGCTGACGAAGAACAGGGACAGGTAAGATGTCTGGTTTGATTGGGTTTGGGGTTGGTGGGCTCGGCCGCGAAACCCAAAATGAGCCGGACTTAGGAGCGCGTTTTGTTTCCAGGTTTACCCAAAACTTGTCTATGTTTAGGCGGGACATTAACGACTCATTGAAGGGACCGAACGTAAATTCATCCACGTTTAGTGATATGATGACTTTGTAGTGAGTTTGGCGCTGTGTAAAAGTGAGGTTAGGCGGTGTATACAAGATACAAAAAAAAATAAAGATTGTTATGTAAGTAAATATTTTTAGGCATTTTTTTCCGTCGCGGCTGAGCCTGCCGCACTTGGTGAACGATTGTCTTTTTTTTATACATATGCGGTGACGATGAGAGTAAGTCTGTGGAGCAAGATTGTACATTGTTTAGATTTACACAGGAAGAATAAATTATGCGATATGTTCGATTTTTTTCCTTTCTTGCCCACTTGTATTCGTTAGCGCTCCAAGATTTCTATACAAAATTTCGTTTTGTATAGAAATAACTAACGTAAAGCAACGTGTTTGTCTCACCTCCTTAAATACTCGTTTTTGGGACGAAACACTTCGAGTAAGTTGTGACGTCACAATTACACGTGTTTCATCGAGGATTATACTTTTTACTGATGTCGGTAATGGGCCACTATACTTAATAGATTACCCCATGGTTGGAAAAATGCACTACCACGGACTACTAAACAATTCGTAGAATTCTGTACATCTGGGTTGGCTTCGGCCTCACTATCGGGTAAGTTCGTGAAGAACTGAAAAATTTTTTATAGCCGAGATATTCGGGGATTTATGCGATATTTGATTGAAATTGGGGTACGTGTCGATGATTTTGTGGAGCATGCATCCATACAAAATGAAGTTGCCAAGCAGGAATCTCCTTAATCAGGTGAGTGAGGTAAACTTGGGACTCGTTTAATAAATGTAATAATTGCCTCGTTTGAACATCATCGTCAGTCTAACTGTGAACTCACACAGAATGTAGTAACAATTTGTTCTGTGTGGCCGATGTAGCCGAGTGACACTAAGACCGCATCTATTGCGACACACCACTTAAACCCAAGTTGCTGTATTTCTCAGACAATATATCCTAACCCCAGTATATTACAAAATTAGAATAGCATGCCATAATAAAACATAATCTTGTGCATATTTTTGGCAGTTATCAGGTCTTACAATTAGCGTGGCCGCGTGTACACAACTATTGTGACAAATTTGCAGTTCGCTCTGCACTGGAATCAAGTTCCGCGTTTGTACTTTGGGTTAGTAATACAGAGCGGCTGCCCTTTGCCCTTTTTAGAGTCACAGCTTCCTTCTCTTTAATCGATGTCTACAAATGTAAATTCCAACAAAAAACCCCAATTACGCTCCAAAAAATCAAGTTTCAAGTATTTTTAGTTACAGCCTTGAATATCGGTTAGTTATTGGTGTTCGCCTATGAAATCTGTTCCTCAATGTGCGATTTCCCGTTTCGGCAGATGTTTCTTGGTTCCAATGAGGTTGGTAATGTGCGACCATAAAGAATGGCGATATCAAAATCCCACATTGAAATGTGCACAATTATTAGCTCATTTTGATGTAATTAAAACAAATGTATCTAGAGACTAAAAAATGTTATTCTTATGTGAAAGACGGGTCTTCCCTCTTCACCACTTGATATGATGACTACTTTTAGGTTTCTGTTAATTTTGTTATATTCATAAAGTGTGCACATGTTTATGTTAGGTGCCAAGAGAATGACTTTTTGAGAAACCCAGAACAGGAGACATCAGCATTGGTGTGTGGCACCTATTGGATTGAAGTACTTTGATGTGACCGTCTGTAACATAATATAAATTGTATCTAATTAACATGTGTATATTTTTATCCTCATAGTCAAATTAATTGGTCAATCCCGTAACTCGAGATAGCGCTTGCGGCGCCGTCTTCTAGTGACAGTGCAAAGTAATTAGTTCAAAGATTTAACAAGAGATGGTCCTACTATCGTTTAGGTCGTTGCTATAACTATCTAGTTTATCAATTTAACGAGAGATGGTGCCATGAATTGGACTATTTCAACAAATTAATTCAGCGATTATACTACAAATTAGGCTGCTAATGCATGTGCGCCAAAACTAACAAGTTTAACCATTAACCGAGAGATGGCGACTATCTCATGCGCGCCATCATATGGTCTTTGCCGTAACTAATAACTTCAGGCCTTTTCAGACAGATAGCGCCATCTATTGATCTTTACGTCCACTAATTAGTTTAGCGATTTCAGAAGAGATGGCACCGCTATCGTATGAGCGCGTTGTCTCGGCCGTTGCTTACTGACTAGTTTAACGTTTAACAAATTAGTTCAACTGTTCTACAACAGATGACGCTGCGCCCTATTTTAGCCTTAGCCTAAACTAACAAGTTTGAGCATTAACGGAGAGATGGCGGTACGATCTCTTGGGCGCCTTCGTTTATTCTTTGGCGTAACGAATAACTTCAATCGTTTCCCGAGAGAAGGCGCTATCTATTGGTCATTTCAGCGATGGAGAAGAGATGGCGCTCCTAATGCTTTACTAATAAGTTCAAGGATTTAAAAATATATGGTGACATCACCGAATGCGCGCCCTTTTGACCGTTACCGAAACTAACTAGTTCGACGGTTTATTGAGAGATGGCGCCATCTTTTGGTTTTTACCTCAACTGGCTAGTTGAAGGGTTTAACGAAACATGGCGCCACGCCAACCAACAACCAGGGGGAATTAAAAGATGGTTTTATAGAAATACATCACGTGGTACTTAAGGTGAAAGTCGGCGACCATGTCGAAAATTTCGACGGGTTTGCCCCAGGCGTTCTTGAACTGCCTGCCCATCATGAACACACAGCGAGGATCTCAATCCCACAATACACAACCGTCTGCGGTCTCTTGAAGGACACATTTTCTCGCTTGCTGCCCTCAATGTTTTCTCCTTCTGCTTCTCAAACGTAATGTCCTGCAGGATTTTCTTCACGTTGTAATGAAGATCAAGGAGTTGGTGCCGATGGCGGAGTCCAACCACTTCCTTTTACGACACAAGGCGCACACCGACGCGTGTGATCATAATCGGGAGTCTTGGATACACTTTTCCTTTTTGTCGGTGGCGGTCTGAAAAATATAAAAAATTGTCCATGCCGATACCAATGAGAACGACAAATGAAAAAAAAAAATTAAATTACCAACATATCCAGTTATCTGCTTAATTGTGTGCCCTCTAAACGAAACCGGAGGTAGTTTTCATATAATAAAAAAAAAGGTATTCCGCTGGCGAAACGATTTGCGAATTTTTTGCGCCCCGACCAACAAGAAAGAACCGCCGAGTTAACGAACATTCGCACTTTCATCTCGTTTCTACCTGTTGTCCGGCACGTACACACGAATTTCAACCAATTTTTATCGATACAATTTTACCATCGGCAAAACACAATAAAATCGACGCCCCCCGGATCGTTTTACCAGTTTTATACGACCGGCGGTGAACTACTATAACTACGCCATTATGCCGCGAAATGATAAAATCAGATAATTCGTATTGGCGTACGCGCTGCTTAATAGCGGGTAAACGGCCGTTACATGTGTGGTCAATAGTTTTCTGCGTCCCTTATTTTGCCAAAGTTTTGAAGTGGCTCCCTGTTAATAAAGTTTAAGACGTAGGCGGTGTTGCCGGTACTAACACATTAGGTTTCAAAAGCGCTAAACGCTATTTGCTTTTAATCCACTATACTAAACCTGTAGCCTTTTAAATGAGTTTATTTTGCTAGTTCCATTTTTGGTTATATTAAAATATGCCCGGTGATCAATAAAAAAATCTCGCAAGATAAGTGCTCTTGTTCGTCTTAAAGTATATCCATCACATTTTCCATTACGATAAACATTTTTTTGAGCTAAAGGAAAACAAAGCTAACAAAACTTCGAGAAAACAGACCATCAATATTAGAAAAGAAAATCACAAAAATTATGTGCTAACCCGTTAATAACCAATTAAGTGACGTAAGGGTAGAATTTCAAAAGAAGTGGAAAAAGTCTTCTATACCAATTTTTATTACAAATTTTTGTGTTTCTCAAAATTATATGAAGAAACCCGCCTACCTGTAATGTTTTATTATGTTGTTCTGTTTTTTTACAAACAAAAAAATTAACGGATACGTCAAATTAATTAGTTGGCAGTTCTTTTGCACGTCGCCAGATTTTTGAAACTCACACGCCCGAGTTCTTTCATTTTATGTTCTTGTCAAAATTCCAAGAAAGAACAAAGGTAGATAGGATCGACCCATCGCCCACACGCAACATTTACGCAGTTTAAATTAGAATCTAAGGAGACCCAAATTGGGTATACTTGCCGAAATATTTTTTTATAGCCCACCCAAAAAGGAAAAACGGCCTCTTAAACAACTAATAAAAAAAATCAACACAACGGCTGCGCAAAGCGATTGTCAGCGAAAATTGATGAAAATTATTCAAATTTTTGAGTTTTTACATAATTTTTAATTTCATGTTTTATAAAGATGCAAATGCAGATCAGTCACCAGTCACTAACCAACAAAAATAATTTCCCAAATGAAATTGAAAAAATTGCAAATGTATTTTTCATTCATTTCACCTAAATCATTGTTTCAATTTTTTTCTAATAAAAGCTCTTACCTATTTAATTATTATTTATTCAGCGATAAATTTTTTTTTTCGAAATTTAATCTCTCCTTTGACTAATTTTCCGTTTCTATTCTAACAAACTGTAATGATGATACAATGCGATTTATTAGAAAAAAGTATAGTGACATCACCGATTTCTGGGTAAAAATATTGTTTATCCCCCTTGGACCCCGTTAATGAGTTTCTGTTTCCACGTAGGTACATTAAATCAACTCTACATTCCTTACAAACTGTAAGAAACAATTGAACGAGAAAGCGAGGACGTCAATTTTGGTTTAATTTTCCTTTTTTCGTTGCACTAGTAATAAATTGAGTTGTTTCCTTTTTTTATAGTTTTTGGTTATTATAGTGTTAAACACAATAAAAAATTGAAATGGGGCCCCTTAAACAGGGCAATTCATAAAATATGGACAATTTCTAAACTGGAGGAACAAGACACCACAATTTTATGATTGATGCAACATGCCTCATGCAAACGTTGCTGGTTTCGGTGATACAGAGATACAAATCGGCAGTTTTGGGTTTCACCGTATTATTTAGATAAATCGAATCATAATTTTTTTATCTGTCGAGTTATGATTCAAATATAATGAAAGAATGTTCAATTTTTCTTAGAAAAGGTACCCTTGCTGTCGATTTCTCACTTATCTGAAACAGAATCATTTTGCCCGAACAGAAACAATAGTATTTCAAAAACCATTTCAAAATCACCCCGTATATGTTTCCATTTTTAAGTAGGATAAATAACAAATTTTCTTTTCTATTCTGTTTGTGATCTAATGAATGACAATTATAAACTCAAAAATTTTGTTTAGTATTAAAATGAAAATAGCCAAACTTTGTAAATATATCGTTTTGGCTCTTGACGATGATATATAAATACCGCATACACCGCCGATAACCTCCCAGTGTTCGAAGTGTTTTCGGAGCGGGAGCATTGAAGATGCCAAGTGAGATTTTGACGAAACGTCTGCAGGATTCGAGTCGGAGTTCAACAAGATAATATTGATATAAAAATGATTCTTTTGACTACTCCGGATTTAGTCGATCATATCACTTTCCTTGTTAACAAGTGTCTTTTTTCTCGGAGTCTTGGAAGCAAGGTGAAGTTATACCCCTATACCCGTTCCAAAGAAAGAGTGTCCAAGTGGCATTAACGAGTTTAGACCTATCAGTTTGTTGGCAACCATCTCAAAGGTTGTTGAAAAAATTGTAGCTACACAACTTCGTCAGTTCCTATGCGATAATTTTAATAGTAATCAAAGTTTTATTAACTTCCTGAGGGTAAACTTTAGCAAAACGGAATGAATTAGGACCAAATTGTTTATTACTATAATTTGCCGACACAAACCTCAGATCAATACCACCAACAGCTCCAAAAAAAGTAAAAGCAACATTAAAACTAGCTTGATCAAAATTGGTTTTAGACATTAATAGTATATTATGCAACAAGTGCGGTAAACGGCATTTGACCCACGAGTTTATTTGACACGAGCGGAGTGCATCAGAGCAAGTGACTTAAAAAGTTTTTCTATTCTCGTCTGTAAAATAGCTAATTACACCACTTTACCGGTTTACCAGTCAGTTTGGTTTCCCACAGATCCGAACCACTTCGGACATTTCCGGGATTTTACCGCACGGGTTTGGGAGCGATCGGATGTTTTCGGAGATTTTACAGCACGGTTTGAATTTTGACGTTTGTGAATTCTGACGGTCATGTCAGTGTGTTGATGTTGTTTTGTAAAAATGTACCAAAAATCTAATACACAGACAAATGTTAGGCAATATATCAGACAATTTAAATACTAAGTTCTATAAGCTACAATTAAAATCTAGTGGACTAGACGGTAAGTAAAGTGACATTTATAATTTATCCACCGAAATACCGATCGCATGAACTTTAGTTTTTAGAAACAAAACAAAATTGAAGGTTAGGACCTGCTTTTTCTTACTTATTGGATCCTAAAAAATAAAAAAAATTTAAAAGTTCCATCCTTGGATTGATTTTTCTTCCAATTACAGTCTTTTTCTTTAAATAAACTACTTAATTATCAATTATAAAAGTTAAATAAACCACATAAAGTTTTAAAATTGTTAAAAAGAGGCAACAATAGCAGAACCGATCAGAACGACAAACGAGTAGGTTTAATGGCAACTGGTAAATGTGTTGTTTAAATGGTACGAAATTTAGTACTCTGAAAATCTGATATTATTTTTAATTTGTTAAATTGTGGTTTTTTCGTGACGGTCGTAGAAAAAGTATAGTATGCAACACGTTCGGTAATAGTATACTATGCAACAAGTGCGGTAAACCGCAAAGTTTACCGAACGTGTTGCATACTATACTTTTTCTACGACCGCTAGTTTTTAGGTACATTTTCGCAAAACAACACGAATACATTCACTGACATGACCGTCAGAATTGACAAACGTCAAAATTCAAACCGTGCGGCAAAATCTCCGAAAACATTCGATTGCTCCCAAAATCCCGGAAATGTCCGAGGTGGCTCGGATTCGTGGGAAACGAAACTGACGTGGTAAAGTCCCGCACTGTAGATCGGTGTGTAATTAGGTGTTTTACAGACGGGAGTAGAAAAAGTAGGGTTGCTGTGCACTCGAAGTCTCCTCAAAGTACGACAAAAAAATTTTAGGATCAGTTTTAAATATACTTGCGAAATATGCCCTTTTCACGGCTCTCACACAGGAGTTCACAAAATTTAAAGCAATATCTGACTTAAGACGTTTGTATCTTTAACATGGCCTATACTGGATTATGTCGTAAAAACGGTATATCGTTGGACTGGGTATAAAACATGCCGAAGTACGTTGCGTGGAAGACAACAAAGAAGAAGCGACCGGCGGGCAATTATAAATTAAAAAAAGAAAAATACGAAATAAAAAACCGGACAGTTTCTCTTCGCCGTGACCGTCGTACGAAAACGGTACAAGCCACACGACAAAACGTCACACGGCAACTCACCTACTTTTCCCCTTTCTTCTTCAACGGACGCGGAGGAAGTCAAACTCGAGGCGACGGCGGCGGTCGTTTTCTTCGGCATCTCGTCTCGCTACGCGGTCCAAGTTCAAGATCGCGGCTCGGTATTCTTGCTCTCGCTCGCCTCCTCCTCCTCCTCCTCCGCGGCGACACACTCTTGTCGTTTTCTTCGCGGATCGCGCGACACAGATTTCGCGTGTTCAACGGAACCTGTCGGTGTGATCGCTCGCGACCAGTGCCGTTTTCGAAATTCGTTTGTTCTATTCTTTTTTGTTTTTTGTTTTCGTTTTCTGAGCGGCCGCGACCATGATCCATATCGAGTTCCTGAAGGAGGCGTCCGTCGCCGAAACGGTGGGTATTTCGTTTTCTTTCTTCACATGGAAATCATAGGTATTAATTGAACTTAGGTTGCGGATAGATAGATATTTGGTACCTTTTACAAAGTAGGGGAGGGTGAGCAAGATTTATGTTATTTTTTGTGGCTTTTAACCTTCAAGTCGATTTATTTTTGACTAATTTTAACTAAATTTACCCAAATTTTGGCGAAGCTTCTGGCCGTCGTGCCCCACCCCCCTATATATAATAAGCATAATTATTTATGAAAAATTATTTAATAAAAAAAAACCTTACTGGTTAGTAACTATTTTTCTATAGATTAAAAAAATTGTTATTGGTATTTATAAGATTTTCCAAAGCTCTGGCTTTAGACTAAATCCATAGAATTATCCAAAAAATATCACTTTCAATAAATTAATTGTGATCCGGTTATAACAATATGGAATAGGTTTTTTTAGAATTCTTGAAGGGTCTAAAAATGTACAAATAGCCAGAGTTCATAAATATAATAATATAATAAATATTAGTAAAATGCGAATATATTAAAAAAAAAATCCTGAATCATAATAAAATAATGATACACACTTTATTTTTAATCATATTGGATAAATACCATGTTTTATTTCCATTTAAATTTAAAATTAAATATAACATTTTCAATGTAACGGGTGGCCAATTAACAGAACAGAAACAGTTGCGTTTTGTAAATACGCGTTTAATAAATACGAAATACGGGTACTTTCACCGGTGGAATAGGCATTTTTTTACAAATAAGGCTACTAAAATACATTACAAACAGCATGCAATCTTAATATGATTGACCATCAAACAATACATCAATAATTTTTGCTATTTTCTTCTATAAAGCAAAATTTCAAATATAATTTTTGAATTTTAACAGTAAATTTATATATACATTGAAAATGAGGGTATACTGAAAATATTCCCAAAGATGCAACACTATTTCGAGTTTTTGTTTCTTTTAGTGATATTATAGGTTAGGAAAAACATATGCCAATGGGGTTCTCACTACCCTGATATATTGTTATTCGATTATATTTTGTTGCAAAACAAGTGAAACAAAAAATCTAAATCAGGGTAGCGTTGTTAGCCTATAAAGAGATCTTTTCGACAACACCAAGATGGATAAAATGCGTTCAGCCATTCTGAAGTGATTGACATTTATTTCCCAAAGTGTTCGAACACCCTCCACCGTTTTCCCTTAAGAGATAGAGCAAAAAGCATTTAAAGAAAAAAAATCGAATTTATCCTACCTTTGCCACAGTGCCCATTTTAACTATGTGTAATACAAGATTATTTCTCGGGATTTAAAATTCAAGAATGCGATTGCGTCCCCTAGCGGCCATTGTAAAAATTTAAAAATAATTTCCGGCACTTTTTCTTGACCGCTTGACTCATAACTTTTTCACCCCAAGTCTTTACGATAATACTGCTCGAGATAATACCGAATGCAATTTTTAATTCAGCAATCGATATCTGCAATAAAAGCGCAACACTAACTAGGTAATAATTACTAAGATTAACTAAAATGTTATGTTCTAATGTACAGTTATTAATCAGAATTTTCGAAATCACTAATATTTTCTATGCTATATTCACACAATAAAAAAGTTTTTTTTATGAAAAATTAAATTCGTTTTTCTACTTTTAATTGTTTTCTACTTGCTTACATATTTTCTCAAATATTTAGTCTCAAAAAAGGCTTTACCTTCACTATACAGATCACAAAACCCAAATATAAAAGCCTACAATCAGAAAGGACAAACAACACAATATCAAAAAATTAAACGCCAAGTTGTCAGTAATTGTTTACTAATATTTCAAATGTTTTCATGGCCAACTCGTATCAGCAAAAAAGCACGTTCAAAAATATTATTCCTTGGAATGTTTTTTTCTAATTTCACAGCATAAAATAATTTATTTTGAAACACGTTTTTTAATTTATTAATTTTTTTAAAAATAAATTGACAGCTGTGTGAGTCGGAGTCATTTCGGTTTTCTCAAATATGTCGGCCTGACTCACGGTTTAAGCTTAATTCTTCAGTTTAAAATGTTAATGTGTGTTTTGTTACTTTTTGTCCCTTCACTTTGCAAAATTTGAATCCTAAACTACTAATAGATGTTGCAAAATGAATTTAAGGGGAATTTATATCCATAAATATACAAAAAGAAAAACAGAAAACAGTACCAAAATGAAATAAGAAATACAAACAAATTGGATTATACAAACTATTTACATTTATCAAAAAATAAGAGCAAAGATTCTTGGCAATTATTGAATGCCGAGAGGTGTAGAACAGGTAAATATAGTGTTAAGAAAATATATATATATAGCGCATAAAATATTGGAAACCTTGGATGAAACTCCTGCTAGACCATCAGAATTCATGCATAACTTGATTAAGCCTAAATGTTAATTAAAATTTTCCCTGGTTTCTTCACTTAAATTTCAAGAGGTTATAATATCCTTGAATAACTCAAAAGCTCTAGATGTTTATTGCTTGAATAGAAGAATCTTTAATTTTATCAATGACAGGCATAATAAATAAGTGTTTTTTTTAATGGAGTATGTCCAGAGATTTTTAAAGTATCGAAAGTTCTTCAATAGAAAGTCTTAGAAAAACTTATGCATTCTCAATTGTCTCATTATTACGAGTAATGATCTGATAACTCCAAATTAGTTTGGATTTACAACCGAAGCACTGGCATAGTTTAGGGCTTTAGAGAGTGGAGCATAGTACTTTAACTTTATGTGACTTCTCCACCCTTTGACACGTCAGTCATTCACTTTTACTGAAAAATTATTTTTTTATGGTTTGGAACCCATTGCACTTTCTGATAGAAAGCAAGCATGAAATGTCAAGTTTGCGAATGGTAATACACTAAATCCCACCGGGCTCCATTGTGGGTCCGTTATTGTTTTTAGTTTATATTAATGATCTCTTTGAATATATGTTGCCCTGTGGCTGCGGTTAATTTTACACAAGACTACATTCAAATAATTAAAACCCGAATATAGGAACTCTTAGAGTGGGAACACAGTCGGCAAAAGAATATGCCAATGCTCTTCGATGATAGGATCTCTTTAAAGGACCATATTGCTTATTTAGTAAAGCGCCTCTCAAGTGTCAATTTTTTGCTCCGACGACAAAGAAATTTAATTATAAAAGATTATCTAATCTCTAGCTACTACATACCCTCTTTTTCATTCAAGTTTGTCATTTTTTTTACTGTGCGGAAACCCATTCATAAAACTGGTTATACCACTGCCATCGGTATACATCTTTTCATAACCCTCAAATTTGCTTCGAACCAGGAAATTTAAATGCACTAAAAGTGTGAAAAATTTTTGTCTAATTAAAAATCATGTCACAAATTTGCCATTTAAACATTTTAAAGCAAAAATAAAATCATTTTTATGGAACTGTGTTTTTATTCTGTAGAGGAATACAAACGAGTGATAACGGATGTTGTCTGATTCTTGATAGTGGTCACTATTTGACTGACCTTCCAGTTTTATTTCTTGCAGATTTCATCTAATCGGATATATATTTTTTGGACTTGGACGTCCTGTAAATATACTTTGTACGTTAACACAGTCAAATAAAAAATCTATTTATCTATCATTTTTAATCGGTACTTTTAACTTAAAAAAAAAGGTATAATTTGAACCAAACTCTACCCAACGCAAAAGTATTTTACGATAGAGTGTGGCGACCAACCAAAACTAGCCTTAGTCTGTGATGCGGCGAATCCATGCCATGCATATTATAATCACCTAATTAGTCGCGCTGGGCCCTATTTTGCAGTCGCTCCCCATTCTAAAACTACACAATACCGAATAAAACTCGATTTCGTTAAAATTGGCGTCGATTACCGGCCATTTACGAAATTCGCCCAGAATTGATATACAAAGCAGCTTACGTTTCTTAATTTCATAAAATTTCTACCGCCCAGCGAATTATTACGATATAAGCACGTGAAATCACACGCGTTCAATAAGACGCTAGTGCGTTACGCCAACCAACGAAATATTTTGGGCGTACCTTTGGGCGATATTCGTCTTTTAGCGAATTTATTCAGTATTTCATGCCGTTTACGTGTTGCGTTTGATCAGCTCATTTGACCTGCATAAGGGAGAATAAAGCATTACTCGTGGCTCTGTCATCAGTTTTGTGTTGTGTGTGGTTTGCGGAAAAATAAGCAAGCAACGGCATTTGGCTCACGAGTTTATTTGACACGAGCGGAGCACAGCGGAGCGTATCATTAATAAACGAGTGACTGACAAAGTTTACCAAACGTACTGCATACTATACTTTGCTACGACCGTTAGTTTGTGGATACATTGAATTGACAAACGTCAAAATTCAAAGCGTGGAAAATATCTCCGAAAACATCCGATTGCTCCCAAATCCGTGCGGTAAAATCCCGATAATGCCCGAAGTGGCTCGGATCCGTGGGAAACGAAACTCACGTAGTAAAGTGACGCTTCCCGTACGCTAGATCGGTGTGTAATTACGCATTTTACAAATGAGAGTTACAGTGGAAGTTTCTTTGAAGAATTACTAAAAGATTTGTTTGTAAATGCAACGGCAATGTCAAAATTATTGGCTTTTGTTAGAAAAATCTGAAATATGTAAGTTGTAAAACCAAGTTTGCCATGGTGAAGCGAATATTCGACAGTCACATTTACTTGCTAATTTATATTTTAATTTAATTTGAGATTTATTAATGCTATTGTTTTAAGATAATATTAAAAAATAAATCTCTCTTAAGAAGTCTTTTTTATCATTATTTTTGAAATTTGTATAATTAAAATTTGTAAGATCTTAAAATTGCATACAAAATAATCGTTATTTAGAAGGTTTATAATTTTTATTTTTTTAAAACATTAAAAACTTTGGTCATTGGTCTAGTTACGTTTAGGGAGTCGTGAACACGAACCTGTCTGCCATTTTCAATTTCAACAAATTTCTAAAAGTACTTCTCGATTT